CCGTTCCCTTTCAACGTCTAATGCTGGAGTGCTGGCAGTTCTGCATTTGGATTCCTTTAGCTTATAATGCCACTATGCTAATTAAGATAGGTAGCCAGAGCTGGGAGGTAGGACCAACCATAAATCTCTTCCTTTGTGAACATAGAACATACCATGTTTCCCCAAAAATAAGACCCTGCCTTATATTTTTTTGAACCCTCAAATAAGCGCTTGGCCTTATTGCCATGCGCCCAAAAGCCCGATTGGGCTTATTATCAGGGGATGTCTTATTTTTGGGGAAACAGGGTACTTTTAGCACAAGTCAGTGATGCCTAGTCGTTTCTGAAAATACATTCTTGAAATGGATTTCCTCATCAATACGCAAAAATACTGGAGAAGGGATGTACAGTGTAAACTACTAGAAAGTTCACTATGTGAGCAGTGAGCACTATATGAGAAAACTCTTTGCAAGTTAACTAATGTGACCAGTGAGGATGCTTCATCATGAATGAGTATGAGGTCTGTGCCTTTCTATACAAGATATCTGGCCATTGTTCATTCCGTGTTAGGCAGATGCTCTGATTCAGTTACCTTCTTTGAATGTCAGAAGATAGTATGAACTGGTGCTGTATTGCTCCACGCAGACTGATATATACTGAGAATGGAATCTATATCCCTTCCCACCCATCTCCTTCTTTCCTCCAAGCAAGTTTTTTATTTTTCATGCCTGTGGAGGATAGTTGGAAAGTGCAAAAGCAAAGCCTGGCAAAATCTCAGAAGTTAAGTAGAATTTCAAAAAATTCAGATTTGGGGCTTTAAAACTTTCCACTTCCCCTTATAAATAGACACAAATCATTAATTTTTTCAAGCACAATACTTCATATTTGCTAGATCAAGGTTGCTCAGAAATTTAATGTTAATTCATAATATTGTTAACACACAATATTGCTGACTATCTCAGGTTATTCGGAGGTCTCTTGTGTCTGCAGCAGGGAATGTTCTATTCTATTTCTTACCAAACAGCAGTGGTAAGAAACCTGTGATTGTTTTCTATAACCCTTCCATAATCTGATGGCTCCCAAATATGTTGGAATTACATCTTCTAGATTACAGAAGACCACGTTAAAGGAGTTCAAGAATTATCAAATGAGTCTGAGCTGAGCCATTGCTGACTCCACAGTCTGCTGTATTTCAGGAAGAATGGACAAGCTCTTGGGAAGGATGTGGTTCCAGCTGCTTCTGTTCTCCCTGCTTTTTATCTTGGGCCAAGGGAAAAAAAGTAAGTTCAAAAAGTACAGTCTTGATTATGATTCTTCCCAATCCAAACTGTTTGCCATTTGGAAACATGCCGCTACAGGAATCATAAAATCAATGGCACTCCCAAATGTGGCTTATGTACTCTCAAAATATAAAGTAAAACATTAGCATTTAAGATTAAATGTTACCAAGCAAAAATTGACTAATGCCTCATATCCAACTGTATGAAGTGTCAGCGAATTCTATGAATTTAATATCTGGAAAGTCAACAACTATGATGATGATGATGATAATCAGCTGCACTAATATACAATTTTATGTGATTGTGCTCACATATCAATGGGAACAATATCAAATCTTTGTAAAAACAACAACAACATTGATCCTGCAAATTTGAAAAGAAATTATGTTATGACCACATTTTAGAACTAGCCTATTTCTAGACAATTATGTTCTAATCTGTTTGTTTGTTTGTTTGTTTGTTTGTTTGTTTGTTTGTTTGTTTGTTTCTAGTTAACCAATGTGTGGCTTCTAGGGCAAAAAGCTGCACTGAATGCATCCGAGTGAGCAGCAACTGTACTTTTTGCACAGATGAGGTAAACGTTTTTAACAGTTATTGAGGATAGGATGATGTGATCTCAAAGACTGAGATTTGGCCATGATCCCTTTCCATTCAACACCTTGACACTGATCTTTTTATTTATTTTGTTATTTAATCCCGCCTCCTTCAATCTGACAACATGGATTTCATGAGTTGTTTCTCAGTTTTAAGAACCAACAAAACCCATTAAAAACAATAAAAGAACAAATTAATAAAAAAGAACCCCCAGACTCTTTTATGGTGATTTGATTTCCTTGCTAGTATGCTCACTCAGAAACACTGAGGGGGAGAGAATTAAATACCGTATTCCCAACCTCACTGAGGTTTACTCCAGGAGGTCTACATGGGTAATAACAAAAATAATTTTATTTGCTATGGGTGTGCCTTATTTGAAACTTTTGTCCTAGTGAGACAAAAAAAACCCAAAACCCAATTCAAATAAATTGGGTTCGAAGGCTGACAATTCAATCAGTTTGGGGTTGGAGAGATTGCCTGGTTATCTACTGTGGTAACAGCCACCCTGAGATAATGCCTACAATATAACATCTTCACAAGGCCAAACAAGATTAGGATCTTTCAATACAGGCATCATGCTGAATTAGAATTTTTCAGTGAGTCACTAATTCTAACCTTAAACTAATATTAAGCAGAGGCTGAGTCCCTAAAGACAATTTAATTTTGAGCCTAATTTCTAAGCATACTTTACTGTCTAATTATTCTCATCCCAGAACTTCAAAGGCATCCGTTGTGATTTGGAAGATAATCTAAGGAGCTATGGCTGCCAAAACAACATAAAAGTAAAGTCTGGAGAGGTATTAATGACAAAGGTAAGTAGAGGTACAGTGAAAGAATGATGGATATGAACATAAGAAAATTAATATATACCTGAATAATCTCTCAGAACATCCCAATGCAAAATTTGTCAATAAGCAATTAACTAAGTAGCTATTCTCAATGAAGTAATTTCTAATTAGTCAGAATGTTTTTGTTCATTTAGTGCACGGGTGCCAAACTCACCGTGTCACATTGCTGTCACATGACATTTTGTGACGTTTTTCCCATTCATGAAGCTGGGGTGGGCATGGCCTGCACATGACACATCCGACCCGCGGGTCACCAGTTTGAAACCCCTGATTGAGCTCAAAATTTCTGTTGCTTTGCAAGGCAGTTGTTAAACAGGTTTTGCTCCATCTTTTTTGCCATACTTTTTAAGCGAATCACCACAGTAGTTAAGTGAATCATGTGATTGCTAAGCACACCTGGTTTCTCTCATTGACTTTTCTTGTTGGAAGCCTGCTGGGAAGGTTATAAATTGTGATCACATGACCCTGGGACAATGCAACTGTCATAAGTATGTGCCAGTTGCCAAGCACCCAAATTTTGATCATGTGACCATGGGGGATATTGCAATGGACATGAGCATGAAAAGCAGGCATAACTCACTTTTTTCAGTGCCATTGTTAACTTCAAATAGTCACTAAACCAATGGCTGTAAGTCAAGGACTACCTGTATACCCATTGCGGGGAGGGGATACTGTAATATTATCTTGGGAATCAGTACATTCAACCAATTTGCTATAATAGTAGTCTCTAAGTCTTTTCAAGATCCCCCATTATGTATAATTGATGTCTTTCCTGGCAGAATTTCCAAATTGATACAACTCTGAGGAAAACACAAGTATCTCCGCAGCACGTATTACTCAAACTGAGACCGGATGACGAAGTAAACATTGCCATGCAGGTGTTTGAGCCCACTGAACCTCCTGTGGACCTCTACATCCTTATGGATTTTTCATATTCCATGTCTGATGACTTGGACAACCTGAAACAAATGGGCCAGTACCTTGGTGAGAGATTAAATTATCTCATTTTGAAATCAGTCTGAGACATTTGTCAGTCAGTTAGTTATCTGCAATTTTTCAAGGAAATTGGCAAAGGGAGGGAAACAAAATCTAAGACCAGCAGGTGGATAATATATGTGGCAGTTAAAAGCTGGATTTTTTCTTGCAAACTTGATCTATTCCAGCTTCAGCATGGAAATGCAACTAAGAAATCTATTCTCATTTTATCTGCTTCACTTGATTCTCCTTGGTTGTTTCTCATCACAGAGGTCCTCACACTCTATGCCTAGCTAGATAATAAGTGCTAGGCAATTGTAGAAGAGAGGACATGGCTAGGAAGCAGAATTAAATGCATCATCAGTTTAGAGTCCTTGCATTCCTACAAGCGCTCAAAGCTCAATCCTTCCTGTATTCCATTGACCATTATCTGGCATCAATTTAGCATTGAACTTTAATTCACCAGATTCTTATGTATACCCTTAAATAAATCTTCTATGCTGCATTCTTACAAATGGTCCTGATTCTTTGGCCCTGACAGCAACCAAGCTAATTTGAAACAGTATGCAAGGTTAAAGCTAGTTAGCATTTGGATGGGTAATCATCAGGAAATAATGTAGCCACTACCGTGGAAACCAATAAAAAATCCAAAAAGAAAGCTATAAGAAATGCTTCTACATTGTTGCCAAATAACTTGTGGGCTTATCCATAGTCATTAATAGTCAAGCTGAGTCAAAGAGATATTTGTGTTCCTATGCACATTTGTGTATACATCATCAGAACCAAGTTGATAGATATGAAAACCATGTTCTTGCTTTTGTTTATGTAATAGCAGCAAAGCACGAAAAGCATAAAAAGGGAACTTACTCCTGATTCAGAGAACTTAAAATTAAGATAAAGCAGAGCGGAGCGGGGGGAACCAGAGGAGAAAGAGTGATTAAAGTGAATAAATAGTTTATACATAGATTTAACCTTTGGTGGGTTAAGGACAAATGTATTAAGTACAACATTTTATAGGAATAGGAAACTTTAAAAAATAAATCCATTTCATAGTTGTTTTCTATGACTAAAATGAGTGCATTTAGGATATCTTATGATAATTAGGATATGAGGTTACCGAGAGAGAGATTCAAACTTGTGTAATCTATAATTAAATTCATAAAGAATGGTAAAAACTTAATAATTCACTTTCTAACCAAGGATCTAAGAATGATTAAGGTAGCATTTGAGATATGGGCTGTTCCAAGCAGTGTATTTTATTCTTGTAAAATTAAAGTCCGATAAATTCAAAATTTCCAAATATTGAGAGAAACCTTTAGGTATTATTCCAAGAAATCAAATCACAATTACAGTATACTGTAGTAGCAACAAATTTCTTTCTCCATATGCATTAACTTCTATCTACAAATCCTAGTATTTTGCAAGATTGCCTTTTCTCAATCCTAGAATTACCTGGTATAGCAATATCAATGAGCGAGACTTCCTTATTTTTATTCTTATTATAGCATCTTCAAATCATTGACTGCCTGGGCTAGTCCCTTCAGCTTTCTTGGCAATATTTTTTTAAAGAAGTTTGCAATGGCTTGCTTCTTAGGACTGAAGAGTTAGTTAGTTTACTTTATTGTCATTGCACCTCGTACAATGAAATTAAATGCCATCTTCAGTGTACATTATAACTATAAAAATAAAACACAAACAAACATCCTTCACATTCTATACAATTGAACTAAAAACCCCTGATATTGCATTAATATTGCACTATACAGTAGAATTCAATATAGTTACTGCTCTGGGATAGAAGCTGTTTTTCAGCTATTTGTCCTTTTTTAAATTATCCTATATGGTCTGCCAGATGGTAATAGTTCAAAAAAAGGGTGCCCAGAGAGAGTGACTATCCAAAGTTACTCAGCTGGCTTTGTGCCTAAAGTGGGATTAGATTTGATGATCTCCCAGTTTCTAGCCTGGTGCCTTAACTACTATACCAAACTGATTCTTATTACCATAATACTAATATTTATTTTATTTATTTATTTATTTTATTAAACTTGTATGCCGCCCTCTCTCCCAAAGGACTCAGGGCAGCTCACAAAGATAAAAAACACATAAAATTCAGTATTCAAATATAAAAACCAATACAATCCCCTTTAAAAACCCCTTCAGTCCAATCCGGCCAGGCCAAATAGCCATGTTTTGAGGTCACGACGGAAAGAGCGAAGGTCAGGGGCCATCCGGAGCTCCAGGGGGAGCTGATTCCACAGAGTAGGTGCGCCCACAGAGAAGGCCCGCTCCCTGGGAGTCGCCAGCTGACACTGCCTGGCTGACGGGACCCCAAGGAGGCCCTCCATATGAGAGCGCACCGGGCGATGGGGAGCTGTCGCTGGCCGCAGATGGTCCACCAGGTACCCCGGCCCTAAGCCATGTAGGGCTTTATAGGTAATTACCATCACCTTGACTCTCACCTAATAAATAATTTATTAAATAAATAAATGAATGAATGAATGAATAAATAAATAATTCAAAAAACAAGAATGTATACTCAAATTGCATTAAGGTTCCCTTATAATACTGGGGTTTTCTCTGCATGGTCATAAACGTCTCTCGGGATTGCTGTAAATTTTAATTGGTTCCAGGAGTGAATGATTTCACTTCATCCAACATAATATTTATAGTAACTGAACTCCATCATGGGATTAGAAGATTTAATCTAAAGTCCCCAAATATTTTCATCCTTCTTTCCTTTCTTTCTTCTATCCTGCTAGCAAATTTCTTGACGGAGCTGACGCATGACTATACCATTGGTTTTGGCAAATTTGTGGACAAAGTTACAGCACCACAGACAGACATGAGGCCCATAAGGTGAGTACTAGTGATGAATCCATCAAGTCATTTGGAAATGAACTATTCAGGATCTATGGTATTTTTTTTAAAAAAATAAAGGCTTTTATCTAATCTGTGATCTTCTAGTCCCATATTTCTTCCTCAGACCATGCTTTCTTACTACCTTGCAATATTCTACGTATACCCAAATCTTGTCGATATCAGTCGTTGATAGATCTGCTCTCAGTCAGAATTCCTTTGTTTTTAATTCGGCTATCAATTGGCCAGTTGAATCCATTTTTTTCTGAGGATTTAGGATCAGTTTGATTAATCCCCCAATAAACCTTTTCTTTTATATCCTTTATAAGAAGCATATAAAAGTCTCAGGGAATATAGCTTCATTAAATCTACCCTAAAATTATGCTTCTAAACATTTCACAAAGGGGCATATAACAGTATTTTAACTGCCCCGTGAATAGACAGCTTGAGTAATTTGGCTCAGTCTTGTCCAAGCAAGTCCTGAGAACTACTTGAATAGAAGATGACTCATCCATTTGTAGAAAGGGACTCTTGTTTGGGGTAATTTGTTTTTTTCCCCAATCACTTTGAGATGAAACTGAAGAAAATACCCAGAGAACCAAGTTTGCTTTTTAAAAGAAATCCTGTGATATTGTATGGAATTTTCTAGCAATTGGAAAAGGAACAGGAACGTTAATGTTTAGATCTCTTCATCTAACCCTCTGTGTGCATGTATGCATGCATATGTGTGTATTTGTGAATTATGTTATAACCTTATAATCAGTGGTGGAATTCAAATTTTTTTACTACTGGTTCTGTGGGCATGGCCTGGTGGGCATGACTTGGTGGGCGTGGCAGGGGCCATTCCCACCCCACGCAAGGGGAAGGCTACTGCAAAATCTCAATTCCCACCCTACTCCAGGAGAAGGATACTGCAAAATCCGCATTCCCTCCCCCCTCCTGGGGGAAGGATATTGCAAAATCCCCATTCCCTCCCCACTCTGGGGCCTGCCAGAGGTGGTATTTGCCGGTTCTCCGAACTACTCAACATTTCCACTACCAGTTCTCCAAAACCTGTCAGAACCTGCTGAATAGCACCCCTGCTTATAATATAAAAATGTGTTATGTATTATCATGTGTATCAAACAAAAATAACAGGAACAAATGGAACTATTCTGAGAAACTGAACCCAGTGTATGGATTGGTGCTCCAATGTCTCAATACTCAGAAGTAGGATACATACACAAGAAGTAGCAATGTTAAGCCTCATTGTCCTCTACTACTGTAAAATGTTTGCTTCTCACAACTTATTCTCATAACTCATTGGTGCTTTGGGCAGGTTTCTATATTGTGTTAAACCTTATAGCCTAGTTTAGAAATAACAATGGCTAGCTTGTATATTGTGCTCCAAATAACAAAGCTGAATCTGTTTTAGTGTGATGTTTAAATGCAGTCTCTTTTTACTGCTTAAATCGAAACTGTTCTGCTCAGATTCATTGCATTAAATATTGTGGTAAACAATAAGATGTTTTTTCAAGGGATCCTTGTTTAGGATTTCTGATAGTCAGGTTGGCAGTAGTTACCAATTAAAATTTTCTGTCCTTTTGCTTTCAGATTGCGGGAACCTTGGTTTAATGCTGACCCGCCTTTCTCTTTTAAGAATGTCATCCGTCTAACCAATGATATCAATAAATTCAGCCAGGAATTGATGAAGGAACGTATATCAGGGAACTTGGATGCTCCTGAAGGTGGCTTTGATGCTATATTGCAAACAGCAGTTTGCAAGGTAAACAGGGCAGAGGACACTGAAGATGGCATAGATATAGTGGTTCTCTATAAAGGATAAAAACCTTTTAGCTGCATACCAAACTGGGAGAGCAGTAGAAAAATCTAGGCCAAATTTTTGCTTTGAAAAGCCACAGCCAGTTTTGTTTGCAGTTTGATAAGAAAATGGGTGAGCTTTGGAGTTAGATATTGTGGAGACTGTTTATTTTATTTACTTATTTTTCAAATTTTTGAACCATCCATCTCCCTCAGGGATCACTGCTGTTATCAGGTTTTGCTATTATCAGCTCCTATCTGGAGTTAGGATATTATAGTCTGAATACCAGCTAAACATCTTATGAAGGTCAGGGGAAAAACAAACTACCTAGTGCCTAATAACATTTGTAAATTTAAGGAGCTGAAGAGTTCATTGCTGAGGAGACAAGATAAGCATGAAATTCCCAGATCTATGACAATGTTAGTTTTCTCAATTAACCTTGATCTGAGCTGCATTTGAAAGACATACTCAGTGGTTACTAACATTCCTGGAATAGCTGTTTATAGCATATTTCTCAAAAGTTATCATGAACAGCCTTTCTGGATTTTTGGCAGCTATTCCCACTCTCTAGTTATGTGATTCCTCCTGGCACATGGAGAAAGCACACTTCAATTTTTACCTTTTTTTTTAATGAGGATGATACGATTATATAAAACGTGGATGCTTTTGGCATTTTTATTTTTGAGGAATTGGGGACTTAGTTGTTAACAGTTGTGTGTGCTACCCTTATTCCCTGCTGAGAATCAGGTCAACATTGTGCTGTAGTGGTTTCCCATCAAATTTAGAAACATGAATTTAAGAGGGCAGGAGCTGTCAAAATGAGTCTTAGGGATGTGATTTGCCCACCTCCATTCTACATCTTTGACTTTCCTTATTCCCACAGGAGAATATTGGGTGGCGGAATGACAGCACTCACCTCCTGGTCTTCTCCACTGAGTCGGCCTTCCATTACGAAGCTGATGGCGCCAACGTCCTTGCTGGAATCCTAAGAAAGAATGATGAAAAATGCCACCTAACTCAAGCAGGGACTTACACCTTTGATACCAAGCAGGATTACCCCTCAGTGCCTACCCTTGTGCGCCTTCTGGGGCGGAGTAATATCATCCCTATTTTTGCTGTCACCAACCACTCCTATGATTACTATGAGGTAAAATATGCCATTAAGCAGGAAAAATATGGGAACTTGGGAGTATAAAGGAACAACATGTGATGATATTTAATACTGGTCTATAGATATTTGCCCAGCAAGGGAACTAGCTCATCTATTTATTCCTAGGGCAAGAAGCTGAGTTTGCTTCCTATAGGAAGATTTAGAGTTAAAACATTTAAAAAAAAATGTAGTAATTCTTCATTAGAAGGGAATTCTTTCCATTTGTCCCCACAGAGTAGAAAGGAGTCTTGTCCACATTTCCTGGCATCAAGAAAATCAGAAAAGAAAAAAACTTTTCATCCCGAAAAGTTGAGAAATCACTAATTAATTTTGTGAGAAAGGAGTAGTCTGATCCCTGCTAATTTTGTAGCCCAGGAAATTGAAGATTGCTTGCAAAAACTCAGGAAGGAATGGGGAGGGCAAGCTGAACTTTAATAGTTTAGAAGATGTATGTCAGTGTAGCAGCTGAATGCCTAACTTCAGGTATAGGTAATCCATGACCTACAACCACAATTTTATTGAGCCCGAATTTTTATTTATATATATATATATATATAAATGGTGAAATCCAATTTTTTTTTACTACCAGTTCTGTGGGCGTGGCTTGGTGGGCTTGGTGTGGCTTGGTGTGTGGGTCAGTGGGTGCGGCAGGGGAAGGATACTGCAAAATCTACATTCCCACCCCACTCCAGGGGAAAGATACTGTAAAATCCCCATTCCCTCCCCACTCCTGGGGGAAGGATATTGCAAAATCTACATTCCCACCCCACTCTGGGGCAAGCCAGAGGTGGTATTTGCTGGTTCTCCGAACTACTCAAAATTTACCGGTTCTCCAAAACCTGTCAGAACCTGCTGGATTTCACCTCTGATATGTATGTATGTATGTATGTATGTATGTATGTATGTATGTATGTACTGGATTTGGGAATGAAATGTCTTTGCAGTCTGTATTTTGCAATGCAGTGGAGACACCCAGTGGCTAGCTAAATAATCCATGTTAGAGGTAACTCAAAGATAACTCTTCTGTTACCTCATAAATCTTGATCCATGGATAGGCCAAAACTGTATTATGTTATGACATCTAAGATTGGTCTGCATCTATCACCTCCATCCTATGGTAATTAAGCCTTCTGTTTTATTGCTTTTTGGATTGAAAAAAGACATTTATGGCAGTAGCTTCAAGTCTAGTTTGTCTCTTAGAACAATATCCTTCTGTTTGCTTTCTTTAGACTATGGACAATGTTCTTAGGGGTTTTTTTCTGCTGAAATATCATGGAGAAGAATTTTATCTTTATGTCTTACTTCTGGTCCATTTTCTCAGTCTCAGTTATGTTGTAAGGTAAAGGTAAAGGATCCCTTCGCATATATGTGCTAGTCATTTCCGACTCTACGGGGGGTGCTCATCTCCATTTCAAAGCCGAAGAGCCAGCGCTGTCTGAAGACGTCTCTGTGGTCATGTGGCCAGCATGACTAAACGCCAAAGGCGCACGGAACACTGTTACCTTTCCACCAAAGATGGTCCCTATTTTTGTACTTGCATTTTTTTATGTGCTTTCGAACTGCTAGGTTGGCAGAAGCTGGGACAAGTAATGGGAGCTCACCCCGTTACGCGGCACTAGGGATTCAAATTGTTGAACTGTCGACCTTTTGATCGACAAGCTCAGCATCTTAGCCACTGAGCCACCGCATCCCCTCAATTATGTTGTACTACATTTTATTTGTAGGAAAGAAAACAGGTGTGATTTGGAAAATTGTATTTTCTTTTTGTAAAGCAACTAGTAGTTTCTTAGATAATGAAAAAGCCTAGGCCCTAGGGAAAAGGCTAAATACCCCAGACTTCCTATTGTACTGTGAATATGTCTAGGCTAATTTTTTCTTCTTCTATGTCGGGGTGTCAAACTCATGTCATCACGTTATCATCACATGATGTATCACAACTTTCCCCCCCCCCTTTGGGGGTGGGCATGGCCAGTGCGTGACGCATCCGGCCAGTGGGCCATAAATTTAACACCCCTGCTCTATGCACTCCTCAAGATGAATTGGGGGAATTTTACTCAGAAATCAAGCTCTTATTAGAAGGAGTTTGAAGTGAAGGTGAACAGAGTCTACCCAATGAATTTTTGTCATTCACTTTCACTTTCATTCACAAGCCATTGTATTTGCACACTTCTGTAAAGGTTAAAGGAAAATGTTACATTAGAATCCAGGGAAAGAAATCAGAGGAAAGTTTTTCAGCATTGTAACTGGTGTTTTGTCTTTCTCTGCAGTTAGCCATAATAACAATAGAACAATAAGAATAACTCTTCTGTGTGCTTGGTTTTCTAAATATTTTCCTTGTCTTTTTTATCCATTTTGTGCTTACAATATTAAATTGTTGTATTATAATAAATAAATATTACTTTTTTATTAGAAACTGCACAAATATTTTCCAATTTCTGAAATTGGGAGGCTTCAAGAAGATTCTTCCAACATTGTGGAATTGATCCGTTTGGCTTTTAAGGTAAGAAGCAATGTGTGGTATTTTATGCTGTTACTTCTTGGGATAACATAATTCTCTTATAATTCCCCATAAATGATTTACTCACTCACATTTCATTCTTGCAGTTATTTCTTGGAGCAGCTCTTATTTCAGCCAATTCATAAAGTATTTTCAGGCAGGTAATAATTAGATGACATAAATCAGGGGCATAAAAACTACGTATCTCAAAAAGGTAGCCCATAAAGTTCTACAAAGTACCTATGATTTAAAAATGTAGACTCTTAGTTGCATTCAGAAGGATTGGTGGAGATTAAAGAACAAAATGGGTACTAACAAATAAATTCCCAGTTTTTAAATAATTATTAATGATTAACAATATTTATAGAGTACCTCAATCTATACAACTCTGGATAGTTTCTATGACCAAATAAATATAATATGGCTATCTCCTTCCTTAAAATCAGAATTTCAAATAATAACTACAATTTCCCCCCAAAAATAAGACCTTCCCGGATAATAAGTCACCCCCCAAAAATAAACCCTTCCCCGAAAATAAGCCCTCCTCTAAAAATAAGCCCTCCCTGAAAATATTTAACTGCATGTGCAGCCTGTCCCTGCCATTTCCTCTGGTTAGGGAGACAGAACTGGAAATCAGGTAAGACGGCAAGAGGAGCCCAGTCTTGCTCCATGCGCTCCAAAATAATAAGACCTCCTTGAAAATAAGACCAAGCACTTATTTTGGGGTTCAAAAAATATAAGACAGGGTCTTATTTTCGGGGAAACATGGTAAAGAAGAATAAGAGAAATAATATAAATGTGTACAAAAACATTCTTCTGAAATAAGCTTGTACTGAGGGCCTTCCTAAATCTATAGAGGGAAGGGACCAATTGTACCTTCATGGAAGCATGTTCCATAAAGCGGGGACTACCACTGCAAAGATCTGTTTCCTGGTTCAGTCCCATTAACCTCCTATAATGGAGGGACACAGAGAAAGCCCTCTCTCAATGTGCATACCAAATGGTCAGAATCATGCTTTGCAAGGCATTTCCTGATATATTCCTGTGCGATGGTTCAATAACTCAAATTATGAAATCAGTGGTTTGAATCCATTCCAGTTCTGTATGTTTTCTTTCCTTCTTCCTTCCCAGCGCATTCGTTCCAAGATGAGCATTCAAGCTTACGATATCCCAAAAGCCATGAAAACTGAAATATCATCCTCAAAAAGTGAAAAAATGGAGTCTGGTTCATTGCATATTGTTCAAGGCGAACTGGTAAGCTTTCTATTTTGCATTTCTATCTCTTAATGATTTGCAATTAAAAACAAAGAAAATGAAGAAAACTTTTGATTTTGGAAAGGCATTTAGATCTTTTGGGCTACAGGGGGGGCCTTCTCTGAGCCCGTAAATTTGCATAACTTAAAGCAACAGGGGGAAAACTGTGAGCTACTGCAGTTCCTGGACCATTTTTATTTTTTGCAGCATTTCAAGATTGCACTGCCAAAATTCACTGACAGATTCAAAATGCAATTTCCTCCAAACCCCATGTATACTGAACATGTGTTAAACTTTCCAGTAAATCTGGGATAACTTAACCAGCAAATTCTACTCCAGAAATCTGAACATTTAAAACAAACAAACAAACAAAGTTTGTCTCCACTAGTGTAACATCATGATATCAATGCCCATCCCTGTGACTCCCAGCTGCTGAGGATATCCCTGCTCAAAAGAACGCCCTCTGGCTGTAAACAAATTGGACACCTTGAGCTAAACGAAACAAATGAGAACTGTCTGTGTCTCATGTCCTCTTCTCAGGTTGAGCCACTGATCATGTAACCTGTTGATCCCTGGAGGTATCTATTGAAGATTCTGGATTTGCATTAATTTCTGATAAATTATAAATCAAATATATTCCATAGTAACTGTGGCAGTAAATAAACCCAGTTTCAATGCAATGCCAATGGGTTTAAAAATGTTGGTAACTGGCTGTTGAGACCAAGAAGAGTAATGTCCCAAATCCCAGATCATCTTTGTATTTTATAGTATTGTTATTACCCCATCCTTAGTATTGTTATTATTCCTGGGAAACCCTGGCACAAGATCGATCGACATGGCACATGTTGATCCACCAAGGCTGCCAGACATTTGAAGGCAGAAGGACAATCATAGCACAAGAGAAGCGATCACTCTGCAAAGCCAGAGCTGCAAATGCTGCAACAATGGTGCCCACACATGTCTGCTCGACATATGGCAAAACATTCTGTGCCCTTATAGGCCTTACTAGCCACCTGTGAACATGATTACTCCATCCTAGCTGTGCTTGAGGGACTGGGAGGAAAAGCAGTTAGTAAGAATAGTTTTGGAAATCTGTACTTCTTGCATCCTCTTTTCAAATTCAAGAGAGAAAAATCTTATTTCCGTGTCTCTATCCATTCAGCTTTTGAACTAATTCAGGAGGAAAGAATCTACTAGTTACTTTGGATTTTAATTTCTATTGGTCCTCTATTAGCCATGCTAAAAATAAAGAACTTTGCAGTCATAAAACAAACTATCCAGTGGGCCTCAGGATCCCCAATAGATCTGTCGCTAGTCTTTCAGTCTCACATTTGTGGATAAAGTTGCTTCTTTTTCTAAATGAATCCAGAAAAAACACAAGGCTTCTCTCTTCTCTCCAGAAAACTTTCAATGTGAATTTGAAAGCTAAGCACTTTGCTGACAAGCATGTCTGTGATCTCCCAGAGAAGGAGCGGAAAGGTATTATCCACATTAAGCCCTCCTCTTTCAGTCACAAAATGGAGATTGATGCCTCAATTCTCTGCGACACCTGCTCCTGTGAAAAGGTGGGTTGTTTCCCTCCTCTTTGATTAGCAGTTCCAAGAATTGTTCTAGACCTGGACAATATGTGATGCAAGAAATTTAACCCTGGTCTGATCCATTTTTACTAATAGAAATCATAAAATTAACGGTTGTTCTGTGTCTGGAATGAGATCCAGTAATGTCTTCTTGCTTGTTTGCAGACTCAGGAAGTTAAATCATCAAAGTGCAGTTACAATGGAAATTTTGTCTGCGGACAATGTGTGTGCAATCCAGGCTGGCAAGTATCCCAATTAGGTTTTTCTTTCAAAGTGGGGTCCATTGTCTTTCCTCTATCAGAAAGTTTATGCCTTTCTTCTCCAAGAACAAGAAGTAGATGAATTGGAGAAACTGATAATTCTCCTCTTGCCTCTCAAAATGTTTTTTTCATACTTTAGATAGTGTGTGTGTGTGTGTGTGTGTATATAATATAAACATATAGATTTATGCAATTATATATTTAATATACTTAATATTTATTTTATAATAATCCACATGATTTTACACACACACACACACACACACACACACAACCTCTTATTTATTCAATTTACATCTCACATATTTAACTCACAACAATTAAAAATAATAGAGTAATAAAAAATATAAACAAAAAACAAATATACAACCATGCTAAAACCATTATTACACTATTCAAACATGAAATATAATCCATCTGCTGGTCAATACGAGTAATATACCCCATTTAATATAATCATTGGAAAGGCTCACTGCTACCACCTGACACTAAAGGACGGTGGCCCTGCCGTGTCTAGGACAGCCTTACCTTTTCTAAAGGCCAGAAGGGTAGGAGGCCGATCTATCCCATCTATATCTCAGTATATACTGTATATCAGGCCTGTGAATTCACATCCCAATAAAGGTTTGAACACATATAAAAGATCGAATATATGGAGTAAGTAACATATAATAGCCAGTTTGTTGTAGTGGCTAGGGATCAGACTAGAAACTGGGAGACTGTGAGTTCTAGTCTTGCTTTAGGTATGAAGCCAGCTAGGTAACCCTGGGCCAGTCACTTTCTCTCAACTCTAGGAAGGAGGCAATGGCAAACCAATTATGAAGAACTTTGCCAAGACAACTGCAGGGACTTGCCTGGGTAGTCTCTAAGAACTGGACACTATGAAACTTAAGGGGGGACCCTATATGAAAGCTACCTATGCCTGGTTAAGTCCCATATAAGAGTGAAACTAATCAAATAATGTCTGCTAAGGTCAGTAACAAATATAGCAATTTATAAAGCACTTTATGCTATTTGTCAAAAATGAAAGCAGACCCTGCCAATAGTCAAATAGCCTAAATGGTTTGGGCCTCTATTTAGCTGAACAAGATGTTATATCTGTGCATCTAACGGCCATTCTCACACTTGACTTCCTCTCACTTTGACAGGCGGGGGGACCAGTGTAGTTGCTCAACATCCTCCTTTACTGATACTGAGGCCTGCACACGACCTGGAGATAAAGAACCCTGTTCTGGCAAAGGAGAATGCCTTTGTGGGATCTGTCAGTGCTATTCTGAAGATCTCATCCAGCGTTATGAAGGACAGTATTGTGAATTCGACAACTTGCAATGTTCCCGCACTTCTGGATTCCTCTGCAATGGTAAATCTTTGGGAAGGGCAAATTATTGCTTACTCTGCCCTCAATTCATTGAGATACAGCCTTGTAAACCTGACAATTCATGAAGAGTTCAGCAATACTGGAGTAGCTTTGGCCAACTTGGGGCTCTGGTAGTGTCCCTCAGCCCTTGAAGAAGACTGATTTTGAGGGCATGTCCCATTGTTGATGACGGTTCAGAATAGCTTTCCCAGATGAGGCATCCCAGTGATAAAGTTCAGAATATCTAGAGATTCCTATTGGCAGTAAACTTTTTTTTCTGGGTCAGACCATGTGTTATATTATTTATGGAGTGTGCAGCTGACTGAAAATATTAATAAGAGGAAACACCAGAATTCTAATAGGGATTGCAAGAATGCAAGTTGGGCAGTCACCTTAGAATTCCCCCTGGCTAGTCATTTTCATTCAACTCATCCTATCTCACAAGTTAGGAACAATTAATTGATTATGTGCTATCAAAACATTGTCAACTCTCAGTGATCACTTAGATAGATCTTTCCCATTTGTGTAAGGAATAACTCTATGTATATTGCTTTGAACTCCTTAGAAAAAAAGTGAGATACAATTATGGCAAATAGACAGTTGGCCCCAGTTGTGTTCTTGTTTGAACTGAATTCCTAGTTGAGGACAGAAAGGTTTTGAATGTCCATATGTTTTCTTTGAGGCACATACACAAACGCAAACACAGAGGGGGGAAAAAGATGTTCTATTCAAGCATTCCCTTTGTTCTAACCTGTCACCTTTGCTTAGCTTAGCTGTAGAGATATGTATCATATGTGAACTGCCCTTGTACTGCATATAGATGAGAAAAAAATAGAAACATAAAAACAGACCTGCTATGTAGGTAAGTTGGCTCTTAACGTCTTTGTGCTGATGCTACCTGTCTCTCTACAGACCGGGGACGATGCTACATGGGCCAGTGTGTATGTGAAGCTGGTTGGGAAGGCGCCGGCTGTGAGTGTCCCACAAGCAACGAAACCTGTGTCAGCAGCAATGGGGTAAGTAAATTGCCCATCCAGAAGAGCTATCAGAAGAGGTCATGAAGAGAAAAATACAAGTGGCCTACTGGTTATCCACACACACCCCAATCCAAGGTTGGATGCAGAAAGTGTTTAATGTGACAATTCATGTGAAAATCTGCCAATATATAGTTATTACAAACTGAATAAATTGGAGATGAAATCCAGTATTGTCAATTCATCTTAAAAAGAATCATTGCTCTCATTAGATCGCTAGTGAGATGTTGGCTGCTTGACAGTTGATCTTATTGCTGTTTAATATATATAATCTGTGATCCTTAAATAAAAACAGATAGAAAAAGGTTCTTTCCTTCCCTTTTAAATGTTCCCTGGTAGTGAAAAAAGCTCTGTCTCGAACATCAGGTAAAGTCTTCTGTTATCTCAATGTAGGCAATGAAGAAAAAGCTGAATAATTACTTTGCTCTCTTGTAGCTGATTTGTAATGGACAAGGGAGATGTGAATGTGGTCGATGCCTCTGTAATAACCCCACTGCTCCCCATACTGATCTCAACTGTGAACTTGGAAACTTGGTAAGTGCACGAAAGTGCATATTTGTTAAGCAAATGACTATGACTATTAATACTGTTGCTATATTGTAGTAGGAAAAATTGGTACAAGGATATGTTCCTTTTTCTAAACCATCTTGCCTTTTCATAATGCATTTTTATTGTTGACAGCATCCATATGCAAATATAAGCCTGTACAAATATAGTCACAAAAGCTCTTTCTTCATCTGTCAATATTAACTCTTCCTCAATTCAGGAGTAACTATTCCTATCCTTTCTCACAATAATCAACGAATCAAACAATCAATCAGAACAATAAAATTTCTGCAGTACAATAGAATATCTACAGAAGAGGCAAAGCAGATACACGTGATTTGCTAGAATAAACAATGCAGTTACTTTTGAGTGGTGAGAAACTAAGGTTGCTGGTATTTACTGGAGGTTCAGTTGTTTTTGAAGGAGGCACTTCCATGATACAAGGTGTATTTTAATATACATAAGAATAGAAGTTCATATAATTTATTCCCCAGCAGAATCAAGTTCCCTGTTGGGTTGCTTGGGGAATCTTTCTATTTGCAGAAGGCTTTATCTTCTGTCCACCAGCGGAATGGAACCTTCAGGCTTCTACCCTTGGCCATGCCTCCTTCTCCTCCAGCCTCCCACCTCCGCCCATTTAAAGCCAGCTTTCATCCTCCACTAGTCCTTCCCCAGTAATTTGCCCTGGCCAATGTACCTCTAGCCCTCTGCCCCACACCCTTCGGCCTGGGCCATTCGCCAAGACACTGTTTGTCCCAGGCCTTTGGCCGCATGGGACAGTTAGCTGCCAGCCAGTGTGTGATTACAGGGGGCTATGGTGCTATTGTGGAGGTGCCACAGCCGAACGTCAGAGTTCGTAATAGCATTTATTTTGCTATGGGAGATTCCCTCACTCACCCCTTCTTCTCCACTGGCTTCATTCACAAGACTGCATCTCACATCAGTGTTACATGCACGGGGCATGTATTGTCCTTTCTGATACTTTCTATGTGATATCCATGAAGTGCTTTTAATGCTGTAAGCCGCCCAAAGATGTTTCGAAACAAGATGGGCAGCAAATAAATGTAAGAAATAAATAAATATCCATCTCTCCGCTCCTCACTATCTATTCGTGCTCAGCACTAATCTAGAACTGAAGGTTTTGTCCGCCTTCTCATGCTCTCTCCATCGTGTCTAGGCTTTCCAGCAATTGTGTGAGGAAGAATTCCGAAGTTGCATCCAGTGTCAGGCTTGGGACACTGGAGAGAAGAAGGGACAGAAATGTTCAAAGTGCCATTTCGAGATCAAGCTGGTGGATGAATTAAAGCAAGGTAGTGTAGTTCTTCAACCACCCAGTTTAATATTCAAATGCAAACCAAACATTCCACATAACACTGTTGAATTTGATGGGTGGAGGGAAAGGGAGAATAATGTAAGCCAGACCTGGGCATTTTAAAGTGCCCAGGCCACATCTGGCCCTTTGGCTGTCCCTGTCCATCCCATGTGGCTTGCTTTTATTTTGAAGGCTATTGCTTTTTTTAAAAAATTATATATGTGCCTGCATGTATGCTTATGCATCTTCATAGATTTGTTACTTTGCCCCTCCACAATAGTCCCAGTTTCTCACGTGACCCCTTGGAAAAATTAATTGCTCATCCCTGATGTAAACAGTAGGCAGTCCTAGTCTTCCTTTTCCTAAAAGCTATTCCATGTTTTTGGTTATCTTATTTTTTTACTGTCCCTGCTTTGTCTGAACTTTACCTTTTGGGAAAAACTTAATTAAACTGCGAGTGAGTTGTACCATCAGTTCTTGTTTCTGACAATCAAAACATAGGAGTAAAATATCTTGAGCATGAGTGTATCTGTCTTTAATGGGCATGCATGTAAAAACATGTACCCAGACAGTAAATCACCAAGTAAGATATAAACCTACATATACTTCAAACTTCTTTTGAAATCTGAGAGCAGCATATCTTTAATTACATCTTCCTAAAATACTTACAGTATTAGCCAAAATTAAAAAGATACCACTGTCATCCAAACCAGGGAGCAAAGACTATTTCATAAACCAAAAAAAATGATTAAAATTAAAACTATCTATTATGGATCGGGATAATAGGAAGAATCCAGGGATGTTCCTATTTTCATGTACGCAACATTGAAGAATGTACTGATTCCCAGTATTACACAACATGTTCATTACATCGCAATTGCAATTGTAAGAAGATGGTTGGCAGAGATAAGCTGTTTAAGTCTGTTTCCTTATTATGTGAACATATCACATTTTAGTAGAAACGTGCTGATCAGTGGACCTTACCCTCATTAGTGATTTATAGCATCTCACAGTGGCACCTAACATAGATTATTTTCATTAATGATTTGTTGTCACAGTAATGATTGGGTAGCATTGTAATATACTATAATCTTCTTATAAGAAAATGATCAGTGATTACTGGTAAGCACGCTTTTTCATGCCCCCAATAAACTGAGCAAAGAATAAGGATAGAGCCATCAAATGCTTATGCCACGCTAATTGGCTTTCCTCTTTCTCCTTTTGCACAGACACATCAAAACATGCTGAATAGAATTGCATCATGAATGTACATATTTCAGATATTCTAATGTAATTTATTACATGGCAGTGATATAAAGTGGGTTGGATTAGCCACATTTGGATTAACTGCACTGAAAACTCTGTGATTTAGTTCCTTCTTGTTGATTCAGCCTTATCTCCTTTAGTTCAGGCTTTTAAAACTAAGATAGCTTCTTTCCCCTTATTTTGAGGAGTGTGTTGGCAGATTGAATCACTCAAACCCTGAAGGTGTTTGTTTGGAATGGCCTCAAATGGAAAAATAAGAAGTTCTCCCTTTTCTCCATTGCCAACAGTAGAATTTTGATCCCAGCAATTTCCAACATAAATTGGCAATATTACATCTGATGGTTGTTGTTTTTTTACTCTGCAGAACAGGTTTGTACCTTCCAAGATGAGGAGGATGATTGCCTTTACCGCTACACTAGGGAAGAAGGCACCAATCTATCACAAAACAATACTGTTCTTGTGCAGAAGAAAGGTAAGTATTAACTTTCTATGAAGAGAGTGGGATCTCAAGATGTAGCAGGTAGGATAAACTAGAAGGTCTATTATTTAGATTTCACTAAGCCCTGTCAACTAGTTTTTCATTTGTTTTTGAAACTCTGTTGGTCAGTGTTTTCTCATTCACACTAATGGAGTTGCATCATGGTAGATCAGGATGTACTAGTAGTTTTCTGAATTATTTGCAATTGATTGACAAAGATGCCTGACTTCTTTTTTTTAGCAAGCGCAACGACAAATGACTTTTTTAAAAATTGGGTTGCTGAAACAAGGAAAGCTTGAACTGACCACGAGTGGACTTTATATGACAAAGGCAGCTCTGTTCATTTCTGATCTTGGAAACAAACCCCTGGATTTAAAGGGTGTTTGGAGACATGCTTTTTCTTTCATCCCAAGTTTGTTTCTGCAGTCAATAGTGGCTCCTGAATGACAATGAAAGATCCTCAGTCATCCGGGCAGAGTTGTCTGACAGCTGAGTGATGGCAACTGGACTTGTTTTCTTGTTGGTTTGAGAGATTTCGCTGCCCATCCAAGCAGCGCCTCCAGTCTGATCAAAATTAGTTAGGGTGAGAAGGAATGTACCGACTAGGTTGAAGTGCAAATGATTCCTATAGTCTGCCACTTTTCTTACTGACTTTTTCTATTCCTTCACCAACCTTGGATGGGCAGCGAAACATCTCAAACCAGGAAGAAAATAAGTCCAGTTGCCCTGACTCAACTTCCAGTGGCTCCTGAAGTTTTAAAATAAATAAAGTCCACTCTATTAGTCTAAACTCTGCTGCTCTAAATTAATCCCTCCAGAAGTTTTAGACAACAAAACTCATTGCCTGCACACAGCATCACTATGCACAATCTGGATGGTGAAATTGTAATCCAGCTCTTTTGGAGATAAAATCTGGGCTCTAGAAGCCTGATCTTCATAACCTGGCAGGAATTCTCAAAGTTTTCAGTTGGCTACCTCTATCTGGAGATGCTGGTGCAGAATTTTTTACATGCAATGCATGTGTTCTGCCACTGAGTTACAGTATCTGCTGCATTTGCTGTAACACTTTCCTCTTCTCTTCCCTAACCAGGAAAATGAAAGATAATGTTGCTTCCTTTGGTCTCTTGATTCTTTTGGAACATGTTTTTTTATTTGTTGTCATTATATGCAGAGTGTCCACCGGGAAGTTTTCTTTGGCTTATCCCCCTACTCATTTTTCTGATACTACTCCTGGGGTTGCTGCTCCTCCTATGCTGGAAATTCTGTGATTGTTGCAAGGTAAATTTTATCTTCCCAACCTGCAGTAGCAAAGGAAAACTGGGCCGGGGTGGGGTGGGGGGCTTTGGTGGCATGTTTTGAATCTAACCTGTGACTCAGTCATTTTTTTCTAACAACTTGAAGATTTTTTTTAAATCTTCTCTCCGATCACATAAAAATTAGAGGTCACATTTTCTGTCTTGTCCGTGTAAGCTTCTAGTTGAAGCTATTTTTATATTAACTAAATGTTAACAAGTATGTTTCTTCTACTGTAGATGTAGCTTTCTTCAACTTCAGGAGAATCATTATTTTAAAAGATTACTTTTCTCCAATATATCGGAGATACTGTATTTTGTTTTATCCTAAAATGATTGTGTATGGGAATTCGGAATGGAATATATTGGAAGGCATTGAGGTTTGGAGTTGGAGTAGACACTTGTCCGGTGGGAAAGATCAAGAAACAATGGCATTGCAACATCAATGCCAAGGAGCAAATGAAAATGTATGGAGAAAGAGAGCCAGTGATCCCTTACCACTAGTCCTATCGAGAAGAGCCTTGGTAGTACAGGGGTTTAAGGCACCCTGTTATTAAGCTTATTAAGACCAGCTGCCTGCAATTACTGCAGGGTTCGAATCTCGCCAAGGCTCAAGGTTGACTCAGCCTTCCATCCTTTCTAAGGTAGGTAAAATGAGGGCCCAGTTTGTGGGGGCAATAAGCTGACTTTGTATAAATATACAAAAGGATGAAGGCTATTGCTGAGCACATTGTAAGCCTTCCTGAGTCTTCGGAGAAGGGCAGCATATAAATCAAAATTAAAAAAAAAAAAAAGTGCCTGAGAAATAAGCATGTAGAAAAGGCATTATTTGTAGGATACATTGCCATAATCACTTACATCATTGATCTAAAGGGGTCAAGGTCATATTAATCTTATTTATTAGTTCAGTCCCTATGCCATGTAAACCAGGTTGGTATGTTTCTCTTGTTGCCTTTCATGGATCCACTTAAACAAGGGCAACAGGCAGAGAGGTCTATTCTCCTGCCAGTAAACTTAGTTTTGCATTTTTGCATTAAAACCAATTCATTAAAACCTTTTCTTTTTTCTTTTCTTTTCTTTTTTTTTTTTTGACACCTAGCATTGTTTGGCGTTGCTACCCTGTTGTGCACGAGGTACATCTTTTGAATTTATATGCGGTCTCTGGTACGGGTGATAATAGCATTAGCATGGTGTGCTTAGCTCAAGACTGAAAGAAAGCAATATAGACAGTCCTTGACTTACAACCATTCATTGAGCAACCATTCAAGATTACAACAGCACCAAACAGAGGAACTTACAGCCAGTATTCACACTTACAACCATTGTAACATCCCATGGTCATGTGATCAAAATTTAGGCACCTGTCAATCGGCATCTATTTATATGAGGTCAGGATTTGCAACCTTCCCAGCCGGTTTCTGACAAGCAAAGTCAAGGGGGGGGAGGGGTTAGTGGATTCACTTAATGATCATATGATTCACTTAGCAACTGCAATGATTCACTTAATAACCATGGCAAAAAGGTTTGTAAGATTGGGAGCATCTCACTTAACAATCACCTTGCTTAGCAATGGAAATTCTGGTCCTAATTGTGATTGTAAGTTGAGAACTACCTATATTACATTCAAAGAAGTCTAGTATGTTTGGGGGGGGAGGGGAAACCTAGCAGGCATACAAGTTGCCTGTCACTTAAATCAGCTCAGTAATTATCTGTCTAAATTCTACCAGCCTGTATCCAGTTAGGCAGTAGCTGTCTTAAGAAGATTACGACTTTTCAAGCACTGTTCTCTGAAGCTCTTCATTTTTGGGAGAACCTGGATCAAAACCTATGCATTTAACTCTCTGAACAGCAGAGAGAAAATAATCCCTTATAGAGTATTTAGAGCAGTGTTTCTCAACCTTGGTAACTTGAAGATGGGTGGACTTCAACTCCCAGAATCCCCCAGTCAGCGCTGCTGGCTGGGGGATTCTGGGACTTGAAGTCCACCCATCTTCAAGCTACAAAGGTTGAGAAACACTGATTTAGAGAATGTAAAGAAACATAAAGCTTCATGTGTTTGAATTGAAATGCATTTTAGAATAGTATAATGATTCTGGAATATACACTATGAACCCATGCTGAAATATATGATGTAAAGTAGATGTATGATATAACAATAATGAGGGACAGAATTAGGAATTTGAGTCATGGATGGCCAATCTCAAAATTAACAATAATATAATTTATTGCCAGCAATCTGAGCACCAGTTACTAATTAGAAATAGGGAAAGGGGAGTGGGAAACTCATGCTACAGTGTAAGTAAGGTGCTTCTCCTTTGACAATGTAAATAAGGTGCTTCTCCTTTGACAAAAGTATTTTATTTATTCTATTTAATACGGGTCTCCAACCTTGGCAACTTTAAGACTTGTGGACTTCAACTCCCAGAATTCCTCAGCCAGCTTTGCTTCTGGGAGTTGAAGTTCACAAGTCTTAAAGTTGCCAAGGTTGGAGACCCCTGATTTAATATATAAAAAAGATCTAAAGTTAGATCCATGGTGCTGAAGTACCAATACTAACTTTCTTTCCCTCTCTGAAGGTCGCATGGTTGGTTTCAAGGAGGACCACTATCTGCTCAGGCAGAGTCTCATGGCATCAGATCACCTGGACACTCCAATGGTGCGCAGCGGTAATTTGAAAGGGAGAGACACAGTCCACTGGAAGATCAGAAACAATGTGCAAAAGCAAGACTACTCATCCTTCGCCTTCAATCCCAAGGATATCAGTAAGTGCTTGTTTTACAAGGTGGAAAAGAGCATCCTGATGGAACATAGCTTATTTCTGAAGTTAATGGTGACCATAGTGCAGGGGTGCCAAACTCAAGGCCCACAGGCTGAATGGCGGCCCGTGGGGCTGGCTTGGAAACAGCGAAGGACCAGCCCATGGTGCCTCTGCCAGCTAAAACAAGCTCCCAATCTCCATGAGGCCCTCTCGAGCTTCGTTTTCACTGGCAGAGGGTTGCAGGAGGCCATCCCATCTGAAAACGGAGATTGGGAGCCCGTTTTCACTGGCAGAGCACTCGGGCCCCCACAGGCACCCCTGACACGAGTGACATCAAGCTGGCCATGCCAACCCTGGCCACACCCACCCCGGCCCACCGAGGTTAAACACAACCGTGATGCCCTCAGTGAAATCGAGTTTGACACCCCTGCCATAGTGGGATAGTTACTCCTTCAGTATCTGGCTTGAAACCTGATTCAAATATCAAGGCAGTCATGTAGCCTCACCCATCTATAGCCTCCCAAAGTATGTGAGGAACTGCTGGTTAGGACACAGGTAGTCCTTGGTTACAATGGCAAGTGAGACCAGGATTAACATTGTTAAGCAATGTGGTTGAAAGATACAACACCACACATCCACATTGCTTAGTGATAGCAGTCCCAGGCAGTTCTGGTTGCCATCATAACCCCAAGATGGATGGGTTGTTAAGCAGAAAGAGATGGGTATCTCAAGTAAGGAGCACACGAGTCGCCAAGGGAGGGCATGCAAAGGCTTGGCACAGGAGGCCAGAGAGAACTGGCTCAGGCCATGCAAGAATTGGGGAGGGCAGCAGAGACTTTGCATGAGATACAGGAGCCAGGAAAGGGTCGGGAAGGACCAGTGGAAGCTGTGTGTGTTACTATGGGCAGGTAAAAAAGCAGGAGAAACTTACTGGAGCGACTTTCAACCTTCCTTCTGGGGCTTTGCTTGTGGAAAGCTGGCAGGGAAGGTGGCAAATGGTGACATATGACTGTAGTTTTTTGTAATGTCATAATCGTAAGCTGGACACTGGAATACCCAGTTCACAATTATGTGACCGCAAGGGTATTGTGTTGGCTGGAATATCAGAGATTGGTCGTACATTCATTTTTTCAGTGCTGCCATAGCTTCGAACAGTCACTGAACTAAGGGACATACAGTAAGCCAAATCCTTCCTGTACCCTCAAGTCATGATCTCTTTCCACGTTTTCAAAGATAATGGTAAGCTTGCAAGCTACCTTTTTCAGTAGAGCTGCCTGAATAGAAAAGGATTTAACATAAGGCTGATTCAAAAAAGATCTCAGACTTGTTTTTTGAGATGCTGTTAATTTTTCAGAGAACTCTCGTGACCATTAGTACAATTGCCTTGTTTTTTTAGATGTAACTGCACCACGAGCCTATACATTTTATGTAAGTTTAATTTTTGAGATGTCTCTGGAATTTCTGCTCTGAAGATACTGATAGAAGGTGTATCTGGGAGAAATTCCTGTCATTCTTACCTACAGTTATACTTAGAAGCAGAGAAGGGATCACTGTGTAACTAATGTAAGACTATGATGTAGATTCTAATTTTTGAAGTCCAGCAAAACTCTATGTCAAAATTATAGGTACTTCAGAATTCTAATCACTGTTTGGTATGTGTAAAATAAACTCTCTGACTGAACCATATCATTATTTCCCATTATATCTCTGTATTAATTGGTTGTGCTCCTTGCTTGACTGGCAGCTGCAAATTCTGATGGATTTATTTTCTTATTTTCAGTTCCATATGGGCTCTCTCTCAGATTGACACGCCTTTACACCCAAAGTCTTGCAAAACTGGATAGCCGTGAAAAAGAGCAACTGCAGAAAGAAGTGGAGGAAAATGTAAGAAGTAGGGGTATTTGTTCTATTTTTCACTCTCCCTTGTTATAGGACGTGTGTGTGTATATCTGTATGACTTGCTCCTCTTTTTATCCTCACCATAGTTCTGGCAGGTGGGTGAGGTAGATTTTGACAGACCCAAAGTCCACACAGAACATGACAACTAGTCAGGTCAAATAGGAACCAAAGAATCCTCCCTAAACACTCTGTCATGCAGGTTTCTTGCTGAGGAGGCACAGATATTGAACCCAGTGCAAGATTTCTTTCCCTAGATTTGAGTGTTGATACAACTTCTGTTGTGGATGTGATGTCTGGATATAAATCAAATGAAGGGCAGAAGATGAAGGGCTTGATGCTTTTAATATTAATATTTGACTGAGCACCTGATGAACTTATGTACCAGCTTGATGTATATTGGGTCAGTTAAGGATCCTGGTGGCTCACATGGTTAGGATGCTGGGTGGGAGGTTAGCAAGCCAGCGTTCGAGACCCGAGTACTGCTGTGGGTTGGGGTGAGCTCTGTCATTTGCTCAAGCTCCTTTATGGGGATATCAAAGGAGCCCACTCAGGCATCCCGCAGGCAACAATGCTGTCACTGGCTAAACCTAACCTTTAAACGGTGCCTCTAATATGAATGGGATGGGGGGATTAGGGATTGGGGTAGTTCTCTTGAGGATCTGGACTAATGACCCTCTCTTGCTCTTCCCAGCTGAATGAAGTGTACAGAATAATCCCAGGTTTCCAAAAGTTCCAGCAGACAAAATTCAGGTGAGAGCATAACTGTCTTGGGAAGAAAGCATGAAATCTCAGTCAACAGATTTTTTTTTTACAGGAAAGTAGATGATGATAGGTGAGTAACAAGGAACTTGTGTAATGAGAGAATCTTTTTGGCCGTCTTCTTTGTCCTTTTTCCTAGAATGTGAAGGTAGTAGAATTTGAATTCTTCTCTGATCAGCTTTCCAATGCTACAACAATAACTGTATAAAGTCTACAGGGCGCTGATTTGGTCTGACAGTCATTAAAGTTCTTGATATTCTTTTTCATTAAATCCAGGAAATTTATGGATTTTATCTGTTTTCTCCCCAGGATTCAGCCAAATGCTGGAAAAAGGTAAACAAAACCATTCATTTCTACTCTAACTTCCAGGTATGGACTTAGAAATAAATTTCCATTGTTGTGCTTTACTGCAACAATTTTTGCCTACCTTCCAGAAAATAGGATGTTGTTATTTAACTTTATCACTGCTGGTCTTTTTCTCTGCATTGTATTATTTACTTTCCAGAGAATCAATAGCAATAGCACTTAGACTTATATACCACTCCATAGTGCTTTACAGCCCTCTCTAAGTGGTTTTCAGAGTCAGCATATTGCCCCCAACAATCTGGGTCCTCATTTTACCCACCTCGGAAGGATGGAAGGCTGAGTCAACCTTGAGCCGGTGAGACTCAAATTCCTGGCAGCCGGCAGTCAGCAGAAGTAGCCTGCAGTACTGCATTCTAACCACTGCGCCATGACGGCTCAAGTTGTTTATCCTGAACTTCTCATTACTACTGTGGAAACCTATGCTGATACAGGTAGTCATCAACTTATTTCAGTTCATTCAGTGACTATTCAAACTTGGGACAGCGTTGAACAAGTAGCACTTAGGACCGGCTCACAGAGTTTTGACCTGTTGAAGCATCCCTGAGGTTACATGATTTCCAATATCCCCTGCCAGCTTCCCTTAAACAAAGTCAAAGGGGAAGCTAGCAGGAAATTAGAAGTTATGGTCATGTGACATCCTTGGTGGACTGCCACAATTAAGAATTGTGGTCATGTGATCTCCCACTTTATGACCTCAACTTGGTGACAGCAATTCCAGTACTAATTGTCATTGTTAACTGAGGACTACTTGTAGTAGGCAGCTAAGAGTTACACATAGATTATTCTGGCTGTTGTAGACGGACATTTCCATTGACAGATTCCTCCATGAGGTTTTGGATTTGACTCTAGCCTGAAATGTTTGAAGACAGACGTATGGCCATTAATAGGCTCCTGGAAAGTGTAACCAGCTAAAAACTGTAGAAGCCCATGTTATCTCTTTGGTGCTGCATGTTACCTGGTCTTTCAACCCACTGCAGGTGCCACTTTTGGGGATAGTGGGAGCCACCCAATATTAATTCCTTAGCTGTGGAAGACTCTAGATCAGCATTGTCTGTGGATTAGCAGTTATAAATTTGTGTGGGCATTTGTGGACAATGGTTGCATCTTGCTACAGCTCAAGCTGGGATGGCTGATCGGTTTGGGCATGATTTTATTTTTTCTTATATAACACTAGGGCTTCATTTGTCATGTTTCCTCATATGTGGCCATATGCCAGGATACCACATGGGCAGGGGAGGCAGCCTGATGTTTTTCTTCTTCCCAGGCAAGACCACACAATCCTGGACACGGTGCTCCCAGCTCCCCGCTCAGCCAGGAACGAAATTATCAAAGTAACAGAGAAGCATGTCTCGCAAGGAGCTTTCAATGAATTAAAAGTGTCGCCTGGTTACTACACTGTGATTGCTGACCAAGGTAGGGGCCTCCTCCTCCTCCTTTTTGTTTTAACATCTGAGCTGCTCCATTTCAGACTGATTGAAGGATGGGGTAGGGGGAGCCTTCTGTGATGGAATGCTTCTCCATACAGTTTTCTCTGTCGGAACCAGTCTGGGAGCCTTTGGGAGGGAGAAGTCTTCTTTCATACATGGCAGAGTTCTTGTTTTTATTACTATAGTCCAGAGGTCTCCAACCTTGGCAACTTTAAGACTTATGGATTTCAATTCTCAGAATTCCTCAGCCAGCTCTGCTTTGCTGGCTGACGAACTCTGAGATTTGAAGTCCATAAGTCTTAACGTTGCCAAGGTTGGAGACCCCTTCTATAGTCAGCAGTGATACAGACTGTCCTCAATTTACGACCACAATTGAGCCCCAAATATCCATTGCTAAGCAAGACAGTTGTTAAGTGAATTTTGCCCCATTTTATATCCTACCTTTTCACAGTGGTTAAGTGAATCACTGCACTTGTTAAATTAGTAACATGGTTATTAAGTAAATTTGACTTTTTCCCTTTTTAAAAAAAATGTTTTTATTCAACGTTTACATCTTTTAAATCTTAGTTATACTTTTACAGCTTTCCAATACTGGCATTTTTAGTAATATCCAATTTATCTTTCAGCCAACTATATACATACACATTTTGCTTGTTACATACTTATTCATATAATCAATACATTTTATATACAAACCTACTACACATTAAATATAATATTCCATTATAATATCTTCTCTTTTGCTATACACTATCCATTAAGTTTAGATTCCTTTTCCAACCAATCATATCATCTGTTCCATGTTTCATAATAAATCGTTTCCTCTCTGTCCTTAAGTTCCATCGTTAACTTGTCTGCTTCTGCACTTTCTCATTGACTTTGCTTGTCAAAAGATTGCAAAAAGTGATCACCATAACCCCGGGACACTGCAACCGTCATAAATATGAGTCGGTTTGCCAAGCATGCCAAATTTTGATCATGTGACCATGGGTATAGTGCAACAATCGTAAGAGTGAAAAGGGTCATAAGTCACTTTTCTCAAGTGTAACTTCGAACAGTCACTAACCAAACTGTTGTAAGTCGAGGCCTACCTGTACAGCCTAATGCAGACTGACAATTGCACTGAAGGTTAGGGGTGATTCCAGAAACAAGACTTTGCCATTTTTAGTCATGTGACACTGTGGACCTATTCTGTTTTCCTTTCCTGAATAAATATTCAATGACAGACGAAATGTCAAGGTAAATCCAAGTGGTGCTAACCTGTGACCTTCAAATGTTGTTGAGCTTCAGCTCCCAACAGTCCTGGCCAGCACAGCTAACTTGAGAAATACTAGGAGCTGCAGTTCAGCAACAACTAGGAAAATGAATGTTGCCCACCACTTGAATAAATGATGATGTGCAAATTCAGGAAGAAGAAGATATTGCCATCTGGACTCTCCTGTATTATGTAGGAGGACAGAGTAACTACCGGTATATAGTAAGAATTCAAGGGCTTGTTTTATAAGAGTGCTTTCTAATAGTGAACTTATTCTTCTTCTTTCCTTTGCCTCCATCCAAACCCCAGATGCCCAGGGCATGGTTGAGTTTCAGGAAGGGGTAGAGTTGGTGGATGTTCGGGTTCCCCTGTTCATCAGGGAAGAGGATGATGATGAAAAACAGCTGCATGTAGAAGCTATTGATGTTCCTGTGGGCACCGCAAAAATTGGTCGTCATCAAGTCAACATCACCATAATAAAAGAGCAAGGTAGTATGATAGCGTACAGTGGGGAAGACAAATGTTAGTCATACAATCACCTTTGGCTGGTCCTTGTGTAGTTTATTTACCATAGTTAAATGTAGCTTGTTCCTGGAAAAGACCTTCTGTTCCAATGGGCAGTCAGAAAACTTTTTGGTTCTCTGAAAAATCAGTTGTCCTATCTATATATTATAGACAAGAGATGGAAGAACTCCTTTTGTGTCACTTAGAGCACCTTCAAACTCTTCAAAGCACGCCCTGAAAAAGGAAACTTCAAAAGTTAGGGTAAATGGATTGGGGGAACTTTAAAAAGTAGAATGAATACCTTAAGCCTTGCAAATATTTAAGGCATTCATTTCATCTTTTAAAAATTTCCCAACTCTTCCCCAATGTCAAGCTGATTTCTATAAGTGAATCTAGGAGCAAAACAGGTACTTGCATGCCTTAAATGAGGTCACAGATCATCATTATATCAGGGGTGAAATCCAGCAGGTTCTGACAGATTCTGGAGAACCGGTAGTGGAAATTTTCAGTAGTTTGGAGAACCGGAAAATATCACCTCTGGCTGGCCCCCGAGTGGGGTGGGAATGGAGATTTTGCAGTATCATTCCCCAGGAGTGGGGTGGGAATGGAGATTTTGCAGTATCCTTCCCCTGCCACGCCCACCAAGCCACGTCCACCAAGCCACACCACGCCTACCAAACCACACCCACAGAATTGGTAGTAAAAAAAATTGGATTTCACCACTGCATTATAGCTATATGAAAAGAGTAGAACTGTCTCCAGTATCACTGGTGATAAACATGTTTTCCATTTTTCTTTGACAACTAGTGTTTATGGAATTCCAAATCTCATATTCATTTAGGGAGGGATGAAAATGGTGAAGAACATAGCAAAATCCATTTAGAGGGTAGGCACGCACATATCTGTTAATATTAGGGATGCCAGTAAAAAAAAAATCTGAACTTGGCTGCCAACCTAGGCTATGCAGAGTATCAAGAAACTAGTTGGAGGAATATTGAAGTGTGAGGTCGTTGGTGCTCTCTGAGCTTGCTTGTGTGTGTCTGTGATCATTTTTCACCCAGTTTCTTGGGCTATTTTCCATCCAGGTGTGCAGTTGATTGGAGGTTTGTTACCTGACACTGATAGGTAGGGCAAGCTGTCGTAGGCATTCATGTAGGAAGAAAAGTTGTTCTTTGGTGGAAGTATGCCTGCAGGCAAATTTTTCCTAGAAAATTTTCTTACATTTTTCCAAGCAAGCTCAGAGAGCACCAAGGACCTCTCATTTCAACCCTGAGCTACAAATATTCTCTTTTATTAATATTAAAGTGTAGATCTTGTTCTCTAGCTTAAAAATAGGGGCAATAAGTAACATTTCCTGCTTGTTAATGTAATCATATGTCTGAATAGTGCCTAGGTTAAACCATTATTTTACAGTATTAGATGATTAAGATTGTTAACATATTATCTTTGTATCTTTTTAGCAAATAGTATCATTAGCTTCCTGGAGCCAGTTTATTCATACAGCCGCTTTGACCAGCTGGCTAAGATCCCTTTGGTTCGAGAAATATTGGAGAAGGGAAAATCCCAGATAACATACAGGACACGAGATCTCACAGCTCAGCAAGGCAAAGTAAGCATTCTTACAAAAAGAGTTATCATAACGGTTGCACAAAAACTTTCAGTCACTGCATGGTCATATTGTAGCCTTGGCATAAAAGAGGGAATATATAAATGTGTTTCTAGAAAAAGCATGAAATCCTGAACATCACTTAGAAAAGCAAACTTCAGCTTCAGCTTTTCAAGTGGGTACAGCAATACTTTATTATCTTTCTGTTATCAAGCATACAAAGCTGTGAGGAGAGCAAGAAGCAACAAAATGTGATCTCAAGGCAGATTGACAGGTCTGCAGGCATTCTTGCCATATTAGACCAGCTCTGTGGGCCTGCATTGGTTGCCAACAAGCTTTTGGATGTTATGATACGAACCTATTACATAGCTTGGCAGGATCACATTTTCCCACTGAAATTAGCCTGGCCAGTTTGCTATGCCTGAGAAAAACTTAATAATGTTCCCATTTTAGGGAATGGAAGGGGGCTGAAATTCAACAGTAGTTCTTTTTAATGGCTGAGATGGTTCTTTGAAACAACCTCCCACTGGGGATCTGTTGGCTCCAGCCCTAATCACCCAGAGCTCTTCTAGAGGATACTTGGATCCTGACTCCTTCTTGGTTTGGTTATAGTTTAGTTAATTTGACATGACGTGGTTTTCCATTAGTCTTTGTAGACTTTTTGTTTACTGTATTGTATATTGTTTGTTATATAACTTATCTTTCTGTTGCTGGGATTCCTTAGGGATTTGGCTGGCTATGTGAGTTAAAGGGTAGTTTAATAATAATAATAGGAAAACCCCTGAATAAACTAGTAGACCTTACAACATAAATCTGCAGACTAAACATTGTTTGATAAAATGTGATGCGCCTTTGGTGTTACTGCTTTTTCTTTGGGGTTTTTGTTTGTTTGTCTGATTAGTTCAGGGCACAATTCTAATTGAGACCAATGTATTCAGAGGAAGGAGGCTGTCTGGGGAAGTCTTAAAAAGAAAAAAGCTTCCATTCCTGCCAATTCAGTTTTTAAGCTTCAGTGGAGCAGAGGGCACAGTAATTTTGTGAAGGAAGAGACTGGGAAGGAAGGTTAAAAAGTCCTCTGGGACAATAGTTTGTGTTAGGGAGAAGTTAAACAGTAAGCATTTCACCTATTCTGTAGCTGAGATCTTACACCATCTTCTTTCTATAGCCAAAGGAGGAGAGGAAGAGAATCAAACTAAGAATAAGAAGTTGTTGGTGCTGCTTTCAGTCCATTATCAGCCCAGAGGGCATAGTCCCAAGGCCACCTAACATCTCCTCATTTCTTTGTAGCTACTTTGTGGATCATCCATAGTAATACAGAGTTCAATGTAGATTTTGTTCTTCTTTCTTTCTCTCTCTCTTTTTTTTAACCAAGTTTTTTTCTTTTCAGCATACATATTTTGTGAACAGAGTGCTGACCAGGTCACATCTCATACATCTTATATATAATCCAAATCATCATTATAATATATCTTAATCTTACCTTTTTTCCCAATATTTATCTCTTTTATACATCCTTTATCACTATCATTTTTCTCCATCTCTACTTATTTCAACTTCTGCCATATTATTTTCTTTCCATCATTTTTTATCCTGTTCAATTTTATTTTTAAATAACATTACGCCTTATGCTCTTTCACTATTACAATCACTCCAGTTGTTTACATTCTTCCTTCATTTCCAGAAATATTTCTCTATCTTTCTCAAAGAACGAATGAAATATATTTGGTGAAATGCAATTCCACAGTAAATGTGGAAACTATTATATAGTAAAGGATTTTAAAAATATTTATCTGTACATTGTATGGCTCAAGGTGGAGGCCATCTGCTAAAATGTTGTAAATTGCTCTGGGTGGTGTCATTGGATCAGAAGGATGGAATATGGATGTTTCAATACTTTAATGGGGAAAAAATAGTACCTTGGTCAGTGTGTTCTCTCTTTACCTTTCCAGGATTATGTTTTTGCGGAGGGTGATCTGATCTTCCTGCCTGGAGAGAAGCAGAAGGAAGTACAAATCAAATTGATGGAGTTGACAGAGATTGATGCCCTCCTTCGGAACCAGCAGCTGAAACAATTCGCAGTGGATCTCATCAATCCCAGGTTTGGGGCAAAGGTTGGCAAATACCCTCAAACCATAGTGACAATTGTTGATCCAGGTGAGCTACATTCCTTTCCAATGTCAATTCTCATTTTGATGCCTAAGTGTCATTTGTCTATTGTGCTGTATTGTATAAATGTTTAGACTTCTTGATTCCCTAGGCTCTGGCAAATGGAACCACAGAGACTTCAGTATTTAGGATCAAAAAATTTGACATAATGTGATTCCCAGAAAATATATTTTCATTCATAAGCTAGCAGTGTGGTCATTAAACAGTCAAATCCCATTTGTTCAATGTTGCTTTGAGTTTCAGCCAGAGGTGTTGTGTCATGTATGTCCTGTCGTAATTGTGAGTGTTTTAATGATATTCCTTTAGCCATTGTTTGATGTGGTAATCAGGATACAATTAGAGAAATAATTTTGCTAATGATTCACTGCAATAATTTTTATAATTACTTGTTTTATTTTTGCTTTGCATAATTTACATAAATGAGTGATCTATCATATAGTATGATATAGTATGACCAATATTACCTTGCAACAGATTTCTACAATACAGTATTTCCGTGCATCGTTTTATGATTCCAATAATTTTTGCTGTGCCAAATAACTTTGCACAGCCTCCCTTATAATGATACCGGATACACATATTTCATCTTCAAAACATATATTGAGATGTATTTTTCTTCTGTGAACTATGTTGTTTCTGTGAAAACAGTCTCGAAATGTTAAATATTGTGCAAAAAGTAAAAAAGAACTAGCAACAGCCTTTTATCAGGCGAAATAGAATATCTAGTATCCCTGAGAGATATTAGCCCTGAGAATGTGGCCTGTGTTTAATACCACGTAACTCTTATTATCTCAAGTTTTTTCTAAAGTTTTTTCTCACAATTTACAGATGTGTGAATGAGAAGTAACTATTGTGCTTCTCCCAGTTTATGACATGTCTTAATCCTTTACCATTTGACTTGTTCTTTTTTAGCTGTTTATAAAGTAGTGTAATTTCCTCTACCTTTTTTCTCCTTCCAGAAAATGTGTCATCAGAGATTCAGTTTCCATATTCTCCTAGAGGCACTCTTATAGCACCTCTTAATCCAAATGCACAGGCTTTAAGCTCTAGAAAGATCCGCTTCAATTGGTTGCCTCCACCAGGCAAACCAGCAGGATACAAGGTATGGAAAGTAAAGCACTAAGGACATATGAGACTGTTGTGTATGGAGGGAAGCACACTCTTGCTTATCCCATCTGCTAAAGTCAAGGCTCGTGAAAAAAAACTGCACTGCAGTGCAAGCAAGAAAAATACAAACACTTAGGAGATGTTTTCTAAAGTTTTTGCCAATAGGTATTGTAAATCTGTTGGAGTACAAAGGAGGGGAAAGTTGGAAATTAAATATTTATCTATATTAGTTTTAGGGTGCTGTGTTATTCTTTTTTATCTTCTTTTTTAAAGTATTTATAAACTCGATAATTTATACTTTTTTTAATATCATGAAACCTCAATGTACCTTAATATGGTTCATCTTTTACTAATGTTATACTGAGTATTAACTATACAATTTCAGTAACTATAGTATCTATTTATAGATATTAATGTCTTTGAAAATACACCTTTGTTTTAATTTTTAAAAAAACGTAAGAACCTTTCATTGCATTTTAAAGATTTTATTCATTCGCATTGCTTACACTCATTTAATCAGAATTTAGTTTTCCAAATATTATTAATAAATTAATTCCCTGTTGTTTTTACATTCACTCTTATGTCTTTCCTTATGCATAAGAGAACAATCCTCACTCGGATCAAACAAGTGGCATAGCCATTCCATAAGAACACACAACCATATTCTATCATTTGTAGATCCACTTTCAATGCCATCTCTGCCTTGTGAAATAAAACTTGTTCCTCATTTCCTATTTCTTCCATAACATCTTTTGCACATAGTCTATCTGTAGAAGCAAGCATCACTATTAACATTGTGGATACTAACTTAGGATTCCATTTTTCAAAAATGCCCTTCAGTATTTTCAATGTTATACTTTTTATACAGTAATATAATCAGAGGCATAATGTCACATCATTTTGACATAAGAAACAACAAAACTGCAACATAAATTCTGAAATATTTTGACCTGGATTTAAAATCAACTAAAACTCCATCTCTACCAAAACATTAAGTGTGGCTTCAAGCTATTAAAGATATGCAAGCCTTAACTCTTCTCCAGTGTGGTGGCCCCGAGATATTTAGGTCAAATTCTTGGGAATTGTGGGAAATGCAATCCCAGCACATTTGTGTAATGTCAGGCTGTACAAAATGCCACTGCTGCCACTGAGGAATGTGGGGAAAAGCAGAATGTTGGAAGAGTCAGAGTAAGTGCTGCCCATTAGGTCTGTACATTATTCAATATAATAGTAAGTGAACAAGTCAGTATCTGTTGAGGGTAAAACTGCCCTCTGCAAAGTGGTACAACGGACCAGACAGCGAATAAATACGTTGCTTAGCAAAACACAAGATACTCACAGACTCTGAATGTTTAAAGAAAAATAAACAGTCTTTTCTTGTAGTAAAACAAAACAAACTTGGCTTCTCAAAACAAAGATAACACTTCTTCAAATAATCACGGTTCAACACAAAAACATAGTTTGCTTACAATTCCAGTTCTCTTCAGTAACACAGACATGGTTCCTTTCAGCAGTTCAATCTTCTAATAGCAGGAGCAGAAGTGAATGAACTTCCTGCCTTCTTTTATGTCTGCTTAGCACAGCCAATTAGTCATCTTGTAGCAGTTAAAGTTACAGAACATAGTTTTCAATATATTATTAATATATTATCTACCCAACCAAGCATCCAACAGTATCTCATCATAGATTGTATTCTGAATTGATTTCATGACTCCCTTTGTTATAAAAACAAGAGAAAGCAGTCTTAAAAATTACCATAGTAATTTGGGTATCTGCATCCTAACATTCCTAGGATTATTGCTGAAAATGCAGAGGTTAGGTTCACTACATTTTGAAGGCCTGGATAAAAAGAACATCTTGTAAAACTATGGAATTGCATTGCAGAGTTTTGGCTTTATTCTATTCATTTAGAGATAGTAACGTTTGTGAATGAGAATTTCCCTGTTTATCTTTTAATTATGTGATGGTAAATACTTCTTGGCCACTGGTGCAAATTTTTAACAGGGAAAGCCTTTCTCTTTGGACTGCAGGTGAAATATTGGATCCAAGGAGATCCTGAATCAGAGGCTCATCTGTTTGATTCCAAAGTACCTTCGGCAGAGCTGACCAACCTGTACCCCTACTGTGATTATGAAATGCAATCCTGTGCCTATAATGCTTTGGGCGAAGGGCTTTATTCTAAGGTGGTCCACTGTCGAACACTTGAGGAAGGTAAGGTCACATCCCACAGAGTTTGACAGAAAAAAATGGGCCATCTAAGGACTCCTTTCTGCAAGCCTAATCCATCAAGCATCAGCATATTCATGAATCATATTCAGATGAAGTGGATAGAGAAGTTCAAAACAAGGCAATGGTCAGGAAGATTATGTTGAAGCAGCCAGCGTTTTAAATTGGAGTTAGAATCTGATTATTTCTGCCCATCCGGTGACTTCAGGCAGAGAGAGCATGTTCCCAGATTCTGACAATGAAACAGTGTCACCTTTGGGATCTAGGAACTGGGCTGTTACAATATTTGCCCTCTGGAATGTCATCACCCCCAGAGACCCATATGGCTCTCATCAGTGGTGGGATTCAAGTAATTTAACAACCGGATTTCCTTGATGAGGGTGTGACATTGTCCAGATGAGGGTTATATCAGTCGGATCTGATGCTGGCTGAGTCATAACTTTTGACCACTCCCCTTGCTCCGCCCCTTTCATGCCCAGTTTAGACTCAGTCGGCCTGAGAGAAACATCTCCTACAGATCTGGCTATACAGCCCAGGTCTGTTCAATATCACAGAATTGTAAGTCTTTTTGACCACCTTTTTATTTCTATAGCTTAAAATTGTTACTTCCCCTTTAAATTTTTCCCCCCCTTCTATTGTAGCCTGCCGGTTTTGCTTTGCTAGAGCCTCCTAAGCTGCAGGCTTTGCTTCGCTCCTGGCGGCGGCCATTTTGAAAGCCCCATTTTAAAAGGGAACTTTTTTCCTTTTTCTTTTTCCTGTCTTTTTTGGGGGGGATTTTTTTGATCTATCCCACCAACGATTGTTTAAGGGGCCCTAGACCACAATACCACCAACAATAATAGCAATTACCTAATTTTAAGGGAAATTGCCAAATCGGGCCGCCGCCCACCCTACAGCGATCCCAAAACCGCTGATCAGCTGTAGAGCGGTTAATTGAAGCCCCGCGGCAATTTTAAAAGGAAATTTTTGCCGCTTTGCCACCAACGAGTCTGCAAGTTTGGGGGGGGCAGCAAGCTTCTTCTTGCCTCCCCCTGTGGCATTTCCAGCCAGTATTTTAATTTTTTTCTCTTTGTGGCTGGGGGGGCGCTGAGGAGGTCCGTTTCTAGGCTTGCCTAGACAGATACCTCCAGAGCAGAGTTTTCCTCCTGCTCAAGTGTGACCTGGCAGCCATCGTGCTTAACGCCAGAGTCGTTGCCATCTCAAATTTCAACCACGTGGTGAAACTGAAACCAAAAGCTATTTCTCCAGTCGACATCGTGGTCGCAGTGAGTATACTAAAGATGGCGGATCGCTCTTCCCATGGGGAGGAAAATACTATGTACACTGGGAAGAAATCAACTTCCAAACGTAAGCACCTTTCTAAGCCTGAGGAGAAGGATTTAGCAAAGAGGCATAAATCTCTAGAAAAGCAAGCTAGTGAAGTGCCTGCAACTGAGCCTGGTAAGGGGACCCCCCCCCATCTACCCCCCCTCCTCCCATTTCAACTGTTAGCCAGGCCTGGTCTTCGGAGGGAGAGGGTAATGTTCTTCAACAAGACCAAAGCAATTTGCAAAACCCCTTTGCAAGTCAATTAATGACCCCTGCAACTCCTGTATTTGGTGGGCCTGCAGCTGCAGCTGCTTCAACAGGTGAATCCTCTATGCCTGTGCTAACCCCCGAAGATCCTTTAAAAAATGTGCCAGAAGGATTGAGAATTCTGATTGAACAGGCCATTGCTTCTAGAATGGCAGCCAATATTCATGGTCACCACTCTGGCTCTGCTATTTCAGAGCGATCTGCCCGTATTAGAATTTCTCCTGCAGTCAGTCTTACTGGCTCTCATTCTCCTGCAGCCTCCAGAGTTAGTGAAGCCTTTGTGTTTGAGGAAGAGAGACATTCTGACCTATCAGATGATGAGGGGATAATCCAAGATCAACCTGCCTTTACAGGATTATTTCCCCCCAATAAATTCAAGTCTTTATTGCATAAGGCTCGCTTAACAGCCGCCTTAAAGGAAGATGAATACTTTCAAGAGATGCAGGAGGCTCAAAAGGGTGGACTACAGGGACCTTTTTCTGAGCCCCCCCCTGAACTTTGTTATGTACCAACTCCACAACTGTTCATAGACGTGGTAAAGAAACAGTGGGCTGGGCCTGCAACCATGGCATCTGCACATGGTTCAGATAAGAAATATTATGCTGTTGCTCCAAAGTTTGCTCAACTCTTGCAAGTTCCACCTGTAGACAGTCCTGTAGCGGCCCTTTCCTCTTCTTCTTCATACGTAACTGGGGATACTTCTGAAGGTCTAAGGCCAGAAGACAAAAAGTTAGAATTTCTGTTTAAAAAGAACCATCAGGCCTCGGCATGGGCAATTCAATCAGCTTCATCAGCCTCATTTTTTAATAGAACTACCATCCTTTGGCTTCAACAGTTACAGGCAAGGGTACCCCCCAGTGAGGTTCGCCTTCATCAGGATATTAATAAACTCATTGCTGCCACTCAATTTTCGGCTGATGCAACCTTGAATTCAGCCAAATTTGCATCCAGAGCCTTAGCCTCTACAGTTTCAGCCCGCAGGATGCTCTGGCTTCGCCAATGGCCTGCTGACCTTAAGGCCAAATGGCGCTTGGCTGCAGCTCCATATTCTGCAAACAAACTATTTGGGGAATCACTTGACCCTCTTCTTGTAGAGACACGGGACAAGCGAAAAAATTTTGCCCTCAACATACAAACGGGCTGAAGGAAGACCCTCTCCATATTACAGAAGGCCTTCCTTTCGTTCCTACCCCCAGGGAGGCCCCTCCAGGCAGGAATATCTTCAGGGATCCTATCGATCCTCGGACCGTCAATATTTTCGGGACAGGAGCAGACAATTCCAGCCCAAACGGTCCTTTCGGGGTTCTGGTTTCCGCCAGTCCCGCAGTCGTAAGTGACTCACTACCAAATCCTCCAGTAGGGGGTCGCCTGTCCCTCTTCGCGGACAGGTGGGAAAGGTCATCTTCAGACCTTTGGGTTCTTTCAGTTGTAAAATTCGGCCTCCCCCTGGAATTTCTCTCCAGGCCTCCAACCCGCTTTCTTCAATGTCCAACTTCCAAAAGCGAATCCAGACGTCAATTAATGAACCAAGCAGTTCAGCACCTACTACAGATTCACGCCATAGAGGAGGTCCCCCACGATCAATGGAAACAGGGGTATTATTCCATCCTGTTCGTAGTTCCAAAGCGGTCAGGGGGGTGGAGAGCCATTCTGGACTTAAAAAATCACAACTCATACATAGTGTATCGCAGATTCAAAATGTGTTCACTAACCTCTATTCTTCAAGGGATTCGTCCCAACGATTTTCTAGTTTCCATAGACCTCATGGAGGCTTATCTTCACTTTCCCATCCTGCCAAAGCATCGACAGTATCTCCGATTCAGCTATGCAGGAAAGCATTTTCAATACCGGGCTCTTCCCTTCGGACTGGCATCTGCACCAAGGGTCTTCACAAAGGTCCTGGCGGTGGTGGCGGCTCACCTGAGACAACAACCGGTAAGGATCCAGGCTTACCTGGACGATATTCTGATTCAGGCTCACTCTCAAGAGCAAGCCTTACACGACCTACACCTCACGATTCAAACCCTGAACAACCATGGGTTCTTGGTCAACTACAAAAAAAGTCAGTTAGTGCCAGTCACCAGGATCACCCATCTTGGCGCCATCATAGACGCAGCCCAGGGGACCGTCTACCTAACCTTGGAACGACGGTCAGACATCAGGGACCTAGTAGCTCTCATTCGCAGAACTCCATCAGTTCCATTGGCCACTCTATCCAAGCTCTTAGGCAAGATGGTCTCCTGCGTCCAGATCGTCCCATGGGCACACCTTCACGCTCGCCACTTGCAGTGGTTCCTGCTTCCTTTTCAAAAGAAACGCCAAGCTCACACCATGTTAACAGTCAAAGTTCCACTTTCAGTCAGGCGATCGCTAGGTTGGTGGACATCGCCTTCTCTCGACAAGGGGTGTCTCTTCATGAATCACGACCGACTTGTACTCACTACAGACGCCAGCCTTCACGGATGGGGGGCTCATCTTGCATCACACGTGGCTCAGGGCCGTTGGTCTGCATCAGACCTCGCCAACCCTATCAACTGGCTGGAGCTGAAGGCCATTCGTCTCGCTCTCACGCACTTTCACCGGTTCGTGCAACACCGTCATGTTCTGGTGTTGACAGACAATATGGCGGCGAAGGCACATGTCAACCGTCAAGGGGGCACCCACTCAAAGCGCCTCATGGAGGAATCATTTCGCCTGGGCAAGTGGGCAGAACAACACCTCCTCTCCATCAGAGCGGACCACATTGCGGGGTCGGAAAACACACAGGCGGATTTCCTGAGCAGGACAGAGGTGGACAACAGCGAGTGGCAGATTCATCCCGACATATTTCATCAGATTTGCAACAGGTTCGGCATCCCAGCCATAGATCTCTTCGCCACACACCTGAACAATCAGCTTCCTTGCTTCTTGTCGAGGTTCCCGACGCCAGGGGCGGAAGGGGTCAACGCTCTCCGTCTCACCTGGCCGCCGGGTCTTCACTATGCCTTTCCACCGCTGCCTCTGATTCCGGCCCTGATTCGGAAGGTCATCGCCGACAGAGCAGAAATTATCCTCGTGGCTCCCCACTGGCCACGCCGTCCGTGGTTCGCAGACCTGGTCAGTCTCTCCACATTTCACCGTTGGAGGATTCCACCAGACGAGATTGTACTGCGTCAGGGGAACCTTCTTCATCCGGACCCTCAGTGGCTCCAACTGACTGCATGGCGCTTGAAGGGGCCCGTCTAAGGCAGGACAATTATTCAGATAGGGTGATTCACATTGTTCAAGCCTGCAGACGTAAATCCACAGTCAGACTCTACAATATCTCCTGGCTCGCCTTTTATAGGTGGTGCCGTTCCCGGCAGATAGATCCTGTTTCAGCCTCACCTGCCCAGATCTTGGAGTTCCTCAGAGATGGGTTTGACCGTGGTCTGGCCCATAGTACCCTTCGGAGACATGTGGCGGCTCTGTCTACGGCCTTGTCCAGTCCATCCGGCCGACCACTCACTCAGCACCCTGTGATAAAAAAGTTCCTGCGAGGAGCCAGGCTCTTGCGGCCCTCCTCGATTCATAGATACCCTACTTGGGATTTGCCCAAGGTCCTTAACGCTTTAACTGAGACTCCCTTTGAACCCCTCCGCACGGTTCACCTTCGCTTTCTCACCCTTAAGGTGGTTTTCCTTATAGCCATAACTTCAGCCCGTCGCATTTCGGAGCTGGCAGCCCTCTCAGTTAGGGAGGATCTCTGTGTTTTCCGGCCGGACACAGTTATTTTGAGATTGGACCCTTCCTTTATTCCCAAGGTTAATTCCCCCTTTCACAGGGCCCAAGAGGTTATTTTGCCCAATTTCTGTTCCCGGCCCTCTCATGCCTTGGAACGAAGGTGGCATACCTTAGATGTACGGAGGGCCCTAAAGATTTATATCAAAAGGACTGCTCCCTTCAGGAAGTCAGAGGCTTTGTTTGTTTCCTTTTTGCCAGGCTCCCTAGGGCTCAAAGTCTCTTCTGCCACAATTGGTAGATGGATCAGGGCTTGCATCGCCTCGGCATATCAGGCCCAGGCGATTCCTGTTCCCAATAGCATTACTGCCCACTCCACTAGGAGTGCTGCTACCTCAGCAGCTTGGGCAACTCAGGCCTCCCTTGAGGAGGTATGTAGGGCAGCCACCTGGTCTACCCCCTCGCCATTTATTCGTCATTACAAGATAGATACCTTTGCTTCTGCTGAAGCGTCATTTGGCAGGAGGGTTTTGCAGCAGGTGCATCGTGCGAGGGTCTCTCCAGGCCCTTCGACATCCCGCCCTTGAGACAGCCAAATCTTTGGTATGTCCCTCATCTGGACAATGTCACACCCTCATCAAGGAAATTGGGCATTGGTCTTACCTTAAATGCCAGATTTCTTGAGGGGGGTGACATTGTCCAGCCCCTCCCTCTGTCTCAGTGCCTGTACAGTTTATTGTTCTTGTTCAGTAGTTTTTTTCCAGTTGTCCCGTTGGACCGAATTACTTCCTCCTGATAACGGGGGTTCCTGTTGGAGATACTTCTGGTGGCCTTCCTTCGTCAAAACTGAGCATGAAAGGGGCGGAGCAAGGGGAGTGGTCAAAAGTTATGACTCAGCCAGCATCAGATCCGACTGATATAACCCTCATCTGGACAATGTCACCCCCCTCAAGAAATCTGGCATTTAAGGTAAGACCAATGCCCATTCTCTGCCTTAATGATTTCTTCCAACAACCAGTTTGCCAAATTGCTCAGAAAGTTAACAACCGGTTCTCCCAAAGTGGTGCGAACTGGCTGAATCCCACCACTGGCTCTCATCCAAATAGCAATAGCACTTAGAATTATATATTGCTTTACAGTGCTTTTACAGCCCTCTCTAAGCAGTTTACAGAATTAGCATATTGCCCCCAACAATCTGGGCCCTCATTTTACCCATTTTGGAAGGATGGAAGGCGGAGTCAACCTTGAGCCTGGTGAGATTTGAAGTGCCAAATTGCAGGCAGCTGGCAGGCAGCAAAAGTAACCTGCAGTACTGCACTCTTACCACTGCACCATCACGGCTCAGTCTGATGACATTAAGACAATCATTAAAAACCTGGTGGTTTTCCTAGGTTGTTGGAATAGGATGAATGTGGAGTCCCTATAACAATTTATTTTGTGTTGTTATTCATCATTATTGAACTAGTCTTCTGGCTGGCTCTTTCTATGTCAGTTGCTTCTTTTTTTTACTAATACCTAATACTAATATACACTTATCCATCAAACTCCAGATTTTAAGTTTAGAATTCCTATGAGGAGCAGTTCATTGAAAATGCTCCTAAATTAAGCACTTGGTTGATTTTTAGGGCATCTGATTTAAAATTACTGTATTATATAGCTCTTGTGCTATTTCCAGCTTCAGGTAACCAACTCTTCATATTCTTCCCTCAATGCATTCAAAGGCATTCAAACATTTCTACACTGTGTGTTAGTCGCTACAGAATAGTTTCTACATTTCATCTCTACAGTTCCTAGTGAGCCTGGGCGCTTGGCCTTCAATGTCATATCCTCCACTGTGACGCAGCTGAGCTGGGCTGAGCCTGCAGAAACAAATGGCATAATCACAGCTTATGAGGTCAGCTATGGACTCGTCAACGAGGAAAACAGTAAGCATGAAATCTGTGGGCTATCCTTAAAAATCATGTATAGTGTTCAATATCTTCATGGTAGTATTTCAGTTGCATAGGCATCACTGGAGGCCATTGGCATCACTGGAGGCCATTGCTATTAAAACCTATGATATCAAAACTGTCAATCCAAGGTGCAGACTATAAAACCCCCCGATGGTGATGATAGGAAGTATAGCACACACCCATCTCTCCACAGGTTGGATACAATTGATTGGTCTTTGTATGAAGCTTGACTTTGCTTCTCTTGCTTAGACTTCTTATTTAACAGTCATATTGCACGAATAAAGGGGAATATACCAGTAGTGAAATGTAAAATTTGTTACTACCGGTTCTGTGGGTGTGACTTGGTGGTGGGGGTAATGTGACTGAGTGGGCGTGGCCAACTTTTTTTTTTTTAACTTTTAACTTTTTTTTAACTTCGGCCGAAGAGGTTGTAAAAAATGTTTTTAAAAGCCTCTGACGATCAAGCAACTCAGCTGGGATCGTCAGAGGCTTTTAAAAGCATTTTTTCTACAACCTCTTCGGCCAAAGAGGTTGTAGAAAAAATGCTTTTAAAAACCTCTGACAATCCCAGCTGAGCCGCGCGATCATCAGAGGCTTTTTTTTTACTTTTAAAAGCATTTTTTCGGCCAAAGAGGTTGTAGAAAAAATGCTTTAAAAAAAAAGCCTCTGATGATCGCGCGGCTCAGCTGGGCATGTTGTGGGGGGCAGGGATTTTTGCTACCGGTTCTCTGAACCACCCGCTGCCATCACTACCGGATCGGGTGATCCGGTCTGAACCGGGAGCATTTCACCCCTGGAATATAGACAGGATAATGTTGTAGGATCCAATCTGGGTCAGTTATCGGGACCAGAAGTTTTGTCTTCTGAGCTTTCGGACTCATCTTGGAGCCTCTCTTCAGGGAACTTCTCTCTAGCCTCTCTACAAACCTTAGTTTACTAAATTAAATCAGTCTTTTTCAAATAAAGGCTGTTAATTAACTTTCTTAACAGTCTACAAGAATCCGAAGAATAAATCATCGTAATCTTACTATGGTTGGCAGAAAGCCCAGAAGCAATTTGCAGGAAACTGATAAGAGAACTAAGATCTGGACGCGAAGGAGAGTGAATGAAGTTGTTCCCTGCAAATTGCCTCAGTCGTCGTCCTTCCTTAAATAGGCTAAGGGAGTGGCCAATTAGCCCCAAGCCTTACTCTCGAGGAGACCTCCTCCTGAGGAACCACTCCTGCCTTTTGGCAACTCTGCGCACCCGTGCATCAAGAAGAGGCTCCTTCTCTTCTTCCTCTTCACTTATGGGAGCTTCTGGAGGTTCTGAAGGCCCTGGCTGAATCCCCGCCTCTGGCACCACATCTTCTCCAGCCTCCTCATTGTCTCTCTCGAGTGCCAGCTGCACAGGCTGCTGGTGCAGCACCACACCAGCCCCCTCGCTGTCGGAATCAGTTACTAGCTGCACAAGCCGCTGATGGGCCACAACACCCTGGTGCTTATTTCTTCACATAAAACCTTTTGCTTGTTGAAGAGGCCATTCGATTGATTCTGCCAATCCATACAACATTGAGAGCCCATTTGATTCAGTAGTAAAAGAACTGGCCTAGAAACCAGGGGACCATGAATTCTAGTCCTCCCTTAAGCAGGAAAGCTGGCTGCGTTGAAAAGGAAAAGTGACCAGATATGTATCAAATTTATATACACATACATATTTTCAGGACCCATTGGCCCCATAAAGAAAGTCTTGGTGGAGGAACTCAAGAAGCGGATGGTTCTGATTGAAAATTTACGGGAATCACAGCCCTACCGTTATACAGTGAAGGCAAAGAATGGAGCTGGATGGGGGCCAGAAAGAGAAGCTACAATTAACTTGGCTACACAACCAAAACGCCCTATGTCCAGTGAGTTTTTATCATAGCTTTTCATATGTGTATGTATGGTCAAGCTTCTACTATACAGTATTTTTGTTTTGGACTTAAACTAATGCAGCGTTGTTAACATATATTCCTTTGAGTTTCTGCTCCTATTGTGTGGATATTATACAATCAGTATTATAGTCTGCATTTAGACAACTGTAACTTGTGGCATATATTCTCTGTTTAATGTGATACCACTGGTAACAAGCATCAAGCTATTTATTAATATTTTTATTTTTAATGGTATATGCTAAATATATCATACTATTCCACCACATTTCAGTATTGTTATCCTAACTTGCATATTTTTACATCAAAGACCTTCAATGCTGACATAGTTTTCTCCAGTGAACTATATCTCACATTAGATCAAAGTATTAGATCAAACAGAGTCTTGATTTAAAGTACGGTTGGGATTCATTATGTTTGAATGTATCAAAAAATCCAATTCATCTTTCTTTTTCTTTCTTTCTTTCTTTCTTTCTTTTTCTTTCTTTCTTTCTTTCTTTCTTTCTTTCTTTCTTTCTCTTTCTTTCTTTCTTTCTTTCTTTCTTTCCTTCCTTCCTTCCTTTCTTTCTTTTTCTTTCTTTCTGTCTGTCTGTTTGTTTTTTGCAGTTCCTATCATTCCTGATGTACCAATAATTGATGCACAAGGAAGAGAAGACTATGACAGCTTTCTAATGTACAGCACAGATGTATTGCGTTCACCAGCTGGTAGCAAGCATCCCAGCGTCTCAGATGACTCTGGTACAGTATGCTTCATTATAGCTTGCAAAAAATGTTTGGTGGCCATTTTTTAATGATGTTTGGATAGAAGAGAAAATGTATATGCAAGGGCAATACAAAACAACTTGAACATGCAGAGCACCATATTAACAAGCTAGTAAATATTTTTCCTATTATTTAGAAGCAAACATACCTTAAGTGCAGTGGTTGGAATGTGGCACAGTGGTTAGAATGCAGTACTGCAGGCTACTTCTGCTGACTGCCAGCTGCCTGCAATTGCCAGATCGAATCCCACCAGGCTCAAGGTTGACTCAGCCTTCCATCCTTCCAAGATGGGTAAATGAGAACCCAGATTGTTGGGGGAAAATATGCTGACTCTGTAAACCACTTAGAGAGGACTGTAAAGCACTGGGAAGCGATATATATATCAAAGTGCTATTACTATTGCTATTAAGGCAGAGCTAGTATTATTGCTTACAGAAGTTCTAAGAGAAAATGGCAAGGCAAGAAAAATAAAAATAAAAAGTCCATTTAAGTTATCAGGTCCAACCTATTTAACAGTACCTTCTGGACTAAAATAAATAAATGAATAAATAAATTCCAAAATGCTATAATTCAGGCACCCAGATGTATCAGGAGGCATCTGGTGGGTCCATATTGAAATTAGGGGGCTAGACTTGACCTGTGCTTTCCCTTGGAAACTATTAGCCTCTCTAAAAAAAATCTGAGGAATGCTTGTGTGAAGGTTTCATAGTTCAGAATATTCATACACATACTTCTGAAGTGGAAGTTTTCTGTTTGGTGGTTTATCAACCCCTGATAGCAAAACAGGACTATAAATTGTTTTTGTACTTGCATTTCATGGGTTTTCCTCTAATGTAGCAAAATAGCAAACCATCATTTCTATCTAACCCCAATGGTCATGGAACAAATTCACCGTCAGACCACTGGACTTGTTAAATGCCTTTGCCATCTACTTTTCAGGAATAAAAGTTTCAGCTTAGAGGTCATCACAATTAATTATTTCATCATTTTTTAAAGAATAGAATAACAGAGTTGGAAGGGACCTTGGAGGTCTTCTAGTCCAACCCCCTGCCCAGGCAGGAAACCCTACACCACTTCAGACTAGTGGTTATTCAATCTCTTCTTAAAAATTTCCAGTGTTGGGGCATTCACAGGTCCCATAGGTCAAGGTTTTTTTAGTTTCCCATTTCTTGGTTAACTGCTATCAGTCGTTGAGGTAGTACAAATCCAAAAACCAAAATATGCCTTCCAAAACCAATAATAACTTAAACCAGGACAAAAAGACTAACAACCAAATCCCATTATCTACACCAGAGGTGAGGAGCTTATGTTGGTAAACCAATTCTTAATCCCATCAATCCATACCATTTAAGCCATGGGCCCCTGTAGTCTAGTAATATATGCATTTTGACCTGGGTAGTAGATAGAAAAGGACCCTACCCGTCATAGAGTTTCAAAATTATTGCCGTTTTGAAGGTCAGATAAACAATATACATGAAAACCAGTTTGTAAGTTGTTGTATTTAGGCATATGATTGATTTCTTCAAAAGAAGTTTCAAGTGCATTGTACTTTGCATTTGGTTTTGGTTCAGCATGTAGTTCCAATTCTTAGTCATTTTTAGTCATGACCAAAGCCTACTTCTGAAAATTACCCTGCTCTATTCCTTGCCACAAAAGACTTTTCGAACCTTTTGAACAAAGGTAGGCATAATGCTTCTATCTATGGATTCCATATTGTGATTTTATTTGAGTCAAGGTACAATGTCAATAATTCAAGAGGAATGTAGATCATGGAAATATTGTGCGTTTTTAAAGCGAAAGATCTTGATGGTAATACATAATAAAATGTTCTAATAATTGTTATTTAAAATAATCAGTTATATTATGTTAAAATATTTTCCCACATTAGGATCAGTGGTGGGTTGCTACCGGTTCGCCCCAGATCCGGCGAACTGGTAGTGGTGGCAGCGGGAGGCTCCGCCCTCCCGCCCGGATATCTCTGTGCATGCGCAAAAGCTTCTGCGCATGTGCAGAAGCGGTGCGTGCATGCACAAGCAAACCATTAGCAAACGAAATTGAAACCCACTATTGATTAGGATGTGTTAGGGATATGTAAAGAATTATCTCTGAAAACTGATCAAGATCAAATATCAATGTTTCCTGTTAGCTGATTCCTGGATTCTACTGTTCAAAGAATGTAGTTTCCTCCCCCTTACTCTCCTTAAGGCTCCCCTTAAAGAATTTGTTCTTTCTGGACCTTGTCTGTCTGCTGTAGAGAGATAGTTCTCCCAAGCATTACCTTGGTCATCCCTTCCCATTTTAGCTGTTCCTTCAGCCTTATTTATATTCAGCTTTGGAAATAATACTTCCATGAAGTAGCTGGCTCCACTTCATTTATTCCTTAATTATTCTTTTTCAGTGTATACATATTTGAGAACAAGCCACTTCAGATACTACAGATATTAGAAAATTGCATTGTCTTCAGCTGAAATGAAACTGACCCTTTTAGCCCATCCACAAGGCAGAGTTATAATTTTCTGACATCGAACACTGATTGCTAGGGAGGTGGATACAATAATTTCCATACAGTCAAGGGTTCTGAAGAACCTGATCTTTTTACAGGTAGACTTCAACATACAACCATTTGTTTAATGACCTTTCAAAGAAACAAAGGGACTGAAAAAAGTGACTTCTTATAACCATTCCTTGCACTTAAAATTGTCACAGATCCCCACGATCATGGGATTAAAATTCTGGTACTTGGCAACCAGCATGTGTTTACAATGGGTTGCAGCATTTCAGGGTTAGTACCATTTGTAACCTTCCCAACTGGCTTCCAACTAGCAAAGTCAATGGGGGAATCCAGATTTGCTTGACAACCATGTCTTAACAACGGCAATGATTCACTTAATGAATCATGGCAAAAAGGATTAAAATTGGATGTGAGTCACTTAATGGTCTTACTTAACAATGGAATTTTGGTCCCAACTGCAGTCATAAGTCAACTTCGTGTATGTGATTTTGCAATTTGAAAAAATTCTTCAGCAAGCAGAGTGATGTTCTGATATTTTATTCTATAATTCAGTGCTTCAGTTCAGCACTCTGTGTGTGTGTGTGTGTGTGTGTGTGTGTGTGTGTGTGTGTGTGTGTGTAGATACATGATAAGGTAATACAGTAATTTTAAGGTTGCGGTAATGCATAGATAGATTTATTCGGGCATAATCACAACTGAATGTAGCATGATTCAGCTGCCGTACAGTTATGGCCATTAGTATAAATTATTGATATGATACAGAAAGTTTGAAAATAATTTCCCCCTTCTGTTCTTACATTGAACTCTTATACATGCATATTTGGGAGCATGTTCTACTGTATTAACTCAGTGAAACTTGTTTCCAGGTGACTCTGCATAGTATGTGTGTGTGTGTATATATATATATATGTATATTTGTTTTCGTAGATTTTCACGGGTACAGGTATGCAAGTCTTGGCGTATTCGGGTCTTTTCCCTTGTAAGATTGAGAGTATCTTGGTGACGTTTTGACGAGGTCCCACTCGTCATCTTCAGGCTGGTGTCTTTGGCTTCGTGCTTGTGCAAGCAAAAGCATGAAGCCGAAGGCACCAGCCTGAAGATGACGAGTGGGACCTTGTCAAAACGTCGAACTTGTGGCTCAGAAGGTTAATTCAACTGCCTAACATGCAGGAAGCCCAAGTTATTTATATATATTATATAATATAATATATATATCGGGGTCCTGCTACATATTGAATCAAGAAATCACTACAGGTAGTCCTTGACTTACAACCACAGTTGAGCCCTAAATTTCTGTTGCTAAGCAAGACAATTGTTAAGTGAGTTTCTCCCCCATGTTATGACTTTTCTTGACACAATTCTTAAGTGAATCATTGCAAGTGGTTAATTAAGCCACATGGTTGTTAAGCGAATCTGGCTTCCCCATTGACTTTGCTTTTCAGAAGGTTGCAAAAGGTGATGATATGACCCCAGAACACTGCAACCGTCAAAAATTCATGTCAGTTGCCAAGCATCTGAATTTTGGTCAGTAACCATAGGGATACTGCAACAGTTGTGTGAAATATGGTCGTAAATCACTTATGCTGTTGTAACTTTGATCACTAAACTAATGGTTGTGAGTTGAGGACTACTTCTTTCTGGTGACAACTAAGGCTTAATGATGAACTTAGTGCAAATAAGGCAGTTTGGAAAACTAACTCTTGTTCCCTGTTACTGGATATCTTGCTTCAGAGATATCCAGACAACTACTACTGTGTTTCCCCGAAAATAAGACCCTGTCTTATATTTTTTTTGAACCCTGAAATAAGCGCTTGGCCTTATTGCCATGCACTCAAAAGCCCAATTGGATTTATTATCAGGGGAGGTCTTATTTTGGGGGAAACAGAGTAAGTATTACCCTAGTTCTTGGCTAATTCGATTCTATACCCAATTGTGATTTTGTTTTTATTTATCGTCCAATGTTATATCTATTAAATGAAGAGGGTAAAGGAAGGTCACCTCTGGTCCTATGATGTACTGATTTTAGATATCTTTTAAAAAGATGGGATGTCTTAATTTTACTATAATTGGCAAGAATCAGAGAGTGGGCCTTATGGATCCTGCTTGGGCCTCCACTTTCCACTCATAATCTGAGCACAAATACAGTGCATATGTAGTGGACTCCTTGAGTATTGTGCTTCCCCCTAAAGTGTTGCTAGGAAACACTAAGGCAGGTTTGCAGGTAGTTTGCAAGTGATGGACCGGCTGCTTTGTACCCCTCACGGCGCTTCCTGCACTCTTCTGACTGTGCCAACGCAAGTCCTTCACTTGTTCCAAAAGGCTCTCGATGGAAATATGTGCAGCTGCTGGGGGACGAGCTGGACCTTCGTCACGTCACCTGGAGACTCCCAGTAGAACTGATCCCTCGTTACTCGGACAGCAGTTGCTTTTCCTCGGACACAGAGGGTCTCCTCCATGAGGGTAGTACCCTCTCTGAGCTAGTGGACAGTGATGCAACCAGCGGCAGCCTACCAAGGAGTGGGACTTCCCAGCCCCAACCAGGTGAAGGATGGCCACCTTCTTCCCTCCCAGTAACCATGATGTCTCCTCCTACTCCAGGGCCATGGAATATAATTTATTCAAGCTACCCCTCTACAAGCTACAAGGACATGTTAATAGCATGATACATTTAGCATTTGTAATGGAATCTGCTTGTGATTGGTTATTTAATACCAAAGTCAGGGCTATCCTAGGCATGGAATTGAATGAAACAGAATGGAAGTACAAAGAGAGAGAATTCTTTTGGGACGCACGTTGCATATTTCTGCCCTTCATGTAGCTCACAAGCTAATTTCAAAAATCCTCTGCAAACCATCAATTCAGACATCTGAGTTCCTTTCCTACCAGGTACTTGGTAGAAGAAGTGAAAACGGGGGAGGGGGGAATGGTGGTCAAATAGATAGACCCATTATTTCCTTCAGCCTTTTCCATTGCTGGCATTCATTACCCAATCGATTATACCTGAAGGAACACCCCTCCCCACCACCACCCCTCCCCCCACAGTATTTGGAAGTCCCCGCCTCCCATTTGGAATCTTATTAGCATAGGACAGAGCTCTTCAAACTTGGCAACTTTAAGGCTTGTGGATTTCAACTCCTAGAATTCTCCAGCCAGCTATGCTGGGAGTCGAAGTCCACAAGTCTTAAAGTTGCCAAGTTTGGGGACCCCTAGCATAGAACAACAGTGTTATCTGCTACAGCAACCTCATAACTATGATTTTCTTCAGCATGCTAAACTTAGTGAACTTTCACCATCCTGGTATGTTCCAGCTGCTTCATGTGACAGCTTCTCCTTCATGGAACCTGTAGCTCTAAATATATGTACAATGCCAAATAGGGGATATTACATTGAATAATCAACCAATGATTCCAACAACTGTTTAAAAATTCAGTACATTCTTAGAGCTGCTGAGACAGAACTAATGTCTTCCCTTGAGCATTTTCTGTAATTCATTTAAGAATGTCTCTTCATCTTGCCCTCATTATTTCCAATAGTGGTTAACAGAGTTGATTAAAGAACTCAAAAAAGGAAAAAAAGATGACCAGCCAGAGTGTTTGTTATTAATACTTGGTTCCAGTATATATAATGCCTCTGAATATGAAGGGTCTCTAACTATTCGGACAGACATTTGAATATATTAGTCTTACAGGAACTTAATGAATGCTCTAAAATTGCTAACAATTATAGCCATGTCTTGTCTTTTCCAATGTTTTAAAGTGGATTAAAGTAGTAATAACATTTTCTTTTTTGAAAAATATAGCATTACTTGAATATCATGTCCTTTAGTATTTGGTACATCATTTGGCATTCATGAAGCCACCTTCTGACCTAACCAACCCTTGCTCTTTTCCTATTGGCCCTTTCAATCTGTTTAATTCTGATATTGATGTTTTGTTGTGCATTGTGGGTTTAAGTGATGCGACATAAGGGATGTTGGTTCTTATGGAGCCCCAGAATGCACTTTATAGATAAGAAGCAGAATAAAGATGAAGTCAATGTTTCCCAAACTGATAACTCTTCAGGTGTCTTCAGCTTTGAATCCCATTAATCTGCAACCAACATATCTGGTTGGAAAAAATACAACTGAAATCAATATACTGGAGGCACTCCGTTACATTTTGATACTACAAACTTTGAGTTCACATAATTTACTGAATCATTTCTTTAATTTAAACATGGATTGGTTAATGTAACCACAGTTGGCTGATTTCATACAGCATGCTGCCATGAACCTTGATATATGAACCATAGTGTTTGGGTTCACTAAGTAAAAATTAAACCACATTATGACTTAGCACAGACCATGAACACAGGCATTCTAAGGTATCTTTATTGTCATTAATTAACTTGGCTGATATGCATATCCATAGTCACTGGTTACTGATGTTAACTGCAGCAAATTGAATAATTTCCAGAACACCTGATGAATGGCCGACTGGATATTGCCTTCCCTGCCGGTAGTGGAAGTTTAACCCGAAATCATCTAAGTCCACATGTATACCACGAGAGAAGAGTGATCGGAAACTCATCGCTAACCAGGGAGTATACCACGGTGTCTGGACATGGTAGGTGACTAATGTGCGCTAATCTGTTAGTGATTTGAGAATGTTCAGTGTTCTATCAGAAGGAGATTCCAGTTAGTTGAATTCTTTCTCTCTCACTTGGTCTCTCATGCCAGCATTAGATAGGGAAAAAATATTCCTTCTTCCTCAGGCTATTTCTTCAATCACTGTGCCTGGTGTTGGTGCTGCAATCTTTTCTGGTACTCTCAATGGTGTGTCTTTCTTTCTCTCTGTTTTGGCATGTCCTTTAGACCCATCCAAGAATGTTTTCTCTCCCACATACGAAGAAACTAGAAGGATACCCCAGATCCCGCAGGATGCGGGCTTTAGGAGGGCAAATGTGATGGGTTACTCTGACAGCAGTGATGCTCGGGATTCTATAGTCATGACTGATGGGCCCTCTTGGATTTCCAAATACTTAGGTATAGCAAATGGCATAGCATGGCTGATCAACTGCAAGGCTATTTGTTCCAACTACAGTGACTCATCTCATAAGCTGCTAATTTATTCACGTTAAGTTCCTTCAAGTGGCTTTGCTTGTAGACCTGCTTGTGTGCGTGTGCTAATTTGCTCTGCCTTCTAACCTTCCATCTCTTTCACTTTGATGGCTTTCATGTTCTAATGACATCACTTCAGTTATTATATTACACATCAAAGGAGTTAATGCTCAGGCAGTATCCTTAACAATTTGTGATTCTTCTGTGCCTCCATGTCCATCTGCCCAGGTCGTAACAGGCAAATATTACAATATGTTCCTTTTAAAACATATTTACATAGTTTAAGGAGTTGCTGAAGTTCATGGCAGGGGTGAAATCCAGCAGTTCTGACAGGTTCTGGAGAACCGGTAGCAGAAATTTTGAGCAGTTTGGATAACCGGCAAATACCATCTCTGGCTGGCCCCAGAGTGGGGTGGGAATGGAGATTTTGCAATATCCTTCTCCCAGGAGTGGGGAGGGAATGGGGATTTTGCAGTATCCTTCCCCTGCCATGTCCACCAAGCCACGCCCACCAAACCATGCCCACAGAACCGGTAGTAAAAAAATTTGGACTTCACCACTGGTTCATGGTCTATATTTATTATAGCTCACAACCTTATAATTACAGCTAATTCCTCTGGATTTGAAAGTACCTTGTCCTCTATAGAAAGGAAAGCAATGTTGCTTGCATCCAAAACAAACATTTGGAAGAGAGGGAAACTTCTTTTTCTACAAAAAGGAAGGGGTTGTCTGGCCAGATGAATCTATTCTTTTAAGGAGGAAAAATCAACTAGCAGTAGAAAGACATGAAAAGAACACTTTAATCTCACAACACATAGCCAAACTCAGCCAGTTTCAACTGGGAAACTATTAACATCATAAACTAAGCCAAATTGAAAAATGCTAGGGAATTCCTAGGATATTCAGACAAATAGATTTACAGAAATAAACCATATTTACACACCATTCAAAAAATGGAAATAAAAAACCTAGGCAGGAAATAAAAAGACTAGAACACATACTCTCCAATAGCCCATATTCAGATAAGCAGGGATCAAACAAGACAAACAATCAGGCAGAAAATAATATTCTAATCAAGTAATCACCAAGGAGGAAATTATACCCCAACCCAAACTGTCAGGGCAAGCTACTATTTATTAAAAGATAGCAAAACCCACACTCACTCACATTAATGATGTTATCTGGTTGGGTAATGAAACATCTGCAAGCAAACAACCAAGTTTAGAGAGTACCAAAAATTCTGCAAAATGAACAGTCCAGGGTGCATTTTGCCCTCCTCAGCCCCAGAAGGCCAGGGACTACACTGACTCTGAAAATATTTATGAGGTTCTGGTCAGCTAGGCCCTAGTTTGTCAGGTGGGTGAGTTTAATCTAATCTCCACCTGGAACCTTGCCATGCCCTGGGGATCTAGGACCTGGGGACAAGAAAAAGAATTGCATCCCTGACAAAACCAACTCTCCTCTTCTTTTCCTGCTGCATGTTACCATGCAATGCAGCCAAGATGCGCTTTTCATTCATTGTCCAATGATTCTTCAGCCATGTTGTTCCCTTCATTTCTTCTGGCTACATTCTCAACATCTCAGCTTACTCTTTTGCTTGTTCTTCTTTGACACAAAAGGAGGTCTCATGCTGATGTGAAAGATTGCATTTTGTCCTTTCCTTGCCTTCAGATCTTATCTTCCTATTTCCTATCTGCCTCAGATTCTAGAATGCAGCTTCTGAATGTTCCAGACACTCCTACTCGCTTGGTGTTCTCTGCCTTGGGACCAACCTCCCTGAAAGTCAGCTGGCAGGAACCCCACTGTGATAAAGAAGTACAAGGATACAGTGTGCAATACCAGCTTCTCAATGGAGGTTAGTGAAGCTCTCTCTGTGGTGAAAGTGGGAATCGGAAATATATACATAAAACTCTGTTTTGTCAAAAGGCATCAGATTCTACAAACATGGTTTGTAACATGAAACACCCCCAAATCGTGTTTCTTATTGCCGAGATCTGTTTCCAAACTGCCCAAACAGATTTCCCTGTCCTGATGTTTTCCAGATGTTTCCATACATCACAGCAGGGGCAGAACCTTCATAGATCCTCTGTGAGGGGGATGGACAGTTTCTAAATTTGATAAATAAATAAACATTTCTACATATGTTGAATAATGTTCCCTAATATATCAACCAAGACTCCATTAGAAGATAGCCATTTGACTGGAATAGGAGTAATGTGAATTTGGGTCCTGATGAAAACACTAAATTCAAAATGTGTAAAATCCTTAATTCCCAAATTATCCAGACAGAATTGGTAGGCTTAGTTTTCTTTTCATTTTTCTCTGAGATAACGTGTTACAAAAGAGACAAGGACACTGTTTACCTTCTGACGTATACTAAACTGAAGGACGTGATCATCTATGAAGAAGAAACATTCACAATTATTTCTGAACAAAAGATCATACGCACGGCCGCCTCAAGATGTGACTTGTAGCATTCAGCCTACTGAATGCACTAGCAGTGCCTATTCTTCCAATAGAAGCTGCAATTTTTGATGATCATAGTTTGTGGGATGACAGCTGGTTTTTCTCCTATTTCTTAGGCGAAATAAAGAGACTTACAATTCCCAATCCAATGCAGAACTCGGTGGTGGTGGATGATCTATTACCTAACCACTCCTATGTCTTCAAAGTAAAGGCCCAAAGTGATGAGGGATGGGGTCCAGAAAGAGAAGGTGTGATAACCATTGAGTCACAGGTGGATCCACGCAGCCCTCTCAGTCCCGTGCCAGGTAATTGTTTTGAAATGTTTACAATTTCAGGGATATGCTACTACTTTTCCAAATGTTGATTTTCAACTGTGCCTTTTGGGAGTTCAAAATAAATCTGTGCTTATTCTGCATGAAAACCATGCATGTAGTCGTTATTCATATTCCACCTTTCTTTTGGGAAGTGGGAGTGTCACATCCTTATTTTAAAATTAAGATAGGCTTAGGCGAAGAGAAAGAGTGGCCCAAGTCAGCTTGATAGTAGAGTAAGGACTAGAATCTGGGCTTCCCCAGTGCCAGTCCTACGTTCATCCACTACTTACGCTGAATCTTGAGTGGTACTTTACTTTCCTGTAAATTTCAAATGTAATTGGGTTTGGTTTTTGGATTCAACAAAGCAATAAATGTATAAGATATTTGAAAAGCCCAAATGGAAATTCTACAATTCTAAATCTTTGAACTTCTGCCTGTGCCTCTGCTTGCTACTGGTTTGATTTTCTCTTAACAGAACTCTGACCATTCTTCTTTACTTGATAGGGTCACCATTTACCCTGAGCACACCCAGTGCCCCAGGGCCTCTCGTATTCACCGCCTTGAGTCCAGACTCGCTTCAACTAAGCTGGGAGAGACCCCGCCAACCCAATGGCTTAATTCTGGGCTACATGGTCACTTGTGAGACTCTGCAGGGTGAAGGTATGTCAGCCTTTTGAAATAAATTCCACTTCAGTTGCAAAGCTTCCCCTGCTAACATATAGCATTTCCCAAATTATAGGAGAGAGTAAGATGGCTCAGAGCTGTATAAAATAACCACAATCACCTGAAATGAAGCATCTGGAATGAAGAGAAGATGGGACTATATGGGTGAATATGTATTATTCCTTAATCTTCCTACTTCTTTTTATTTTTCTCTGCTCAGGGGAACCCAGGACTATCTATGTGGAGGGAGATAACCCAGAGACCACCCTTACAGTGCCTTACCTGAGTGAAAATGTTCCGTACAAGTTCAAAGTGCAAGCCAAGACCACTCAAGGCTTTGGCCCTGAAAGAGAGGGCATTATCACCATTGAATCTCAAGATGCAGGTATGCTTTGGTGCCAAAGTACTTTTACCATCTGTTCTTCTTGGTGTGTTCTGCCCCAGCTATGGACCCCAAAGAACGCAGCATACACAAACTCTATACAAAGCTTATTTACTCAAAATAACTTAGTCTTTATCATTCAAAGGCTGTTAACGCACTGTCTTAACAGCCTACCAGAATTCTAAGATAAGGAATCACAGACTTACTAGAGTTGGCAGAAAGCCAACAGTTTTGCAGACATGAAGGAGAGTGAACTAAAGTTGTTCTCTACAGCTTGTTGCAAGCGGCGTTCCTTCTTAAATAGGCTAAGGGAGTGGCCAATTAGCCTCAAGCCTTACTCTCGAGGAGACCTCCTCCTGAGGAGCTACTCCTGCCTTTTGGCAGCTCCGCACGCCTGTGCATTGAGAAGAAGCTCCTCCTTTTCGTCCTCTTCACTTAAAGGAGCTTCTGGAGGTTCTGAAGGGCCTGGCTGAATCTCCGCCTCTGGCACCACATTTTCTCCAGCCTCCTCACTGTCCAACTCGAGCGCCAGCTGCACAGGCTGCTGGCACAGCACCATACCAGTCTCCTCGTTGTCGGAATCAGCTACAATCTGCATAGGCCGCTGATGGGCCACAACATGGTGTGCTGTTAAGGGCACGTTGTCAAACAAAGTGTAAAAAATGCAGAATTCAATTTTTCTTTCTTTTCATACTGTAAAGTACAAATTATAGGAATTGGCTCTGGTACTGGTCTTGTCAGGTGTTCCATGGGCTAATGGGTGGTGCCTGATTACTCCCGCTGCGTAACCTGAAATGGCCATAGAGTTGCCAGCAACAGGAGAGGTGGCATGCCACAGCAGCAGGGTAACAGAATAACAGAGTTGGAAGCAACTTTGGGGGTCTTCTAGTCCAGGGGTCACCAACCTTTCGGACCTCAGGGACCACTAAATTCATAATTTTAAATCCTGTGGATCACTAATACAAATCCAGTGCACCGCTTGCTGAATCGCCTGGACTCACAGTGATGGGATGGGGTCCTTCAGGCACTTAGTTTGGCCACTTGTTTCTGCAACCTTAAACACTTAAAAGAGCCATTTGAAGCATTGGATAGGATGAGGCAGGTGGTACTTAGATGTATGCGAAATTTTGGTCCCAGGATTCCATGGGTTTTTGAAATTTTCACTGACTTTGTATTCTGATTGTTTTTAATGTTTTCCACACTATCCAGAGTTGTTACAATATAAGCAGCTGTATAACTCTTTTGAAATTTTTTTTAAAAATGCACACATGAATGTGTTCTTAAAGAACAGTGGGTAAGGCATCCAAAACCCAAAGTTAGGGTAATATGGATATGTCAAATTTGGGTCCTCATTACCCAATTTGTGCAAGTGTAATATATGGGAGTAGACAGCATCTGGAATGGTGAATCAGTTTTTCCTTAACATGATGTGTGCATGGACATTTTAAATACTCTTAAAAGTAATGCTGTTTTCTTAGTGAGTAGAAAATTGATCTTCAAGGCGCCGCAAATGATTTTTACAAGTTTCTGCTTTTGAAGCTATCGTTATCCCATTTTAATTCAAAGGGAGACAGATGATAGATGAGAAATGAGAAATGAACTGAATATTTAGGAAGATTAGCTGGAAATAAAAGTAACAGAATAGAGCTTTGCATGGTCATGTGAAAACAAATGATCTGCTTTAACTTAGACACCATCTTCTTGCATTTGTTCTCAGAGTCATTTTTTAAAAAATAATATTAGATGGAATGAGAATTAGATATCCAAGCATTGAATTACACCCCCCCTCCTCCTTTCTGCTTCAGGAGTATTCTCACAATATGGAACACATCAATTCACCAGGGAGGAAGTCTTCAATCTCCCTACAGAATACAACACCCAAACGAGCATCACTCACTCCCTACTGGATCCTTTATATGCAGGTAAAAAAAAGGGAATGATGGAAATAGGGGGTGCCTTGATTTTCGATAACCTTGCTGAGATCTTTGGGACAATATTAATGAAGAGTATCTAGCATTCATCTTAGAGGAGAACAAACCTGAATCTCGAGACTCTGGGATCGCAAGGGGAAGGTTGAAATCTTTATTCAGAAATAGTTAAACGAAAAATAAGTGGTTTTTTCCCGCTAGAAAAATGGCAGAACAGGCCTTTTCATACATAGGTTTACTCAATGGTAATGTATTCTTTTCATAGTATTAGGAAACTCTCCTATCACTGCTAAGATCAGGAACAGGGCCAGAGCAGTTATTTCTAAATTAAAGAACTGCTTTTTTTTGGTACAAAAAATTAAATGGAGACTTCTTCCCAAAAAAAGAACTCTGCTTCTGCTTAAAGCACACTACGACCAGCATCCCAACTCTATTCAGGAACTCTGGAAAGGATTATATTAATCACACAAACAGTGCTGAGTGTCTGCAGTTGCACCCATGAGGTCTTTTAAGATAGATGTCTGTGTTGCTTTATATGTAAAGCCTTTTAGGTTATGGAAGATTTCACAGGATATGAAGAGGTCTGTCTTTTAGATATCAGAAGCATGACTTCAGGAAGGGCTGGGATACTTACTACCTCTAAGGGGGCTTGGCTCTTTCCCAAGTGCCTGAACACGTCTAGGGGTATCAGATAAACGGCTCTAGAGTGTTCCTAAACACAACCCAGTGCAGGGGCAGAAGTCATAAAAGTGATGCTTAGGGATTACAAAACAAAAAAATAAACTATGTTAAGCTTTCACATATGTATGGCCATGTGTTTGTGCACGTACACTGATTGAACACGCTTAATCCATCATTCAATTACAGTTTAGAGAATAAACCACAATTAGCTGGCTTCACAAAATGCACTTTTATATATTTGGTTTTACACTACATACTCAACAAAACCTTAAACAGCCAATTTTATGCTTTAAGAATGAACTGCAAATCTAGCCACGGGGGAAGTTGCTGTTTACGCCGTTTTTATTCTGTCCCTTTGTTTCAGATGGGATGCTGATGACCACCCAGCGAGTGGAAAGTGGCGGCACCCTGACCAAACAGATCACCAAAGAATACATCACCAGCACCATGTCCAGCAATAGTGGGACATTCTCCAGACAGACAGAGAGACAATTCTATGAAGCTTGAGCGCACAAGGAAACTGCCAAAAAGACACTCAAATTTCAACAAGATGTTCTGTGGCCATCTTCCAGATGAGAGCGGATGGCAATCTCTGTGCTCCATTAGCCCTAAAAGCCACCCACTGGCCATTGCTTTTGAAATATCACCAGGTGATATCTGCACACAGCCTAGCTGGTAACCTAGCATCTTGTGAAAGGAGCTTTTAACAGAACACTTGGTTATGAAACTCTCTTGGCTAGTTCAACTCTGAATCCAGCTCATGAGTATCTGCTTTGCTGCTCTGGATTTGGTTTGAAATCCTTACCTCAGACCATAGCTTTTCACTTTGCATATTTTAACTGGATCTCTTCCTCTTTGTTGAAATTAAGACCATCCTCATTTTTTTTTCTTCTGAGCACAATAACATCCTGTTTGTCACATACATTCCTTGCAATCCAGGGGAGTTAATCCAATTGTTGTATAGTTGGTTATAAAATCCCACGCTGTGCAGTATATAGCAATTCATTAGCAGATTAACAAAAAATACTATTTTATGGCGTAAGGTTGCTAAAATATATACAGGCAGTCCTCGTTTAACGACTTTGTTCAGCAGCCATTTGCAGTTACAACCATAATTTAAAAAGTATGGTAATTTTATGACCAATCCTCATATTTATAACCTTTGCAGGTCATAAAGCAAAGGACAGTTAAAGCAAGAGCACAAACACAGGCACAGTTTCACTTAATGACTGCTGAGTTAAGAACTGAGCTGTTGATCCCAGGTCATGATTGCTAAACAAGGACTTACCTGTAAACCCTTTTCCAAAGAATCCGATATAACATGGGGCAATTAAAGCAACTTTCCAACTTCAATATCAAATATTTGGTATTGTGCAATGGACAATTAATATCTTTAAGAGGTAGCTCTCAAAATAAACTGATTTACTTCTAGCCAACATTTTAGTTACTTTTGGATGAGGCTCTTATGGTGCAAATACAATAGCCTTGGTCAGAGTCCCAATGTGATTGTTTTCCTATCTTTTTTTCTTCCAACCACATAAAAACTAGTGAATTGACAATGATAGCATCATGTTAACGTATTTTTTGGAAAATAATCCTAAAACTCCTTTGGAAACAAACTGAAATCCAAATTAACATCGGTGCTATGGCTGCATTTTTCAGAAGCTGCCCAGGAATTCTTTGGTGAGAAGGTCAGAATGCAATTACATGGCATCTTATCTATCTAAATCAGGGTTCTCCAAGCTTGCCAATTTTAAGACTTGTGGACTTCAACTCCATGCTAGCTGAGGAATTCTGGGAATTGAAATCCACAAGTCTTAAATTTGACAAGTTTGGCGAACCCTGATCTAAATGACAGTTTATTCGTCAGTGCCAATCATCACGCAAGGTGTGGGTAATGCTAGCTGGCTTATCCTGCACCCCACATGACTTGAAGGTGCCCCGTAGTTGTGAGTGGTTCTCAGAACAGATGGACATAACATCTGCTGAAAGTGAACATTTGATCAATGCCACTAGGAAGAGTAATGCAGCTAGGCCCATTCAGGCAAAATGTATCAGTCTGGAGCTCTTAGGATCTCATATTCAGTGCTGTGAATCATTCATAAGAGATGGAATTATTAAAGTTCCTGGACTGTCTTTTAAAAGGGCAAGATTTCTTTCGTACTGAACAGAATGAATGATTTCCTGGATCCTTTGTAAGGGAGTTGCAAATCATTTCTTCTTAGGAGAAGCTGCATTAACTTTTATCTCCAGAGCTTTCCATTTCTTTTTCTGATACGATTTCCTGTTTCTTGCAAACTCTTACTACCGATTATTAAACTTTTCCCTCAGAATAAGAACCACACATCTTGGTGTAATCCAAAGAGGTATCTAACGGCACAGTCGTTCTAAATAGAAGTTTTAAAAGGCATCCTATGCTTTCACTGATGTATAATGAAAAACACATTATAATGTAAATTACATGTTTGTAGATTATTATGGCTTGTAGAGGTTGATGGAATTAAGTACACATGCAGTTTCAGTATTTCAGAAATCTGACAGATGGTGCTTTGGACCGGATGGCTTTGCATTGCACTTAATAAACATTTTCTCTATGATCGCAGCTATTTTTTTTATTATTATTTTCAAATATGCTATGTGTAAAAAAAAAAAACCAGGTTGACTGCTAATGAGGGCAATGATGCAGATCTTGTACAAACCTAAACCTCAACAGAATTAGGCAATAAAAGCAAAACATATAACTTCTACCTGAAGATGTTATTAAAATAACCTGACGGCCAAAGTTAAAAGGATATAAGGTTGTCAAAATTAGCATTAAAGATTAGCATCAATAGCAATGGGATCTGTCTTTAAAAAATGTTGTATGGGAAAAGTTAAGTCTGCATCTGTTTAGCAGTTGAAATACATGTGAAGAATAATTGAATAACTTTTGTGAATATGTTTGAGTGCCCAGCAGAAGTTCATTTTTAACGTAACTGTTGCCACTGCAAAACATACAGTTGGGATAGTACTGTTGGGATATAATGGCTGCACAAAACACTAAGCTTTACATAACAACACAGGCTAGGCACATGATAATTTAAAAACTGGTTAGTGGACAGTTGATGTTAAACAAGTATTGGCTAGTTTACACATTACTAATCCCTGATGTGTTTAACCCTGGTTTATTAAGACATTGTGCTTATGCATAACATTGGTATAATAAACTGAGGTTTACAAATCAAGGCTGGGTCACAATCATGCTAAAATGAAAACCAACTAACCACATGAAGGTTTCCTATAAGGGAACATAGCCAATTATTTTAGTGTGACAATCATACATTCTATTGCAAGAAAGGCTATCGTTATTGTGAATTTTGCTTAATTGGATCAGAGTTGGGGCAGAGGGAGGGGAGACAAATGATAAATGCATCATACAAATGACACAACTTACATCGTACAAAGGACACATTTTACCGTACATCTTTGCATTAGAAGTCATGATGCAATTACACATCATCTCATAGACATTATGATGCCCATTTTATTTTGACTTCACTGTAACTGACTACGCTGTCACTTTCTACCACATTTCTACCAATTATATGGGTTGAGGGTATTATGTTGCATCAGCCTGTCCTTGTCAGTAACAAATGATAATATGGAATGCAATGGAGAAACTCATCACAAAGTGACTCTATTTAAGAGATGTTTAGTGGGTAATTCATTATTGGAAGATCACTCATTAATGGGGTAAGCAAAAAGGAAAGAATAGAAGCAAAATTTAGAGCACAATGTAAAACAGAAAGCCTATTTCCACGATTAGTCTCTGCTTGGGAAGATAAAAAGGAATTGAATTGCTTTGGAGTTGTGGAGTTTATGCCAGGCTTTCCCAGCCTCAGTATTTCCATCCAGGTTGTTGAAGGAACTTATCACAGAAAACTGTATGCAGAAATCAAGGGCTGTTTAATGAAACTCATCATAGTGTTTCTCTGAAAAGGAAATTTTGAGCCCCAAACTGTCTTGTGAATCAGACAAAAATCTCTTTTGGGCTCTTGGCTAAAAGAAAAAAAAAAACATCTGTGTGCGCACACAGGTTTTCACTTACTTCACTTCTTTTATGGAAGAAGTCAAGTCTTTGCTCCAAGCTAATGTCCCAGGAAGCTGTCCAAAAATGTCATGCTTCTCTTTATCACTTTTCTTAGTGAATCCTACAGACAAGGTGGAAGAGCTTTCAAGACAGGAGATGTATTTGAGATCCATCAGCGGGTTTTGTGAAATAGAATGTCGCTGTCCTGCTGTATTTGTCCTAATTGATAAAAGCAAAAAACCATGATATGCAATTATCTGAATTTATCAAGGCATACAAACTACATCAGGAGAAAAAGTTCACAAGTGTGGAAATCTGACTTAGGGCATATCAGATGGCTATTTATCACTCAGACGGCAATTATTAAGAGATAAACCAAAGACAAGAACCATTTTGATGTAGTGGTTAAGGCATCAGGCTAGAAAGTGAGAGATTGTAAGTTCCAATACTGGTCTTAGGCACAAAGCCAGCTGGATGACCTTGGGCTACTCACTTTCGGACCCAGGATGCAGACAAGGATAAACCACTTCTGAAAAACCACGCCAAGAAAATTGCAAAGACTGTTCAAGCAATCTCCAATAATCAGACACAATTGAAGGGGGGAAAAAACCCCAAAGACATTATCAGCAAGCATATGAGTTTGCTCAAACAGCAAATTTAGCAACAGAAAACATGTGTTGATAATGGACGTTTAAGCCAGGAATGGGCAAATGTTTTTCCAAATGTTTTGGTCTTCTATCTGCCGTAGGCAAAACTGTCAATGTCAAGGAATTAAACACCCAGAAGGCAGCAGATTGCCTGTGTCTGGACTGAAGACTTTTTTATCCAAACAACAGTTCTAATAGCAACAGAAAGAAACAGCTCTTAGCAGAGAAACTGTGGGAAGATAAATAGCAGGTGGACCAAGACAGTTTCTATGCTCCCCAGCACAGACTTTTCTCCTCAGAACTAAATTCATCTATCCATGCTAAAGGCTGTCAAAATCTTTCTCACACACAGACACTTTCTACTGTACTTCATTCCTCTAGAAACATAAAAATGCTTTCCTCACAATTTATGTTATGACATTAGGGATCTGAAAAAATATTCCATGCGTGGACCATTTTATGTATGCAGTTTTTGGCCTATATACAGAAGAAAATAAGGGTGTTTTGTTCCAGTATGGACTGAAATATTCTGGACAAATGTGGTTTACAATGGGGAGCAAGAGGGGGAGGGGAATCCAAGGTTGAGTGTTTTCCTTAATGCTGGTGCGTGGGAACATGGTGCATGGTACAGCAGAACTTGAGAGAGAAAAGGAGGCAGGTGGGAGGTGTAGCAGTGGGACATTATCATCAGTGGCTGGAGACAGGCAAAGGAGAAAAGGAAGATGCTGGGAATTCAGGATCCAGAAATATATGCTTGGAGTCTGTTTCTTCCTGCTGGGATCATCTCAGGAATGAGCAGGCACATAGGCCAATACACTGGTGGCAGGTTATGGCTGATGAAGGCAGAGAGGGTTAGGGGTTTTGTTTCAGGGTATAAGTTCATATCCTTAAAACTGTTCTTAGATATACAGTGAGGAATTAGACCACAAAAGGTTTAATGACCCAGATTGTTGGGGGCAATATGCTGACTCTGTAAACCGCTTAGAGAGGGCTATAAAAAGCACTATGAAGTGGTATATAAGTCTAAGTGTTATTGCTAAAAGACAGCCAGGAAGAAAAATAGGACTGGATTTTACTGATGAACATATTGGAATTTTTGATATCAAAAATAATTGCATACATTGATTACAGCCTATATTCTAATATATATCTATCCCCAGAGTGAGTGCTTTGTATCAAGAAGAACTAAAACATAGGATCCAAGAAGAAAAAGCTGGTGTTAAAATTCTGCTCATCTCGGTTGTAGATGAGAGAACTGTACCAGCAAATCCACTCTTGCTGCCCGATCAACCACATACCTTGATATGTTTCAGAACTTTTTCTGCAGCTCCTGATTCAAGAAGAGTTACGGTGCAACCTCCAAAACCACCACCAGTCATTCTGCTACCATAAACTCCAGGAACTTCCATGGCAGCAGCTACCAGCTCATCTAATTCCGGACAACTAACTTCATAGTCATCCCTGATGGGAGGAAAAATGAGTGATTTTTAAACAAAAATGAGGGAGGAAAAACCCTTGTCAATTACTATATGGAAGGTAGGAAAAAAAAAAAGGTTAGTAGTTACAGTAGACCCAATCATTATAATGATAGACATGGGATGATATTACAGAAGTATCCAATTCTCACCTTGGGATAAATTAAAGCAGACCTGGGCATTTTATGGCCTTGAGCCACATCCTGCTCTTTGGCTGTCTCCATCTGGCCCACATAAGCTCAATCGGAAATTAGAAATCAAATGTAAATAAGTGTACACTATGCATGCAATACAAGTGCTTGCTTTTATTTTAAAGGTGACTGCTATTTTTTTTTCCCGTTTGCCTTTGTGCATGCATTTGTGCCTACACGCCTTCACAGCCCTATTAGTTCAACCCTCCACAACAGTCTCAATTTCTCACGTAGCCCCTTGGAACAATGAACTGCCCATCCCTGCATTAAAGTGTATCACTTGCAACAGATAAATTCTATGTCAGAGCTCCCCAACCTTTCAGGGTTGACGGCCCAGAACAGGGGGGCGGGGGGGGCTTGTGCGAGTGGGGCCGCAAGCGCCCGCGACAACGCTTGTGCAAGTTGGGCCGCGACCACCTGCAATGCTTGCAGCAATGCTCAAGCAAGAGGGGCTGTGCGCACATGCTGGCTACTCATGCAGCCCAGTGGAGACTAGGCCACAGCCCAGTAGTGGGCCATGGCCCACAGTTTGGGGACCCCTGTTCTATGTCATTACACTGCATTTAGATCTTTGTTGATGGCATATGGAAAAGAATATGATGTGCCAAACTGACTTCATTTACTCTTAGGAAGAAATGCCCCATGTGGAACAAATATGATTAAGGCAGACAATCCAGTCTACACTTTCTCTGTGTTATTTAAAAATATGTCTCAGCTGGCCAAGGCATGACAGATTGTGTTTATGGGTCCATCTGATAATACATAAACAACAATCATTTAGTATGTAAGAGGAATAAAAAGTAATAGGTTTACATTAAGATCAGTGGTGGGTTGCCCCCGGTTCACACCGTTTCTATAGAACCAGTAGTAAAACCGGCGGGAGGCTCCACCCACTGACCCTGACGTCATCAAAATGCTTCTGTGCTTGCGCAGAAGAGCGAGTGTGCGGCCCCGTTGCAAACCGGTAAATAGATTAAGATGTTAATCTTAAAACCTGATTAAGATGTTCTTAATTCTGTGAAACGAAAGAGATGCAATAGATGTAAAATATAGGTTGTCCTCAACTTACAACCACAACTGAGCCCAAAATTTATGTTGCTAAATTAGACATTTGTAAAATGAGTTTTGATTTTATGACTTTTCTTGCCACACTTGTTAAGTGAGTCACTGCAGTTGTTAAATTGGTAACACGGTTGTTAAGTGAATCTAGTTTCCCCATTGACTTTGCTTGTCAGAAGGTTGCAAAAGATGATCACATGACCCTGGGATATTGCAATTGTCATAAAAATGAGTCCGTTGTCAAGCATCTGAATGTAAATCACGTGATCAAGGGGATGCTGTAACGGTCATAAGTGTGAAAAAGGGTCATAAATCACTTTTTTTCAGTGCCGTTGTGACTTCGAACAGTCAGTAAGTGAACTGTTGTAAGTCGAGAACTACCTGTAAGGTGTGTTGATCTTCTGAATTAAATAGCTTTGTTGTACATCCAATCTACATACATACATACAGGAAAATCTTTACGTGGAAATTCAAAAACAGCCCTTTGATTCTATGAATGTTAATTTAAAAAAAAAAAAATACAAAAGGAATAACCTAGTCCTAGACCCGTGATGGCAAACCTATGGCATGTGTGCCATAGGTGGCACGCAGAGCCATATCTGTGGGCACGCGAGCGTTGCCCTAGTTCAGCTCCAGCGCACATGCATGCGCTGGCCAGCTGATTTCTGGGCCTTCTGGACCCACCAGAAGTTGGGAAACGGGCTGTTTCTGGCCTCCAGAGGATCTCCAGGGGGGTGGGGGAGGCCATTTTTGCCCTCCCCATGCTCCAAGAAAGTCTCTGGAGCCCAGGGAGGGAGAAAAACGGGCCTACTGGGCCCACAGATAACCTTTTTGCCATCGCGTGCTAAACGCGTGGGGAGCATGGGGGGGGGTTGCATGTGCAAGCGCGGGGGGGCTGCGGGGAGCATTGAATTATGGTTGTGGGCACGCACGCGCATGACCTCCCTGCGCTTCCCTTGCTTTTGGCACGTGACGGCAAAAAGGTTAGCCATCACTGTCCTAGACTGTATATCAGCTTCAGACTGTTGCCTTACCTTAAGGAATTGTGGCTCTCTACCATCAGCTCTCCAAACCTCTTATAATCTCTGGCCTCCAGAGCCTCAGCTGCCCTAGCCGTGCGTTCAATCTCTCCAATCACATGCCTGGCTCGCCTGTACATCTCCTTACTCAGGAGGCTCCTGGACTCTGGAAAGAGAGAGAGAAAAACAAAACGAAACAAGATTCAATTAGGGCTCAACGGTTAAAAATGATCCCCAAATGGAAAGTTTTGAGCTTCCAATATGCCTTCTGTCACCTCCTGTATGATAGTACAGGAAATAGTCCTCATTTAGCAACTGCTTTAATGACCGTTTGCCGTTAACAACAGTCATGAAAAAGTAACTTTACAATTCATCCTAAGATTTGACTTTTGCAGGTCTGTAAAGCAAAGGCAAACTGAAGTAAGATCATAAGCACAATCACCGTTTCTCTTAGCAATTGCTTTGCTTAATGACTGAGTTACCAGTCCCAATTGTGCTATACGACAACTACATGTATGCCTAATGTGTCAATTGCCTCTAGCCTTTCCATCTCCCCTTGCTCTGCAACAGACACACAAAGCTTCAGATGTTCTGAAGGATGGAAGCTGACATGCCCACCCCCACCCCCCTTTCCAAATAATGTTTACCCTCTAAGTCTGACATGTTGGCTTCTCTCAGGCTTGCCTTTCCCAGCAACTTGGCTGCCTCTTCACACTGACGCCGACGTGTGGGATACTCGCTGCCTGTCAAAGTGTGTCGTACATTGGAATTGGTGATGAGAACAACTAAATCTGGGTCAGTCAAAGGGACCAGGCGAGTTTTCAAGGACCTTGAATAAGAAGAAGACATAACTAGATCACACAAAATGATCCTAAAGATGGTTGCTGGGTTTACTTACTTATACATAAGAAATACTGAAAAGAGCTGTCATTATAAACCAAAGTGCACTGTCCACATAACACAACTTTACAAATTCAATGCTTTAAATTTAAAACCTGCATTCTGAATTCTAAAATGTGCATGAGTTGGGTATGTGTTACATTCTAACAATTTTTAATATTCTGTAAAAATATTCATACAATCATTAAAAATTGGGTCTTAACTGTCAACTTAAAGGACATGGATTTAGCTCTATCCCTAGCCTCAGCAACTCACCCAGGGCTTAAGGTAGAAGGGTTATCTGAACGCGCTTTGAGAATTTCATTCCACAAATACTTTACAGGAAGTTTTTTTTTTTTTTACAGAGCAATAACATCCTTCTCCTCTTTTGAATACTGTGAGCCTAGTTAGATGAGATAACAGATCTCATAACACCCTCTACATAGGGCTGCCCTTGGGATGCGTCCGGAGGCTCCAGCTAGTCCAGAACGCAGCCGCGCGGGTAGTTACGGGGGCGTCTAGATACTCCCGTGTAACACCTCTCCTGCATGAGCTGCACTGGCTGCCGGTGGCGCTCCGGATACATTTCAAGGTGCTGGTGCTCACCTATAAAGCCCTTCATGGCTTAGGGCCGGGATACTTGCAGGACCATCTCCAGCTGCTCTCCCACCGTCCTGTGCGCTCTCACAGAGTCGGCCTCCTCAGGGTGCCGTCGGCCAAACAATGTCGGCTGACGGCCCCCAGGAGGAGGGCGTTCTCTGTGGGAGCCCTGACCTTCTGGAATGGATTGCCCACCGAGCTCAGGACAGCCCCCGACCTTCTTTCCTTCCGTCGTGAGCTGAAGACGTGGCTCTTTCGTCAACTCAACTGATCCATTTGGGGATACACTGTCATAATTTTAAACTGTTTTTAATAGGGTTGCTGATTTTAATTTATTTCATTGTGATTTGTATTGGAATTTGTCATTTTGTAAGCCGCCCTAGGGAGAAAGGCGGCATATAAATCGCAATAATAAATAAATAAATAAATAAATAAATAAATAAATAAACAAACAAACAAACAAACAAACAAACTGTGTGGACATGATCTCTCTATATAGATAGATGGAAGAAATTACAAGAAAATGACTATTGCTACATTCTGACCTGCAGTCTATCAGCAAGGCATGTCCTTCTTTCCCCATTACGGAGATAAATTGGTCCATGATACCACAAGGCATCATTGCAAAGGTGTGTTCCGCTTTCTGGCACACCAGTGCCTTAGTAACTGGATCCATGTCATCTGTACCAAAGAAGAAAAATATCCACTGACAATTTAGTACTTTATTTCCATATAAAGGAAAGAGGGCCAAATATTAAAATGTTTGATATTCATATATCAAAACAAGCCAAAACATGCAGATGTATAAAAAAATTAGCCGTCTAGTGCTCGTTTTCTAGGACTGGAGCTCTTCAGAATGGGCACGGCCAAGAAACCAACCCATGTTCCAATCAGTTACTTTATTGTTCTCTGCCTATTGCACGGGGATCTCTCCAGAGTGGCCGATCTCATCTGGGAATGGGTAGATAAGGTGCCAAGGTAATCGGAGTGGTCAGACCTAGCCCTCTTGTGTTTATACAGTGCATCCAGGCTGATTCCTTGCTTGAACCCTCCTCCTAGCAAGGATAGTTGCTCTCCAACAATCCTTGATATGTTGTGTGAATTCAGCTGCTGTGCTTTGTTAACAATGACTAATGCCTTAGAGCAGGGGTATCAAACTCACATCATCATGGCAGTGTCACGTGACGTATCGGGACTTTTCCCCTCTTCACTAAACCGGACATGGGCATGGTCAGCACATGATGCATCTGGACCGTGCGCTGTGAGTTTGACAGCCCTGCCTTAGAGGGTCCATCCACTAACTAAATTCTAATTCACTATTTTGTTTTTAACGGTGATCATGCAGCTGCTTGAAAAAGAGGACACCAGAACCCATGTAGGTTAGTCTTTCTCCATCTAGCCTGCTGTGTTCTTCCCTAAGTATTTCCCAACAATTTGGAGTTTCCAGGGATTGCAACACATGTTTACAAAATTTCTTCAGCTGTGGTTAACCTAAGTCTCATTTAGCTAACAAAGTCGAAAAGGGGGTAGAAATTTCAGGTTGAAAAATATACCCCCAACCAGCCTTCTAAAGGGCTACTGAAAAAATCTGGAATTGGTTGATGATGTCAAAGAAAGGCAGGAAACATTCTTTGCTTCCATCTCATTGTCTGGATTTTGCCCCTCAGTCCCTAGACTTCCTCAACATGGCTGTGCTCCAGGTGGGTCATTTTCAGAATTCCCAATAAAGCTGGATGTGTTCTTTGTTCTAATATTTTTCTATAGTTATTCTGAGGGTAAATAAATATATTTCAAATGTCACTGTTGGCACCCTGAACTGGTTAAGTGTTCTTTTAAGTTATTTTCCTGATAGGTTAAGATCGGGGATTGAGAAATAAAGTCTTATATTCTCTCTCTCATTAACTCAGATTAGTTGGCCAAAACATTAACGACTACCCTTAATTGATGGAAAACACAGGAGATAGATGTGAAAACCAAAATGCACCTTCTATGTTTTTTTTAAAGAATGATTGCTTAGTTTGTCACAAGAGCTTCTTTTTCTCTTCCATGGTTGTTTGTTTCCTTCTTTTCCATCACTTTAATTTGCCCCACTATCAACCGCCTCTTCTTTCAGTTCTTCCAGAAAGAAAGAAAGAAAGAAAGAGAGAGAGAGAGAGAGAGAGAGAGAGAAAGAAAAAAGAAAGAAAGAAAGAAAGAAAGAAAGAAAGAAAGAAAGAAAGAAAGAAAGAAAGAAAGAAAGAAAGAAAGAAAGAAACTTTGAGAGCGAAGGATTGAAAGAGAAGCAGTTGATGGTGGGGCAAGTTAAAGTGATGGAAAAGAAGGAAAAATAACGTCCTTCCTTCCTAAGATGTATCCATTTAGCACTTCACTTGCTTTAAGGAGAATGTAAGTTATCTGCTGTTTCATCACAGGCATAGTATAATTCTTACCAGGAGAGAGCTGCTGCAGGAAGGTGTACATGGCCACTTCTAAGGAGGCTGAACTTGAGAGACCACCACCTATTGGTACATTACTCTCTATCACAACATCAAAGCCTGGGAGAGGGCCAGCTATAATGGAATAGAAAAGCAGCACAGGGAGAAAACAACATAATTCACGGCACGTCCCACAAATAATCTGTAATTTAACGAACTATTCTGAAAAGCATCATGTTTAACTAAAAATCTGTCACGGTTTGGGAAAGATGCTTTAAGTAAAGGGCTACACTTCTTCGAAGGGGTCAAAGACATAGTGGTTGGAATTGTTTATCCCACTGGTATCTTGGCTTTGTGGGAGATAGGAACCCATTTAATGGGTTATATGGCAATCATTATTTAGATTTAGGAGGAGAAAAAAACCCTACTCAAAAGTGAGGGGACATGGAATATTTCAATCTCTCTATTAAATAATACATTATAGTCTCTCATCGCCTCATTCCGGCCAAAGAGGAGAGTCTGTGGTGGGAGGGGGTCACTTGGGGAAAGGCAGAGTTTTGACTGCATGGTTGTAGCTGCCATCTAAAGTTTCTTGACTCCCATCTTATGGATGCTCCAATTGCCAAACCATGTAATAACCCCAATCTTTGATTGATTTTGGATCTTACCTTTATAATGCTGGATAACCCCTTTTACATAATTAGCCCAGCGAGGTTCTCCGGGTTTCAAGGAAACACCTTCCCTTGGAACTGGAAACTGCACAGTTTTAGGCTCTTCCGTTTCCTCTGCAGTTGTAGTTATGGATATCATTCCATCTTCCCTTGGACTCCCAACCATGACTGTTCTCATCTGTATGGCCTGAAGAAAGAGAGCACTGTAGAGGGTAGCAGTGGAAAATCAACTGATCTTCCAGCAATTGATGAACTACAACTCTCAGTGCCCTTCTCCACAGGCTGGGACTGCTAAGGATTGTGGTTCTGCAACATCTGGAGTACAATAGGTATGTCACGTCCAGTATAACTAAATACAAAAAGATGGGCAAGGTTCCTAAAAAAAACACTTTCTGCATGGTATCCCCCCGCCCCCCTATAAATGCAGAGGAGCCCAAGAATGAATAGAAATGAGGATGAGGAATATGAGTAGGAGTGTAGATATAGAAGCAGAAGAATGACTCTTCCTGAGATTTTTAGTTTTGGTCACTTAGGATAATTATTATAATGGAGAAAATCCTTTTGATTTGTAATGATTTCTCCAACATAGTCTTTAGAAACATTGAATATGCCTATTAACTGATTTGTGTGAAAACACGTTTCCCAAAATACACAATTGCTAACTTCACACATCACACCTGGTTAATCTATGGCTTGATATTGTGCAAACTCAGCCAGTGTGATGAGTCTGGGGTTCAATGTGTTGGATGAACCAAAACATTTGGATTAATTTAGTTACTCTACCTACCAGACATCCTCAGATCAGAGCTGGAGAAAATGGTACGGTAAAGAAATGAATTTGGAGATGTGGAGGAAATCTTACAGCACGCATACAGAAATCTGCTTCCATCACACTGGATGGAAACTGTTGTTATTCATTCTTTCTTAAATTGCCACCACTGTATAGGATATCTTGTAGAATACAAAGAAATAAGTGGCTTACAATTTAAAATTAAGCCCCACATAAAAACAGAGAAGGAACATGCAATTATACCATCTGTACTTCTTTAGGATTGGGATGAGATTTTTATTATCCAATGGTCCAGGGGTGAAATCCAACAGATTCTGACAGGTTCTGGAGAACCGGTAGCGGAAATTTTGAGCAGTTCGGAGAACTGGCAAATACCACCTCTGGCTGGCCCCAGAGTGGGGTGAGAATGGGGATTTTGCAGTATCCTTCCCCTGGAATGCGGTGGGAATGGAGATTTTGCAGTATCCTTCCCCTGCCACACCCACCAAGCCACACCACGCCCACCAAGCCACGCCCACAGAACCAAAATTGAATTTCATCACTGCAATGCTCATTATAGTTCAATACATCTATTCTAGTGGGTTGAACTTCCAAGTCTATGGGCCACAGAGAGAGAAAGAGTAGAACCTCTTTAGAAAGCATAATTTCAGTTAGGGGAGAATGGTGAAGCAAAGTTGAAGATCAAAGATATTTTGGAATTTAAGAGTGGATTTTTAGCATGACATTAATATAGGCATTCCAGAAATTAGCATTCCCCTTAACTTCTAATGGAGGCCTATGTCTTAAGAACCATTTGTAGATGCAAACAGTTTCAGTAAAGGAGAAAAAAAAAAGAAACCACTTACATACAGTATAACAACCTATACTGTAGCAAATTATAAATAATAAAATTACATTCTAATAGAATATGCTGTGTAAACCTAATCCCAGGTTAACTCAAGTGTGTTGTACTCATGAATGTTTTGGAGTTATTTCAAGAAATTATATTCAGTGAATATCTTAGAGTGTTGTCATAACAGCATTGTCACGCTCAGGGAACTTTATTTCTTGCTAAATTTTTAGAGAAATGTCTTCATCCAATAAACATTTTGCAACAGGAAATCATAATGTTTAGACATAAAAGTCAACTTTTTATGGAACAATTTGCCTTTGAATTCACTACTATGTCAGGGAAATAAGAGAAGGGTAATGAAAGCATAACTTGGGAAAAAATAGCTTAACATTTGCTATTTTATACTTAGTGAATATTTAACTCCACGTTTGTGCAATCAAAATTAGGCTTAACTCCGCTGGCCGTGGAAGAGATCAGAAATATTCCTGAAAGGAACCAAGTCTTCAAAAGTAATCTTCAGCAGCTTTGCCTACCCACTGACAAAAAAGAATCTCTTTAAATACTGGCATTCCCACATTTAGGCACAATATTAGTATCTTCATGGCAGAAACGGCTTTTTTATTCTCCTCCTCTACATCGATGAAGGAATTTCCCCGAGATGTCTTTGGAAAATCCCCATAAAACTGGAAGAAGCACAGCCGAAGTTAATCTGATTTTTCTGAACGGCATTGCTTCCTTACCATAGGTAGCACGAAACCTTGATTGTAATCGATGTGCTCTCCGATCAAATTTACCCTTCCGGGCGCCGACACTGCAATTTTAGGATCTTCCCCGCCATAAACCCTTTTGTACACTTCCCGAGCGGCTGCTAGTAACGACCCCACTGGGTTGGAGTCTCTCCTTTTTTCCATGATCCCGATCCACTTTTGCAAACTGCAGGTTCCAACGCTGAAACCACCGATCCCGGAAAGAAACGAGCCGAGTTCTGCGCAGACGCACGACTGCTCTCAGTCCAGCAGTTCTGATCAAGGCCCGCCCACTCGGCGTGCATTTCTCGGGCGTCCAGCCCCTTTGCTCCGCCAGCACATCTTCTAGGTGTCCTGTAGGGGTCGCTGGTGCAACTTCAAATCTTGCCTTCACTTTCCTGGGTTTCTTTCGTAAGGGCCAGTAAAGACTGCGCTTTTTTAAAAAAATTACAAAAAATATAAAAAAAATTATTTTTTTTAAAAAAATTACATTAATGATAATTTTACAGCATTTCGTAAAAATACTTACGTATTTTGCTTTTGTAGTAGTCTATTCTACAAAATAAAGATTTCTCAAAGCCACCGTAAAAAAAAAAAAGACTGCGCTTTTTATCCCTGCTGCAAAGTAGTGTGCTCCGTACTGAGGGGGGGAAAGTGCAAATCTACACACACAAAAGCCTTTGCTGTAGTTTGCGTGAGTAATGATTGGTTAGTTCTAAGTTAATGTTATTTGAAAGGTGGAGCATAAATAAACAAAAGTGCAAAGAAAACAAAAACCTCTTCCACCTATTACTGATTAACAATATCTTGGAAAAGTTCAAGTTAACTACCGTAATAACCTGAGCAGAAAATGCTTTCAGAATTTGCAAAATCATTTGATGTATGCACCGTTAAGTCAGACTCAGTACTGTTTCTTACCAACCACATAAATGATCTTCTCCAGGATGATCTGTTCTCAAAATGGCACAGACCACCATTGTAATTGAGTCCATTCACCTTGTTGCTCTTTGCCCTCTTTCATTCCAGCTTTCCATCACAAGAGACTTTTCAAGGGAACTGGGTCTTCCTGTAATGGGTCCAAAATGAGATAATTTAGGCCTACGTGGTCATTTGTGTTTTGAATATGAATTCTGGACTGACTTGTTTTATGATCCATTTGTTTTCTTGTCTATCCGTGGTATTCCAAATGTTTTCTCCAAAGTTCAACATTTTATATTCTAGTGGTACAAGCTCATGTTATTACTTTCTAAAATATCTTGGATGTTGACACTCCTAATATATATAATTTTAGTATATTTCTTCCATCTTTGTTTGATCTTTGAATCAGTTATTATCTATTGGTATTCTTTCACATACCAATTTGAGGTTGAAACCTTCTGAATTTGGAGATTTTTTGGGAAGATTTTCCTTGTTTTTCCAGGACTGTTCCCATCTTCCTTATCTTTTCAGATGTTGATACTGTGTTCTAAAAGATTTATAAAATTATACAATTGAATATAGGGAAGTTAATAACAGCAAAAAAGAAAATAAAGAACTCCAGAGAATTAAAATCATCACACACGAGCAAGGTGCCATAACACTCCTATGCTAAATATACATGTGCAGGGCTCAACTCTAAAATACAATAAAAAAGAGAACATTTGTGAATGAGGAAACAATCTGATTACACACAGGAGTAAGGTTGGATGCCTACTTAACCTCTGTAGAATCATTATCACTATGAAGAAAAACCTGCCAAACTTGGCAGGCAACTTATGCTGTGTACGTGGCAGTCAGCACTCATAGGGGTTAAAACTGCTATTGGTGGCCTCCTTCCTGTAGTTCTCAAGCCTTATTTCTTTCTAGAATTTGTGACTGATTGAAAACAGTTGGCCTCAAAAGAGCTGCAAATACAAGGTATTTAAAACCAATACATTAGCCACACATGCATCATGAAGATGTATGATGATAGACCGTCCATTGTAAAATATTCAAGTGAAGTTTGATTTCTGCTGACCTTGTGGACACACCCATGTAGGGCTTTTTATAATTTATTATAAACAATAACAGATTTACCCTTGCCATCTTCAAAGATGTTTCCTCCACTTCTTATTCTACTTTACATCCAGGGCCAGCTTTAGGTTAAGGTCAAGTAAGCACTGGCTTAGCTGCCAAAGTTTTGGGGGCGTCAATGTTACTTTTCCTTCCGAATCATTCTTAAAAAAGGTAAATCTTGCATTTTGGCAGAAGATGGTGTTGTTCAATCAATGTGGCTTAGGAGCAACCCCAGACCCTTGAGCTGACCCTGCCGGCTTACAGCCTTGAATTTCCTGAATGGTTTCCCATTCAAGGATTAACCTGGTCCACATTGGACCTCACTTAGCTTTTGAAATGAGCCAAGGTCGGTTAGTACTTAGGACCGTTTTTTCACACTTACGACTGTTGCCACATCCCCATGGTCACGTGATCAAAATTCAGATGCTTGGCAACTGGCTTGTATTTATGACAGTCGCAGCGTCACGTTGATCCCCTTGTGCGACCTTCTGACAAGCAAAATCAATGGGGAAGCCAGATTCACTTAACAACCGGGTTCCTAATTTAACTGCAGCAATTAACAACTGTAAGGTCGTAAAATGGGGCAAAATTCACTTAACAAATGACTCGCTTAGCAACATAAATGTTGGGCTCGATTGTGGTCATAAGTCAAGTACTACCTGTATAGGGTCTCCTGCTTATGCAGGGGGTTGGACTAGAAGACCTCCAAAGTTCCTTCCAACTCTGATTACTCTGTTATTCTGTTGCCACTTGGCTGGGCTCTCAAACGTTAGTTGCATATTAAGGAAACTTTCCCTGTCCTAATATTTCTTTTTACTTTTTACTTACTCTTTTCATGTATTCAAATTATGTTTATACTTTTACATGTATATATATATCATAACATAACATAAGCCTGATGATGGCAGATGAGATTCTGTCGAAATGTCGCTTCTACCCTTTTAGGGATATGTTCACAATTACATGGGAAGAAACCCGAAATATTAACTGTACACACATATATACCCGTGAAAACTTACATAAACATATATATATGTGTGTTTGTGTGTGTGTGTGTGTGTGTGTCTGTCTGTCTGTATGTATATGTATATGTATATGTATATCTTGTATATATCTTATATATATGCTTGACAAATAAACTTATGATTATGATTAACAACCGAATCCTGGAGACCGGCGGAGGGTGAAGAAAACATCAACGTCGGACCCACGCAAGAGGGGTGACAGAACCGTCAGTAATTCCAGAACTTTAACGACATCAATCATATCCGGGAACGGGGATACACATTGAACTTTTGGGGCTTATTTTCACCTCTCTCCAAACCCCGGCAAGTTCGATTGGGCATTCTTCGGGCCTGAAGATCGCTTTACCTCTCTCTCCCCCCCCCCATCCCCCGTCTCGCCGGAAGAATGGTACCTTCCAGAGTTTTGCCTGCCGCCGGGTGTTAGGACGAAGAAAGTCGCTCGCGGACAGTTTCCATCGGACGGAGGCGCCAGCGGAGGCTGAGTCTGGGACTCTGGGCTGAGCCCAAGTCTGGGCAAAGCAGAGCCGAGCAAAGCAGACTAGGATGAGTGGGAAAGAGCCGCTCCTGGGCGCTCTGAAAGGTGAGAGAGAGAGAGACAGAGAGAGATTCGCGACGGGTAATGCGAGTGGGATGCTTGAAAATGAAGTGTTGGAGAATAGCCGTCCTTCGTAGCATTTGGGGCTTAAATGGAGCGTGGCTCTGATGGGTCACCCAGCTGTCACAGTGAAGAAATGCGCTGTAGGAGATGCCAGGTGATGCAAGGAGTTGGATCTGTGCTAGAAGATTGGTACCTCCCAACCGGACACGTGTTCTCCGCTCCCCACGTTCAAGTGATTGCAGAACTCTCATTTCATTTGTGGCAGTATTTTAAGATAAGGTTCCAGTTTAGAAGGGGATGGAATCAGGAAAACCGATCACCAGAAGTCCAAGCAGCGTGCAGGAGAAATGCTGGGATAGGGACATTTTATACTCAGTTCCAGGGCTCTCACCACCCCCCACCACCCAGTAATGAAAACTTGACAAGATCTTGTTAGACTGACAGGTGTCCCTCACACATGGGGATACATAGAAAAGACAATTTCATGTTTGCTACTACTTTGTTTCCTACTGTATGGACATGCAGGCAAGATACATACCCACCTATTGAGTTTTGTCACCTCCAGCGTCCTGCTAGCTAAAAATATATTTTTTTAGTTCTCATATTGGGTTACTTCATTTAATGTCCTGTCCACAGCTGTAGCCATTTTTGATGCCCGAGGAAAAAGATGCACGTGGAATAACTACCTCTACTTTTTAAAGTTCTATTTCCTGCTGGTTGTTGATGACCATCAGTAAGAAACTAGGGGATTGTATTTTTGTCAAGCCACAAACGCAGATTTTTTTCCAGCCAAAATATCTTTTTTTCCTATCTAGATAATTACTGGACTAGCCCACAGAGAAAAAAATGTGCAAATACTGAAGTTGTCACTGCTCCTTTTCTGTAGAGGAAAAAACCGCAATACAAAGATTTATGCAGATGTAAACCCTCTTATATTCTATAGGATTTCTTCCAAACTAAAACAAATAGGATTGTAGCCTGTGATACATAGTAGAAGTACTATGTTTGACCATTTTATTTCTCAAATCACACTAGTATAAACTGGTTTGTATGATGTAACGTTGACTTTTTAAAGGTCTGAAATCATGGGAAGCTAACAATTTAATTTTCTATCAATATCTTGGTAAAAAATATATGCAAAACTACCATGAAAATTACTATATCTTAATTATTGTAGTGGCTGTCACTTGTATGAACAGCATGTATAATTACATCTAGTTTTTGTCTCAAGGCATAAAAACTTCATAGATTACAGATCTCCCCATATAACTATCTTTTGCAGTGACATACACGGGATTTTAAAAATGATGACTTTGATTATTTCTTCCTCATTTAATGATTTGTCCTATGTGTTTCCTTATCCGTCTTCTTTAAAGTAATCTTGCATGCCCCTACCTAAATGACATGGAACAGAGTGGGATTTACTTCAGTAGACATGTACAGGATTTGATTGCAATTTTTATTCTTTTGCCTGCATTCACATAACACACTAACCCACGTTTTTGAACCCTGGTTTACAGTACAGAATTAAGGTATGGTTCGACAACGCAAACCATGAACTTGTTATTTGGGAGATCTCTTGGACTAACAGCTCCTGTTTGAAAGGCAGGTTTTATTTATAGCTAGTAGCACTTTAACTCAGCTTCATGTTGTGCACCAGTAATGCCCTTTCCAGGATAGAGAAGCTTGCCTCTTGGCCTCTCCTGCTCTGGTCATCTTTCATTCAGTCACTTATGCTCTGGACTATTGCAATGTGCTGTACATGTATCCTTGAAAAGTATCCAGAAGCTTCAGCTGATACAAAACATGGCTGCGTGAGCAATCTTGGGCACCAAAGATCAGTGCATGTGACACCTTTGCTGCGTGAAGCTGCATTGGGGTGACAGTTTGCTTCCAGATCCAATTCAAGGTACTGATTAGACATTTAAAACTCTACCTGGCATGGGACCAGATTACCTATGGAACCATCTTAGCTCCATCACATCAGTCCATCCCACTTGGTCAGGCAGGGAATTTATGGTGCGGACCTTGTCAGTTAAAGAATTCCAACTGGCAGGATCCAGGAAGAATGCCTTCTCTGCTGTTGCCCACTGCTCTTTGTAACTCCCACCCACTCCCCAGAGGCAAGGCAAGCCCCTACTCTCCTGGCCTTTCAAAAGTATCTAATGACTTAGCTCTGCCATCTCACTTAAGGCTCACATAGGAGACACAGCCTATGTCTCCTATGAGGAAGACATAGGCTGTGTCTCCTATGTGAGGCCTTCAGGTTAGTGCCCTGAAGGCCTTCCCCACCCCCGCTTTTATTTACCTTTTAATGTTAAATTTTGCTATCCTTGCCACTATTTTAAATTTTTATATTCAGTTTTTATGTTTCATACCACACAGAGTTCATCTGTGAGGGAGATGGGTGATTTCTAAATTTTATAAACTTAACCACATAGGCTGGGTTCATACAATCACTACAATCTAGCCCAGACAGTTCTAAGTAAGTAGTAATGTATACCACTGGTGGGGCTTAGAAGTAATATAGCTGGGTCTTGGAGGGACTTTACACCATTAAAATGTACAGGAAAGGATAACTGTAACAACAGTGCCTATAAGCATATAAATGATGGTGATAGTGGATAAAGTGAACTTTTAATTTCAGTTGTGATGGAACCTAGTTATAATAGTTGTGAGAAATGTGCTTTTGGAGGAATCTACCATTGGAATTAAAATTGGTGGTAGGAATATCAATATCCTCCGATATGCAGATGATACAACATTGCTCATGGAAAGCAAGAAGAATCTGGAATGGCTTTGACTCAAAGATGAAAGTGAAAAATTTGGACTGCACCTTACGATCAAGAAAACAAAGATAATGACAACTGCAGAGAACATACAGATCAGAATGCAGTTCGACAATGAGACCATCGAAATAGTAAAGGAATTCATCTTCCTTTACTAAACTCAACCAACATGGTGAGTGCAGCCACGAGATCAGAAGGATATATAATACAAAAGAACTGCAATGTCCACCATGAATAACATCTGGAAGAGTAAAGACAACAGCTTCCCAACCAAATGCAGATTAGTTAACACAATAATTTTTCCAATTCCTACTTATGGATGCGAAACTTGTACTCTGAAAAAGGCAGATAGAAGAAGGGTGGGCACTTTAGAACTGTGATGCTGGAGACAACGATTACACCTCCTATGAACTGCAAAAATAACAAGCAAATCCTAGACCGAACCTCACGAAAAATACAAAGCCAAGATCACAAAACAAAGGCTGTCATACTTTGGCCATGTTGTGTGAGCTGACTCACTCAAAAAATCATGTTGGAAGTGAACAGAGGAAAAAGGAGAAGAGGGAAATCTAGTACCCATTGCCTGGACCCTATAAAGCATGGCACCATGGTGGATCTGAAGGAGGCAGTGTGAGACAGAGGGGCATGGAGAGTGCTGATCTATAGAGTTGCTGAGGGTGGGACATGACTGAATGGCTGACAACAATGATAATGGAACCCAAATTAATTGATAGCATGAATGATAGGAGTTGATATAAAAGATTAAGAATTACTCATATAGTGAATCCATGTTAGCCCAACATTTTATATAAAGCCAGCTATTGTAGGCTGTTCCTGCAAATTCATTTCATATAAGAAACTGAATTCTAAGCAGTTGGGATTATATTAATGAGCTTCCATTTTATAAGTGCACTTTCTTGTGCAGTCTTAAACTATTTACCCCTGGGTGTTCCTTGCAGGGTTCTTCTGAACTTTTGAAGATACCTGGATTGTAGAAATCAGAATGATCATTAGATAGCAGCAAAGAGTTAGTCTTCTGTATTTCTCTGCTACCATCTAGTAATGGCCCAGATTTTGACAGCCCAGATACGATAACTCTGTGTAACCACAGGTACCACAATGTACCACGTTAAACATTTTGGAAAAAGGTGAGATCATTATTATATGGTAAATATTCAAATAAGTACACACAGTCATTATCTTGATAGAACAGAAAAAGACACAGGGTCTGTTATACAGTATTGTTATTCCATTTAGTAAACAAAAATGTGGCAGGAAATCTCTTTTCCAAGATGGTCAGTGGGCTTGATGGGTGGAGCATGCATTGAAAGAACAGTCAATATTTGCCCAACCAAGCCCATGGCTGAAGACTTTTTGCATACATTCTTATTTATATTAAATATTTCTTTCTTCCTTGTGTAGGCCCGAAGTAGTAAAAGCATTTTACAAACGAAATGAATATCATAAATTAGCCTTTGTGTGCAAATCAATTAAAAGGGAAGACAGCCACTTTTAGAACATTTCCAGTGGATGTGCTAGTTACTAATAAAATGAAAGCAGAAAGAGAGAGGGAAGTGAAATCCTGGAAGTGAAAATTGAGCCTTACTGAGTATAATGAGAATTGCATCTAAGTAGGTGTGTCCAGCACAATTTAAATAAATCACTTGATTTAATCTGTTTAATCTGCTTTAATCTATTGATTTCCAATGTGTTCCAATTTAATGTTTTGCAACTGGAAACTCCAAATTCTTTCTTCCAAATAAACATAATTGCGTGAAGTCTGTAGAGATTCTCAGTCATCCAGGTCATGGCTGTCCCAAAGGTGCTTTTTCAGGTGGCAACTGTCCATTCCATTCTCCACTATCCTGTCAGAGCTGAAGAAGCTTCTTGAATGAGAAGTGAAACATCTTCAAAAGAAAAAACAAAGTCCAGTTGCCTCCTGAAAAAGCACCTTTGGGATATGATTGCTTGATTTGCTATATGTTGTAATTTATTTCAAACTCACTTGGCCTAGTTTGCTGTGCCTAAATTGCTGATGGAGACAACATGACATTTCTGCACCATATCATCTATAAAATTGCCTACACTTTCAGTCAGTTTTAAGAGATCTCTTTTTATCCCCAGCGTTAAGACTTCAGTGAAGCCATTACACTGAAGAGAAAGAATGGGTTTTTAAATAATTAAAATAATGTATTAACATTTTTTACTCTATAAAATGAGAAAAAAGGTTTGTCCCCAAAATCAGTGTGTACAGTATTGTATTTCAAAAAAAGGATTTTGCCTAGAGTTCTTCTGTTATTGCAGCCTGCATTTGAAATTGCATTTGAAATTGCTTATGCGAGTCAGACTGTATTTGGTATTGTTTATGTTAGACTCCACACTGAGGCAAATATTTTTAGATCCATTCTTTCCTTTTCCATTTGAAATTCAATTTTATACATTCTGTTTTCTTGCAGTGTGCATTCTCAATTTTCAGGAAAGCAATAGTCCTTATACAGATACCTGTCCTCATTTACAGTCCTTTTGTGAAATCCTGGAAATGATTCTTCGGAAAGGATTAAAACGTGAGTAACTTTTTTTGCTCCATGGCTTAATATTGAGAAATATACTTGAACAGTTGTGAAGTCCTGACTTACAGAAAGTCATGCCAATTAGTCATAAAATGGAAAAGGAAAACATGGATCTAAAAATATTTGCCTCAGTATGAAGTCTGGCTAGCATGAGCAATACCAAATTATTGTACATTGGGCCTTAGCAACCACTGGCTATGCGCATGGTTTATTACATTCTACTAATGGGTTAGAAAGGGTATAAGGTAATGAATTAGGAATGAATTAGAAAGGATATAAAAAATCGTCCTTTGGACCAAGGGTCTCCAAACTTGGTAACCTTAAGACTTGTGGCCTTCAAATCCCAGAATTCTTCAGACAGCCGAAATTCAAATGAGGAATGTTTGTATGTATGCTACACATTTCATCTATATATTATAGATTCAACATTCTTCAGCATTCAGACCATAACAGTTCTGTAAAATATAGATAGTTTGCCAAGTATATGGCACCATTAGGAAACCATGCATCATGGTAACTTGCATGTAACATTTAAAAATTTCATGTCTTGAAGGTTTCAACGATATATAAATATGGGTGGTCAAATGGTAGTTTGTGCAAAAGAACCCCAAAATTGTTTTTAAATAATAGACCACTTCTTTGCAATTGGGGAAGACACAAAACATTGATGTGTGCACAAAATAGACCATGTTGTTCCCTGCAACAGTACTCTGGACCTAAGGTAGCATCTAATTTTAGGTCTGCAAAAATGACTCTTATCAGATGATAAAAAGTCATACTGCTGCCATCTCCCAGTCTTACCATTCTTTGTAAAGGATGTCTTTGTCCTCTTCAGAGCCAGTTCTGGGATTCAAGAGGAAGGACTATTGGCACTGGCTAGAGCAGCTTCCACAGCAGGAAACCCATCACAGGTAGGTGGTCTCTTGTAGCCTTTTATGATGCTGTAAACAGAAACTCACAATATTGGGTTTTGTTCTTTCACTGTTGCAATTTTAAGTTCCCAGGCTTGATTTCCTTCTATCGCTCACACCCAATGCAATTTCATGTCTGCTGGAGGAGTTGTAGTCCCATATTGGAAGAGTACCAGTAGGGAATAGAAAGTCAGAGATGCTCTAACTCAGGGATGGGCAACTGTGGCCCTTTTACAATCTGTGGACTTCAACTCCCAGAATTCCTGAGACAGCCAAGCTGGCTCAGGAATTCTGGGAGTTGAAGTCCACAGGTCATAAAGGGGCCATATTTGCCCCCCCTGCTCTAACTTAATACCTCTCACACTTATTACAGGTTTCACTGACACTGTACCCGTGATTGCTTTGGAATTGGGCATGGAGAAATTGTGGTTTTTGTTATTTTATAAGTTTCAACATAATTTTAATGAACAGGGTGAAATATTTTCTTTTGATAACAAATTCACAGCTGCTAAAATCTCTGATTTGTATCAGAGAAAGAATTTGTGGAAGGCACATACAAGTAATCCTCTTTCAGTGATAATTTGAATAAGGGGACTTACAACTATTCCTCATAGTGCAGAATCCCTACAGTCACATGATCTCAAATTGGGTGCTTGGTAACTGCTTGCAGTTATGACAGTTGCAGCATCCCACAGTCACATGATCACCATTTGCAATCTTCACTGCTGGCTTCTGACAAGCAAAGTCAATGGGGAAATATCTACCACATTGTGTCCGAATGTTCATCAAGAGCTTACACAGGCCCAATGTCTGATTTTTTCAACATAGACTATCCTGTCCTTGAATGGCTGGGTGGACTGGACATTAACATTTGAACTACTATAAGTCCATGTATTTACCATACTTTAAATAAAATAAATAAATGGGGAAGCTGGCAGGAGGTCACAAACGACAATCATGTGCAGGATTTGCCTAATGATGGCAGTTGGAATTGCTGCAACTGCCATTGTAAGCAGACATGGTCATGTGATGCCATGTTTTACAGCTGCATCACACAGCAATGAAGTTGCGGATCCCAATTGCCATCGTTGAGTGAGGACTGCCTGTATGATTTTGTACTCATTTTAACAATATTGAAACAACATTTAAAAATACACAATAGCAGAGACTGTGTTAACAATAATTTTTCCACTTGTAGTAGGACCCTTCTGTCCATGATGATTGAGAAAACGAGTTCCTGTGAGAAGGTGTTGACAGCTCAAGGAAGAGGGCGGTACTTCCTGCGTCTGGCTTTGAATGGGAAGTTATTAGCAGTTGCTGTTCAGCAGCTCATCAAAACTCCCAGGCTGCTTGAGGTGATTAAATAATCCAGAAGAATTAAGAAGATAATTTGAATAACTACCATACTTTGATTTGTGTCTTTGTCTCTTTGCTTGAGGCCTGAGCTTGAACACTAACTACAGGTAGTTTTCAATTTATGACCACAATTGGAACTAGAATTTCTGGTCGATGCAGTTGTAAAGCAAACCATCACATGATTGGATCCAATCTTGGAATGTATTATTCCAATGTTGAAATGCTTATCTCCTATAATTAATATGATCTTGGGGGAAGAAGGGTGTATGGTCAAGGTTTTGAAAAGTGTACCTATGTGGTTGGATATTAGATCTGTGTCACTGTAATATTGATTGCCTTGGACTTCAACAATCCAAAGTCGGGTTGAACTGGAAGACCTCCAAAGTCTCTTCTAGCCTTATGATTCCAACTGAGATAAGTCTATCATTTTAGTGTTGCATCTGAATATTGAATTTGACATTCTTTTCTTAATAACAACTACAGTATTTTGCCTATTTTTTTCTTTGTCTACAAAGATCTTGTGCTTCCTGGATACAAAATGACCCATTCCAGGTCATTTCAGTTTGTTGATTTCCAAAATGTCAGTGTTTCATTTTGACATTTCAGCTCTGCTAACATCCAATTTGTTTTGCTTTATATTCTGCCATTCCATCTACAAATGGTGTAGATATCTTTGCACCACTGATTTTCGCTTTTCCTCCCAGGCACAGCAGCAGTTGGACATCATTTGAACATTAATCTAATTATATCAAAGGACCAGTGCTCCTTGTATTTGTCCTCTGCTTTTCTCTGGTAGCCCACTGGATACCTTCTTAATGGGAAGCTCATGTTGCAATATCATGTTGACATTGTTCTGACTGGAAATGTCAGTCATTGGGGGGTTTTTTAGCAGAAAAATGGAGTGGGTTACTATTTTTAAGTCCTGTGAAGTTTTGACAGTTCTCCAATACTACTCTACATTTAACATGCTAGGTTTCAAATTTATGCTTCTTGCTTGATTTTCACTTATTATCTCTTATTAAAATACACATGTTTCATATTTAAACATCTGTATCATAAATTATTTTATTTAAACTATTCTTAGTGTACTGCATGTTTGTTTTTATAATCTGATTTCAGTGTTATGATCCAATAACATCTATCCTGAGCAATGAAGAATTTTCAGGTAAGATTCTATTCTATCGTTATGCTACCCTCTCAAGATGCCTCCTTGCATACATCATTGTACTGTATGACATTTTTAGGCAGTAACTGAGATAGTGAATTTTAGCCCATAAAACAGTGGACCATCCTTTAAAACAGGGGTCTCCAACATTTTTCAAGAGTAAAGGGCCTAAAAGCGAAAGTCCTAACTTTTTTTTTTTTTTTTTTTGCTTTAAGCATGATGCGCCTATTTTCAGATTTACACTGTAGTTTTCATCTCCCTCCACCTACTTCAACTTGGCAAAAGTTATCCATTAATTTCCAACAAGCTTAGCAAAGAATGGGTTGTGAAAGCTACCAAAAAAAAAAAAAAAAGGAATTGAAGCCCTGAGGCTGCAGGTTTTCTATTCCTGACCTAAAAAGTTTGCAATCATAATTTTTATTTTTTAAAAAATATGATATGATTCCTTTGGTGTGGAGTTTTTATTATGCAATTGCCCTGCTTCATTTAAAGACTCTTCTAGGAGTGGGGAAGAAAGTTCCAATAATGCGTACTTCTTCCCAGTTTCCCACTGTTTCTTTCATAATACTTCTGTTTGGTAAAAAATGCTATTAAGAACAGTTGTGTGGTGCTTTTTAATGGGCAATAGGAATCACCTGTCACTAAGATATGTGTCCTCAGCTGTTTTCAATGCAGGTAGGACATCGCAACCAATTGTAATGTGACCTGGTTACCAAGTACCTGAATTGCAATCACATGACTGAGGGAGCAGAGCATAGTTAGTTCTCAATTTACAACCACAATTGAGCCCAAAATTTCTGTTGTTAAGTGAAACATTTGTTAAGTGAATTACAACCTTTCTTGCCACAGTTGTTAAGTGAATCACTACGGTTATTAAGTTAGTAACATGTCTGTTAAGTGAACCTGGCTTCCCCATTGACTTTGCTTGTCAGAAGGTTGCAAAAAGTGATTTACATGACCCCACGACACTGCAACCGTCATAAATATGAGTCAGTTGCCAAGTGTCTGAATTTTGATCAGGTGACCCTGGGGATGCTGCAACGGTCGTAAGTGTGAAAAATGGTCATAAATCACTTTTTTCAGTGACGTAACTTTGAACTGTTGTAAGTCGAGGACTACCTGTAGTTGTAAGGGTGGAGATGGGTTGTAAATCACTTTTTCCAAGGCTGTCATAAGTTTGAATTGTTGTTAAATGAATGGTCATAAGTTGAGGAATACTTGTGCAATACCATTGCCCTTTGGAAATTAATTTCACCTAACTCACGAGTCTGCACACACATTTATGCCCAGAAGGTTGGCAGCTTTTATTGTAATAGTTTTTTTAAAATATAAGCACAGGTAGTTGTCGACTACCAGCAGTTCATTTAGTGACCCTTCAAAGTTACAACGGCACTGAAAAAAATTGACTTAGGACCATTTTTCACACTTACGACCGTTGCAGCATTTCCATGGTCACATGATCAAAATTCAGATGCTTGGCAACTGACTCATATTTATGACAGTTGCAGTGTCCCTGGGATCATGTGAACTGCTTTTTGCAACTGTCTGTTGAGCAAATGGGGAAGCCAGATTCACTTAACAACCAAGTTACTAACTTAAGAACTGCAAGAATTCACTTAACAACTGTCGCTAGAAAGGGTGTAACAAATGTCTCACTTAACAACCAAAATTTTGGGCTCAGTTGTGGTCGTAAGTCAAGGACTACCTCTAATTTAAATTTTGCCAGGTCTCCAGAAAAAGTTCAATCCCTAAAAATATTAGTGGCCATTTGTTATTATGTTAGATTTTAAAGGAGACCAAATATTCGGTTTTAATTACTCTCAGTTTTGTATCTCTTGAATAGCCTTATTCATTCTTTTTCCTTTTCTCGGTTTCCCCTTTCCTATTTTCTTTTTTTTTTTATATTGTGTAGCCCCTTTCTTTCTAGTATTGCTTTCTTTTAGCTCTTATTTGATTCTTTCTTGTTCCTTTAGGTATCCTAAACTCTCTTAGAATCTTATGCTGATCTCTCTAATTTAGAATCTTCTCTTTTCTCAGACAAGGGGGAAAAAAGTGCTAATACAGCTTTTCCACAACCCAGTGCTCTCCAGATGCCCAGGACACCAACAGTGTAGTGTACAATTTAATTTCATGGCATCATTCCCTAATAACTTTGGGATATCCTATTCCCTACCATCTAAATTAAGGAAACACATTTTGCTGCCAATAACAGTTTACAGCTATCTCTTGCTGTGAAGAAACTTTGCCCATACAGAGGTAGAAAGGTGCAAATCCATCTTGTCTTCATCAAACTTTTGTATGGGGATTCAGATAATTTGGGGGTTGCACATCAGCTATTTTGAAGGCATTTTATGAAGTACTTGTCTATACGTTCCAGCCATCTTGTGAGACACCCAGAGTTGCTATTTCACTAAAAGATCTGTGGAGGAAGAGTAAAATAAGAATTTAATTAAGTGATTGGACGCTTTAAGCTCGGCATAAAAACCCTAGAGATGCTGGTATATTTTATTTATTTATTTATTTATAAAATTTATAGGCCTCCCATCTTACCCCAAGGTAATGGTTGGGAGAATGAAGTCCAGTACATCTGGAGAATACTGAGAAATGAACATGAGAAAATAAGTTTAGTATAAATTTATTAATTTTGAAAAATTATATGATATAGTGAATAACCTTGAATTATAAAATGTCCTGCACAGATATGAAGTTGATGGTTGGTGAATGTGATAAAATAGCTGTACATCATGGTAATAAAACATAAATGTAATGCTTAGGGTTAGCAAATGGCTCAACCCTAAACAATGAATAAAGCAAAGATGTGTGATGTTACATTGAGTTTTTTAAATGTGTTTATGTAATATTTTTTAAAAGTGCTTGTGGCAATATTACAGGTTTGTTGAGAACCCGAATGTTCTTATACTTTTGTATGAAAACAATGCCATGTTGGGCTCCCAAATGATTTGAAATGAATGTTAGGTAAAATTGAATGGATCTGAAATATTTTTATTCATCTATTTATTCACTTATTTAGTTAGTTTGTCAAACGTACGAGAAAACAGGTATAACATGGACATGAACACAGGAAATGAGTACGAATAAATGGGGACAGTAGGACAGGAACGGTAGGCACGCTGGTGCACTTATGCACACCCCCTTACAGACCTCTTAGGAATGGGGTGAGGTCGACGATAGACAGTTTAAGGTTAAAGTTTTGGAGGTTTGAGGATATAACAACAGAGTCAGGTAGAGCATTCCAGGCATTGACCACTCTGTTGCTGAAGTCGTGTTTTCTGCAATCGAGTTTGAAGTGGTTTACCTTGAGTTTGTATCTATTATTTGCCCGTGTATTATTGCGGTTGAAGCTGAAGTAGTCATTGACAGGTAGGACGTTGTAGCAGACAATTTTGTGTACTACGCTTAGGTCAGACCATAGTCGGCATAGTTCTAGGTTGTCCAGGTTGTCCAAGTCCAAAATTTCAAGCCTGGTGGTAATATTTATATTTATATATCATAAATATCATAAATATATATGAAATATATAAAAGGCCAAAGAGTTGCATTTAACAGGGAAGATTGAGTGAAGAATAAATGAGAAAAAAACAAGAAAAAGCAGAGGAAGAATTTGTATACCTGACAAAATGTATAATAAAGATTGATAAAGCGAATGGACAAAATTGATAAATGCTGGTTGAAAAGTGGAGGGCTGTATGAGTTCTACTGTGAGAAACGAATGATGAAAAAAACAAAAATGTTTATTGGAGCATATTTCTGCCTGATTTTTGTATGCAAGTGAAAGTTGGGTATGTTAGGACAAACAGAAATAAAGAGAGGTAACTTAAAAACTGTGTGGTAAAACAAGGGGTTTGTCAAGAATGAATAAGGGCTAAAATAGTGTGACAGAGAATACAAACATAAAGTGATCAGTAGCAATAAAAAGTATGTTGAGGTGACTTGGTAATACAGCTGCTCAGAGTTGCTCCTGATAGCAAGATACGGTAATAGGAGTCATGATAGCACAGTGGTTAGAATGCAGCATTACAGGCTAACTCACTGTTCACTGCCAGGAGTTCAATTCTGACCGGCTCAAGGTTGACTCAGCCTTCCATCCTTCTGAGGTCGATAAAATAAGAACCCAGATTGTTGGGAGCAATATGGTGACTCTGTAAACCGCTTAGAGAGGGTTGTAAAACACTATGAAATGGTACATAAGTGCTATTGCTATAAATTTCATAAATAAAATGTAGGCAGAATGAATGAATTGGACTATTTAAAATATTTGAAGGATTGAAAGGAAAGGAAGAGCAGAAATCGTGATTGGGAGGTACTGAGAAGTCCCTCGGAAAGAAAGGGGCCAGAATTATGAACATCAGTGTTAATGTATTAAATGGTGTATGACTGTGGTAGAAATAAGATTAGAAATAGAGAGAGAGAGAGGAATAGTGAATGATGCTGATGAAAATTAGATATAACTTTATTTCCTTTTCTTATCTCATGCCTTGATTTCCTTGGCTTAACTATACCCCTTTCAGCAGTTTGTGTGAAGGCACTTATCCTGAAAGTGTACAGCATTATGGGTATGATCATATGTTTCCTCCTCCTCACTTTAGGTTTTAATGTGCTTGCCTTCTGATCTGAGATTAAAGTACTGTAAATTTTGCTAGTTTATAATCCTGCCTATGTTTGACATTTTCTTGAATATTATCTTGGGAAGTCTGAATCTCACTGCAACAAAATGTCCATTTGTTGTGCCCCCCTAAACATTTCTATGACATTTCTAATAAATTACTACTGTACTTGTCAGTTATTGGATAATGATCTATTTTTATTTTATTTTTTTTTGCTTTCCAGAGCCTTTCTTTTCCATGATGTTGGTGGTTACAGAAATGAATTTCTTCTTAGATTTGCAGGTACAGTAATTGATAGCTTTGGATCATGTTTCTTTTTAATCTTTCTTATGATGGATTTATTGATATTCTTCCTCTTTTTCAGCCTTTCTGTTTAATCACTAATTATGGGTGTTATAGATTGTTGAATTTCTGTTTGCAGAATTCCAGTTTCTTGGATGAAAGCTGGCAACTTCCAGTAAGAGATTTTTAATTTTACTTTCTTTGATGCCATCTATTATATAATTAATTATGTTCTCCTGTTCTGATTTATAACTCATAATGTTCTGCTGTTGTCTTTTTTTACTGATCGTGCAAGCCTTAACATGTTCATGACAGGAAAACCAAACTGGCATTTCATCTTTGGGGCTGGAATTTAATTTTTATACTATCTTACACAGAACTGATGACAGGGACATGGAACTCTCAGAAATCTGCATTTTGGGCATATTTTTGAATTTGATAATGAGCTTTTAATTTGCTTTCTAATCATGCATCCAACCTCAGTTACAAAAAAAACCTATGAAATTTGAGCCTCAAGTTCGAACAGTATTGTTTCTATTATCTATGCTTTTGTTGAAATTTTAAGCATTTGCCTTTTCAGTATTTCAATTGTATCTAAGGGTTTAGAGCTCTGACTTTTACTGGATCATGGAAACAGGTTGTCAGTTTGATAATTGTTCTTAAATTGTATCTGTTATAATCATGTTTATTACTCTTTTGTGGAGAGAAAAGATACTATGGTAAGACTAAAATAGTTTCATGCTATCAAATTGGGCCTTAGGCTGGCCCAGTAGGTTTCTAAACCGTGCTTGATTTAGTGCATTAAATTGAGATAGGCTTCTGCATTTGCATAATTATGACTTCTTTACAACTCTTATAGCGTGACTAATTGTGAGAGGTGCTGGGAGCAACATATAGAAATGCTATGATTGGTTCCCCCTCTTAGCTCTCAAGATCAAGGATAATTTAATTCAAGTTGTGTTGAAACTGAATCTGCCTTAGAATTCTACTTTCCCTACAATTAATGATTTTATTTCACCCTATAACTGCAATTCTGTTTTTTCCTTTGTGAATAAATGGAAATTTCAAGGCTTCAGGAACCTTCATAAAGTCCCTTTCAAGTGCTTAGGTTCATAGAAACATGCATATAATTTCCCCATATTTAGTAAACATGATAGGTATACAAATCATTGATTTACTGTAGTCTTCACCATTTATAGATAACTTAAAACGCTTCACTCAATTTTGTTCTGTCAAATACAGCTATCTTCATTACATAAGGTAAAGGTAAAGGTTCCCCTTGCACATATGTGCTAGTCGTTCCTGACTCTAGGGGGACAGTGCTCATCTCTATTTCAAAGCCAAAGAGCCAGCACTGTCCAAAGATGTCTCCGTGGTCATGTGGTTGGCATGACTAAATGCCAAAGGAGCATGGAACACTGTTACCTTCCCACCAAAGGTGGTCCTATTTTTCTACTTGCATTTTTTACATGCTTTCGAACTGCTAGGTTGGACAAGTAACGGGAGCTCACCCCATTACGCAGCACTAGGGATTCAAACTGCTGAACTGCCGACCTTTTGATTGACAAGCTCAGCGTCTTAGCCACTGAGCCACCGCGTCCCTTCTACATTAGTTACATTAGTATTAAATTAATTTTGGAATTTATATGGCTTGTGCATATACAGCTTTATTTTAATTTTTTTTGCATATCTTTCAGGTTCTTAACTAACAGTATGGCATCTTATGCATAAAAAGTACATATCCCAATCAACACACCTCTGATATCACAGTTCTGTTTATCCTATGCCTAAATACAGTAAGCAGCAAAAGAAACATCATATGTCCTTATCTTACCACTTCCTCAATGTTAGACCTTTTGCTAAGCATTCCATTTATCTTTGTGCATGCCTTACTTACCAATGTACAACTATGATCATGCTCAACAACTGTCAACTTAATGTAGAACATTTCAAATGGAAGGTTATCATTTTATTATACAGTTTATCACAATCAAATGTACAATAAACCTAATTTCTTACATTTATACATTTCTTCTACTAAAGATTACAATTATGTTCTGTGCACCCATGTCTGGCACACTATACTTCCCAAACTTTATCCATTGTCACCTTATGAAAGACTAAACTCACCACCCAGAGTGAGTAGGCATTTTTCTGTCTCCTGATATCCAGAGCTTAACTGGGCTTTTTAAGTCACATTTTAATATTATTTTATGATGTTACTTATAAAAGGCCCAGAGTCGCTGAGGTGAGATGGGCAGGTACCAATCAGATAGATAGATAGATAGATAGATAGATAGATAGATAGATAGATAGATAGATAGATAGATAGACAGACAGACAGACTAGACACTGACTGACTGACTGACTGACTGACTAACTGACTGACTGACTGACTGACTTGCCACCTTCATACTTCATCCCATCTAATGGAAGCTACATAAGAGTGGTTGTATTTAGAGGCCCTAATGGAAGCAAAATGTTTCATTTTTGTCAATGATGAAAGCTTGATGAAGGAGAAGTCCTTCAAATGTGCTGGAAGTTCTACTGACAAATCGTGCTTTCCAGGTATGCCAGACTTATGAGACTGTCCCTTGCCGGGAATTGGGAATGGTGTTGAGGTAAGATATTTGACCCTTTCATATATGGCTTTCTGATCCTTGGTTTTAGCAGCCATTAAGATCCAATCAATAAACCATTGCTGATTCATAGATCATGCCAAGCTATGATTTTTAATTGTGGTTTATTGAATAAACCACAGTATCTGGGGTCACATACAACAATAAATCATGATTTACAAAACATAATGGTTCATTAAGCCAAACCAATCTGACTATTATGCTTTGGCACACAACGCTAACTTAATTCCATTTTATATTATGTATTCTGCTCAACTTCTGAGATTTCACTGGACATTGCTCACGAGCTGCTAAAACGAAATATAAGAAAAGATACTTGGGTAAAAGTTCAACAATCACTGAGGCTGAAATACTTTCTCAGATGGATATAATTGGGCCAGGTACTACCATATTGGCTTGTCTATTATGAGGTCAAAGAATCAAGTTTTTGTTAATGAGTTGCTTGTATATAGACCAAAGATATTAAATTCTGCATCCATCAGTAAATTAAGAATATATACCCTGTTTCTGTTAAAAGCAACAGCTTTTTAAACCACTATACATTGTTTAGCATTTTCTTCTTGTAATCCATCTGTCAGATAGATTAATTTATTGTAAAGCTTGAACATTATCTAAAATAAAAAACAAATTTAGGAAGGAATTTAATAATTTTTTTAGAAAGGAGTACTTAACATGTTTTCTCTTCCAAATTCTGACCCCTGTCCAATATAACGTTACATGTAGTATTTTGAACTTAGTGGTGAATAAGCTAAACAAAATTATGGACTGGAAAACATTTACTTTCAAAGTTTTGCTTCTCTGCTCAAAATTAATGATACAGTATTTTTAACTATTTCAAGTATATGTTTATATCTTAACATCGGAACCTCTTTGCAATATTTCAACCTAATGCATCTCAAATGGCAAGTGGTCCCAAGGAGCTAGTCATTTGAACTGCGACCTCCTCAATTAATTCAGTACGCTTATTGTATCAACTTTCCACTTCTGTTCCTTTTGCTTAAAAAAAAACATTGACATCGGATCTTCATCTTAAGATAATTTCTAGTACAATATGTAACCAGTTTCAGGGTGTTTTGATTTGCAACTTCCATCATGCCTTAGCACTAGCTTTGCTGGCCAGTACCGATGGGAGTGTAATCTAAACCAGGAGTCTCTAACCTTGACAACTTTAAGGTTGGCAGACTTCAACTTCTGGGAGTTGAAGTCCTCCAGGCTTAAAGTTGCCAAGGTTGGAGACCCTTGATCTAAATCATTCAAACAAAAAACTGCCTCTACAAGATCTGGTTTCTCGGTCACATGGCCACTAATTGGTTGATACACTGGCATTTTTGGTCTGGTTTGGATTTTCCCCTCTCGCCAAAATTTTGTAACATGCTTCAGTTTATCAAAGTACCCAGGTTTGGAAGAAGGATAAGACTTTGTATGTTGCTGGGCCAACTGCATCATTGGCCTCTGGGTGGAACTCCCAGCAATTCGGCAGTTCAAATCTCACAGCTCAAGTTTAACTCAGCCTTCCATCCTTCTGTAGTCAGTAAAATGAGGACCCAGATTGTTGGGGGCAATATTCTGACTCTGTAAACCGCTTTCAGCACTGTGAAGCAGTATATAAATCACTATGAAGCGGTATATAAATCTAAGCGCTATTGCTATTATGTTTGAATTGTGACTAATCAGTGTATTATTTTCCTAATGTGCTGTACCCAAGCTCATTATTTTCCTCATTATTTTCTTTTGTTTGAGTTTCTAACAATACAATTCTTCAATTCTTCAGTTTGAGTTTCTAACAATTCAATTTTCTTCTTCTTTTTTATATCAGGTATTTAGATGGACGGGTTTTCATAATAGAAGTGCTTCCAAAGAGCCAGGCAGAGGTGGATGAGGTAGTACTAGTTGGAGATGTCATTGACGAGATAAATGGATCTTCACTGAGGAATGCGTGCAATGGACAGGTATGGGAGGGAGGAACATCCTGATCCCTGGAGATGGAAGAGGGAAAGTTGGTGTGTTGTCTGCTACTTTGACCTGAAAAGAAATGGAAGAGATGGCTGTGCATTGTTGCTATGGGAACTGTACTGAACAAAAACTCTTGGGTTTGACCTGGAGATCAAGACGAAAAAATCAAGGTGGGAGGGATGTAGAAACGTACCAGGTTTTTAAGATCTTTTTAATATTTATGAAGATTTCTATTTAGGATTATTATTTAAGATTTCAGAAATGTAAATTACTGGTTTATTTAAGGACTAAAGAGTTAAAACTGTACCCTACTATTAGCATACTTCCCCATCCCCTCCCCATCGATATTACCCCTTCAAGAGATGACCTTCTGTGGGAGTCAACATAGAATGTTCAGATACAAACTTATAAAGTCTGTTGCATGGAGATCATGAAGAAGAATAGGTGGCTTACTTGGAATAGCGATGCTTAGTATCAGTGCAATGACTATTCAGTCCACCATATCTTCCTCAGAACAGACGATTCATTTCTACTCTTATCTCAGGCACAGCATGCTGAGGCATGGGGACCAAGACCGTTATATACAGTATGTAAAAATAAAAAATAGGGAAAAAGAGAGAAAGGGCACCTGTCAAAGCCAAAGAACACTTTGGAATAATGGTCCATAGCATTTCAAAAAGAATAACAATTAAAATGAAGTGTGGCTAAAGAACTTGGTCTTGAACTTTTTAAAGGAAGAGAAGAGTTTAAAAAATCATCCAATCTTGTCTGAAGTAGCTATCACTCTCAAATGGTTATGTACAATTCTGTAAAGTAAAAATATATATAGAAGCTTCTCTTAAGAGGTATGGTCCCAACTCGTTGCAATCTTTATACTAAGAGCCAATTTTAATTTTTTCAGTATATCTATATGTAGGCAAAACAGCATCTTCCCATTTTATAAAGAGGCAATGATAAGTTTGGTGGGATTGCACTATTTGTAGAAGTATTAAAAACAAAAGTCTTTAGAAACAAAAACAAAAAACCACCTGTTATCAGGGAAGGACACTCTAAAACAGACCAGCAAGGATATACAATGGATGAATCCAGAATGCTGACAGATCCCAAGGAAGAAAAGTGGTGGGAAAAGGAGAGGTTGAGAAATGTGGATGAGTTTCATGGAAGGCATTAGGAACTGAAGCGCTCCACACTACAACATTTTATTGAAGAATCTATTAGTGATCTACATATTATACTGTATTACAAAGCCAGTTTGATGTAGTGTTGAAGGTTCTAGGCCTCTCAGTTATGAAAGCCAAGTGGGTGACTTCCAGTCAGTCAATCTCTCTCAACCTAACCCACCTTGTTATAGGGGGGAAAGGCAGATCTATTAGTATATTTTCCATCTTGATTTATATATGAAAAAAGGTGGGATAAAATAATAATCCATGGTGCATGTTTTAAAATGCACCAATTGGAGAAGATCACAAAGTATCAAAGTCTGAAAATCTAAATTGAAAGATTATGGCATTAGCTGGTCATAGTAATCCCAGCGGTTATTAGCACACAGGTGCCATACCAAAAGATTTTGGACACCACATAGAAAATCTGTGTGTTGACAAAATTTTCACCCATAAGTTATAAAAGGTCACATGGCTTGGATCCACACAGATTCTATACACTAATACATTACTGTACAACATCTTATGTCCATGATGGCGAACCAATGGCACGCATCCCGCAAGAGGCACGCAGAGCCATCTCTCTGGGCATGCCAGTCATTGCCCGTTGCTCTTCTGGGTTCCAACACAAACATGCATGCCAGCCAGCTGGTCTTCACATGCGTGGGTGCCGGAAACCGGAAGAGCAGCTCCCTGGCTGCATGCGCGCACTGAGAAGCTGAATGTCTGGTTTCCAGCACGTGCATGCACACTGGCCAGCTGGTCTTCACGTGCGCACGTTTGCCAGAAACTGGAAGCTTAGCGTGCCGGGGAACTGCTCTTCCAGTTTCTGGCGCTCCCGTGCATGCGCACCAGAAAGCTGCTCTTCTGCTTTCCAGTGCTCCCCCGCATGTGCGCACGTGCTCCCGTTTCAGCACTTGGCACCGAAAATGTTCGGCAACACTGTCTTAGATTATTGGGAAGGACATCATGTGTGTGTGAACGCTAATACAAGCTAACAAACTGGCAGCTGTGATTTCATGTTGTTGGATATATAATAATACTCATGAGTCAATTGCAAAAGGCAGCTTTATTTGGAACAGCTTAGATGCTGTGATGGTACCTTTAATATTATTAAATAACAATGTCTCCCTATCCCTTGATCAGGACTCAATAGTTGAACAAAAATGCCAAATCCAATCTAAACATCTGATTGACTATGGGATTCTCCATAATAAGAATATATTAGCAAAAGGCATGCTAACTCTTATATGCTCAGTGACAGGGGTGGGTTCTATTTACTTTTACTACCGGTTCGCAATGGGGCCGCACGCGTGTACTCGCTTTGCTCGCGTGTGCATGCACTCTTCTGTGCATGCGCAGAAGCGTTTTGATGATGTTGGGGTCAGTGGGCAGAGCCTCCCACCAGTTTTACTACCCGTTCTATAGAACCGGTGTGAACCGGGGACAACCCACAACTGCTCAGTGATAACAGCTTAGATACTGTGCTATGGTTTCTACTCACTAGGAAAATACCCAGTCAATAAGTTAACAAGCTTCACTGACATGTCCTAGTAGTAACCAGAGTGACCATTTAGATCAGCTTTCCCTGGCTCCAGATTTATTACAAGGACAGGGAATAACTAATCTAGTGGATGATGTTAGGAGGCCCTTGCTGATCATCCATGTATCTCTTCGTTGCAGGCTGGTTCAGTACTGCAGAAGCTGAAAGGCAAACCACTAAACTTTCGCCTAATCCGATGGAAATGGCACGATGGAGGAATGTTCAAGCCATTGTTGCCCTATCTAAAAGTTCTCAGAGAAAAAATCCCCAGCTTCCAGCTCCAACATGAACACAAACCTAAAGAAGAGAATGAGGAGCGAAGTTTGCAAGGAGGCAGGTAGTGGCTGCTCGGGACAATTATGAAAACAAAGTGTGGCAGATTTTCACAAGTCCTACCAGTGGTGGGTTCCTCCCGGTTCCGCCCGTTTCCGCCGAGCCGATAGCGGTGACGATATGATGTCACCGAACTGGTTCTGGTCCCCCCGCCCCCTATCCCTGCGTTATTCTTACCTTTTATTTGGCCCTACCCCCAATCTATTGCTGCCTCCTGAATCCCAGCTGATGACTAGGAGGAAAAAAACTGTTTAAACTCTTGCCACGGGGCTTCAAAGAGCCGCCCTACAGCTGATCAGTGTTAAAAGAAAACAAATGAGTAGACCAGTGCCTGCAAAAATACATGAGTAGACCAGTGCCTGCAAAAATACATGAGTAGATCAGTGCCTGCAAAAATACATGAGTAGATCAATGCCTGCAAAAATAAATGGGTAGATCGGTACAGCCTGGTAGACCATTACCTCTGCTAAATCCAAAATAATTGTCTCATGACCATCAAACCACGCCCACAAAATAAGCCATGCCCACAAAATAAGCCACGCCCACAGAACCAGTAGTAAAAAAATTTAGAACCCACCCCTGAGTCCTACCTCATCACCACTGGTTGGGTGCATAAGTCATTCCCCAAATCTAACCCACTGGTCCTTCAGCTGCTGCAGTTTGTAGTCTCTAGCCTGAGAGGCAATCCTGGACAGGAGCCAGCCTCTTTCCAATGTCAGACAAAGGGTGGCAGACACACATACTTTTGAATATCCCTCCTGAAACAGAACTCCAAGAGATCTCGCAAACCTCATTTCTGGTGGCTACAGAAAAAATGGAGTTACAGGCAGTGGTGGGATTCAAATTTTTTTACTACCAGTCCTGTTGGTGTGGCTTGGTGGGCGTGGCATGGCTTGGTGGGCGTGGCTCGCTGGGCATTATTATAGAGAAAACTCATAATGCAGTTTTGCATTTCTCAATCACGTGTGGCATGCCATCTAGGTTTTACTCAGCTGCCTTGTATAAAATTGCTGATGATGATACAGCCCAGTTCTCTGAAAATGTGTGGGATGCAGTTGTGAATCCTGGGAATTACAGTCTGAATACTAAATAAATATTTTCTTACTGGCAGTATACAAAATTAATTTAATGGAACGCATCACCCTTCCTGAAATAGGGAAGAAGTCCATGAAAGCTAAGTAGGAAACCAGAGCTCCCCTTTTAGGTTCATGCACTGAACCAAAAGACTGGAGAATCTCAGATGATGATTTCTTGGACTTCAGAGATTTTTGAGCTCAAGTCTCAGCAATAAAAAGAACACTTTGGATTACTTAATACTATTCCTGATTATTTGAGTGTACGTCTATGGTTCAGGCTTGGCAAAAGTCTGCTCCCATAATATCAGACTTTACTCAATTTTTAATAGTTTTTAGTAGTTGTTATCCACTGTATCATTTTTCCTGTTCTTGTTATTTCATAGTTATTATCAGCTGTATTTATATATTTTACCTTAACTGATCAATATAAGAGGCGCCCTATTAACATATATACGTCCTTCTTAGAAAAAGAGGGCTTTGGGTTTCTGGCTTGATGGTACCAAGACCATTTGATTGCATGATTACTGACATATGATAGAAGAACTGTCTACTACGGTAGTAGTAGAACTACTCTTCCTCTGCTGTCAGTAAGTACTACTGATCGAGAGGCTGGGGAAACAAGCATAGCTCTTCAGTCCAAAACTTCTGTGAAGGCAACTTCGGTTTGCTTTTGGGATTTTTTCACATGCTGCATCTTGATGTGAAAATAAAGAAACTGTGCATAGATTTCTTGATCGAATTGTTTAATCTCATTTCTCCATAGACTCCTGTACAATCTGCGGTACTTAGGCCAGGCCAATGTAGGAAAGGTGAGGCTATGTTTCTGAAGAGAAAGGGGGGGTTGTTCAGTTTTCAATACTACTTTTAGGTCTGCATTTTTCTCACATTTTTTTCATCTCTTGGTTTCTTTTCCAGTATGGAGGCAAAGACATATTAGACGTAGGCATACCCACTGTGTTAGATAAGCATTTACCACAGCAGGTAAGATTTATGCTGGGAATAAGAGATGAATGTTTATCAAACTACTTTCTTTTGTTCTTAAATCATTATTTTAAGTTATGCTTTTTAAACAAAGAAGCAGATTGAATCTTGAATATTATAGCCCATTGTGATGGCAATCTTGATAATTTAATTAATAAAGTCAAAGGGATTTAGATGCTGGGGTTATTTGAAATGAGAAAACACCACAGGTGATGAGGCTTATATTTTAGATAAAAACATGTTCTGTGTAACAAATTCTGTAAAGAAAAATCCCTCCTTTAGGTCTCTAAATTAAAGGCAGAATGTGGCTGAACTTTTGTTTTTAATAGGAAATGCCTTGAGAAGTGCCATTAAATCATGTAGGACAAGTAAATCAAGTATCAGAATTTTCTAAATTAGAACTAGTAGAAGTCCACCGTTTGAGGCAGATATAGACAGATATCAGGTTGTAATTCTTATTTGGGTTACCCCATGAGGCTGACAGTGTACTTTAAAAGCCTCTGACATGATTGCGAGCAAGATGGCTAATTCCCTAATCTCCCAGTGCTCAAGCCCTCAGAAAACTGTTGGCCTGTGATCTCCACACAGGAAGCCATCCAGAACACATGGTGATTGCTCATCTTCTCTTTATCTGGAGGAGGAGGTTCCGAGGAATCAGTCTAGACACAGGTTGCTTGATCTTCGCCATGATCATCCGTTCTATGTTTGCAGAGCTGTCTTTAGTTTGCCATACTTCTCCCGGAAGTCCAAGAAGAAGAAAAAAGTCTTATGAGATGACTCCCCTCTTCTCCTGCAAAGCTATGGCACATCCCACCTGCTGATCTTTCCAATTTCTTCCTTCCCTTTGTAAGCATGTAGCTGCTGCCATATTTGAATCCAATGCAGCATATCCAACCTGCCCCTCTCCCCATCTTCACCTAAACCTTTTTTGCTATGCACTTTGTCCCTCCCTTTGATTTTTCCATCATCTTCCCAACACCGTATTTCTCCTTTTCTGCTACTTTTCATCCCTAAACACGTCTTCCAGAATGTGCACGTATCAGGTTCATGCCTGGAGAAAACAACTGGGCTTGAGTCTGGGCACAAATTGCTCAGTCCTGACTGGTCTATGGCAGTACAAGTATGGAATGTTTTACGTATACTGGTGCCTGGCTATTACTGTTGTAAGTTGTGATGGTCTTAAAACGAGTCATCATGTGACCAAATCCCATTTTACAACCTTTTTTGTGGTGTCTATGGAGATTCTCAGTCATCCAGCTCATGGTTGTCCCAAGGGTGCTTTATCAAAAGGAAACTGGACTTTTTGTCTCTCATCCAGTTCTGAAGATGAGAAGCGAAACATCTTCAAAGAAAAACCAGAAAGTCCAGTTGCCTCTTGAAAAAGCACCTTTGGGACTTTTTTCTGTGATGATCATTGAGCAGCAGTTGTTAAATGAACACAGTGGTCGTAAAGCGAATGCCTCTGTTAGGTTCAGCTTGTAGCTTACTCCTAACTTGTTGGTCAGGCAATATATCTGTTTCTTTAAGAAACAACTGAGCCACGTAATCAGGGTTTGCTGAACCCTGTAATTAGGCTACAGTGCATAAATAAGCAGCACAGAGAAGCGTTCCTTCTTCCTGAATGATCCTGTTGCTTCCTGCGTCTTTCTGCTGAATTGTTATATGGTACTGTATACCAAGAGTTACTAAAGTCTGTTTGCTTTGGTAAGGGAAGATAATTACTGGACTGATATTACTGTTTATGACCTTGGACTGTTTTACCTACACCAAGACTGCTTCTTATCTTGTATATAAAGTATTTTTCTCACACGAGCTGTACGTTTATCTCCTTCCCTGTGTGTTTCTGCTCTGCTCGTTGCACAAGCAACAAATACTTTTTACACACACCCTAACAGCCTCCATCCTAAAGCGAACGTTGCAGTCCTAAAGCAAATGTTGTGGTTGTTAAATGAACTCCTGGTTCGCTAAGGGATGTTTTTCTCCCATATTAGAAGTAAACAGCAAAAATGTTGTAAATTGTGGTTTTGTGACCATGGGATGCTACAGACAGCCATCAATGTAGGCCAGTTGCCAAGCACTCAAAATGCAGTCATGTGACTGGGTGGAGGGGAGGGCTGCCATTAGAACTTTGGAACTGGGTTGTAAGTACTTTTGGGGGGGGGCGGTCTGTCACGATTTGAAATAGTTGCTAAGTGAACCGTCACAAGTTGAGGACTACCTGTACCCGTTTTAGTTCAGTATCCCTTTTTTCCCTGGTTTTGAAGTTTAAGGAACATAAATCTAGATCACTCTGCTACCCAGCAAAATCCATCAAATGTATGTAACCTTGAAGAATTTTCAGCTATCGAAAAGAAATGCAGAACTGTAATAAGTAGAATATGTTTATATTATCCCAGCCAGTGTTTATCAATAGACTTAGACTAACTTTATTGTCACTTTGAATGTAGACTGATCAGCATATATTAAAATGAAATTTCGTTGCATACAGCTCTCAAGAAGGGTGTCCACCTCTAATATACACTACATAAACATGACAAAGTGAATAAATAAATACAAAATTATTCATATACCCATATATATTATATGACATGGAGAAACAAACAGAATCTAGTTGTGATGGCAAAAAGGTGAAAACTGTACCCAAAACATTTAAAGGAAGATGCTAAATTGCCTGTTCCTGGTATACTTGTAATTTGAGTGATGGTTGGCTTTGGCAGCCAGTGTTAAGCTGGACTGGCTTGTTCAACTTGTCTCACCCAAATATTATAGCTATGGCAACGCAAGTTGCTCACTTGCCTGTGTGGGTTTTTAATGATCTAGATAACAAGTCAACACAAACATCAACTCTTGAGAGATATGGCAGAAATGTGATCAGCTGCCTATTTACCACTATTGAGCAGGCGTAAAAAGATTTTCCCAGTCTACGTGTTGCTGTTTAGCTGAAATACTAATAAATAAGTATTTATAAGTAGCTCTCGGGTGCATTAGGATGGTTTTGAAAGGCCCAATGACATCATTTTCCTCTTTATTGGGTAGAAAGGTAAAGGGAAGCCAATAAGTCAAAGTTCATCTTTCTTTGACTAAGGTTGCCATGGTTAAATTTGTAATAAACTGAAGCTGCTATACATTGCATATAGATAGAACTGTTTAAAAGTCATGCTGCTACATTAATGAAACTTTCAAATGGTTTTCATTGTTTTTTCAGATACTTGCAGAAATGATTGTTAGCTCTTTAAGTGGCAATTCACTGATCTGTAAAGTGATTCAGTTGAAACTATGTTTACTATGATGTTGTCTGGGTAGAAGGAAGAAACAGGAAAAGAAAATTGGAAACATAGCAGGTCCAATTTTAAGTTTCTTTTAGGGACGCTTTGTCACTTGATAGTGTTATTAACAGTTGTAATATTATTTCTTCAGGAAATTTTATTCGATGTCAAAGAAACCGAAGTAATTGTTCAACACAAAACGACTTCAAAGGTTAGAATGTTTGTTTGCCGACTGTGCTTGATCATGCCTTAATAATTTATTGCCTTTTTATAACCTGGGCAATACATTCTTAAAATAGACACTGGAAATGTTTCTAAGGATAGTCATTTTTTAATTGTAGATCTAATCTTTATTTTGTCTCAACATTCAATAAAAATAATTCCCCAAAAAATGAGCTTTGACCAATGCCTTAACGGAAAATTGTTGTCATTTTCAGGTTCTTTTCCGTTATTCTTACACAGACATTTCCTGTGTGGGACGCCTTCTGGATAGCCACAATCTCTTTGCTTTCTGTAGCTTGTAAGTTTTATTTTGAAAAACCATCCACGTGTGGTGACATATTTCAAGACTATATTTACCAGTCCCATTAATCATGTCATAGTGGTAATAGTAATAGTAGCAGTAGTAGTAATTTTCAGCGTAGGGTGTATCCATCAATTACATTCAAATGCTTCAGTGTGTCCTTTACTAACAATACAGGAATCTTAATGATTTCCTTATTGGACTTTGTGAATCATGCCGATTACCTGTTTAGCACATATTCTACCAAAGTTCCTCTTTGTGATTAAATGTTCCCTTCCACATTGAATTGTTGATAAACTAGCTCATATCAAAGATGAATTAGGTTACCCGCATGAAAGAACCAAGTAATCCATTTTATTGATAGCCTGGTTTGTCACTTAGACCCATTAGGGGAATGCTATTATGTACGGGCAATTAGTCATATGCTATCTTAAATGTATGGGATGTCTAAAGTTACCATCTTTACTTTATAGAACTTCACCTGACTCTCCAGAAGATAGCACTTTTGATTGCCTAGTTTTTGAATCAAATTCCGAAGAGGAAAGTGAGGAAATCATCAAACGGATTGGTAAGGAATATGCTTTGGAATACATATTGTAGTAAAGGCTACTGTATTTTGTTAAGGTGTATTACTCTATACTTCACAGCTTTACCTCTTCTGCAACTTTCTTCCATTTAAGCATTCTCCAGAATACATAGGTTGGGATGGGCTGTTGTATTAATATGAGTCCTGTTGCATTAATGAAATTCTGCTAAGGCAACCCAGTTATGTCCCAAGCATATACAGCATAAAACTAATAGTTCTTTGATATGATTACTTTGGTTAGGCTTTTAAATTAATCCATTCTTACATTTCAGATACCTGTATAACGGCGTGATAGCTTAAGAAATAAAAAAGTAGACCAAGGCAGCATATTAACATGTGGTCCTGTAATAATTGATGTCTGAAGTTTTACAAACTTGTATCAATTTGTTTCATTAATTGTTGGACTAAACATCCCTAGAACTAAAATCCAAAATGTTCTTTAGATAGGGTTCGTAAACAATGCTAGCAACTACACATCTAGCATGAAAGTATTTACGACTATAGCAGTAAGCGATCTGTAATGTGCCTACAAAATAATTCAAGACATGACAAATTGTGTTTGTTTCTTTAGCTGCTGGATTTAAACATACAGAGTGGTTTGTCTGACAGATGTGATGTCCTGCCGCCTCATTAGCCTGCTAAAGTCTAATATCAATCAGTGATATCTTGATGGGTCAACTCTTGGATTACGGAGTCACTTGGTACAGATTAACATTCTGTCCAGATAAAATTGTTCTAGATAAATCAAACAGAAGACTCAACTGCTTTTTCAAATGTTTACATTGACAATTTTCAAAATGGAATAAAATCAAGCTGAAGCAATAGTTTGCATAAGGTAGCATATCTACACTGAAAACAAGACCAGTTTGATAAAGCAAAGCAAATAACTGAACAGTTTCTCAGCAGGCAACTTTACAAATGTTCTTTAAATTTAAAATACCCATTATGGGTTATCTAACAAAGACAAAATCCTAAAACAATCTGTAAATTTATATTCTCAAACAATGGGTTGAAATACCTGGAACAACTTGTTTTTTTTAAGAGGCAGCACAGAAACCTGGGCTGCTCTTACCTAGTTTCATTTCCATGAGTCATCTAATTAGTCTAGAAACAAGGCTGAAATAATTTTGTACGCCAAGAAATTGAGTAGCATTTCCTAGTTCCTAAATTATTCTGCAAACATAAGAATCAAAATCAGAAAGACTATTCACTGACTTGTTACATAATTGCTGCAAACTATTACTGCAATTGGGGATAAATACAAAGCATAGACATGCTTCAACTTGATTTAAGCATAAACCCAAGTAGAAATGCTACTTTTCCCACAACAATGACAGGACTCATGTGAATGTAAAACATTTAATTTAAAAATGTTGACACTACAATATATAAAATAGCTATTATAAATGCACATAGTGTATTCTATAGCTGCCAGGTTTACGTTTTTTTTAGGAAACTGTAAGTTACACTGTGGTTAAGACTTGTACTTTTACCCCTTCAGAAAGTCCACATTCTGTCACAGTGATGTATGGTCAGACTTAACAGCCCCAATTGTTAAACACTTGAATCAAGTTATAACCAGTTTTATTGCAAAAGGACCCTGTACACATTTATATCAATTCTAGTACCTTACAATTTTAGCTACCCAACAAGTCATTAACATACAGAAACATGCATGAAAAGCAAGAAAGATCACCCATCCCTTCTGCATATTAGCAACTTGTCACTACTGAGCAACAGGGCTCACATCACTGAGTTTTATGTGAACAGTCACTGTTAGCATTCATCCTGAGTGAAAGATGGAATGACTTAAGTACAAATGTAACATATTATAAACAATTTCATACAAAAAAAAAGTCACAAATTGAAACCAAAGTATTTTACAGAATTTACTACAAAACACCATAAAAACTGCTTCCTTTTAAGCCCTCTCGCCCCGTATCCTACGAGCCAACTGGATGTCTTTGGGCATAATGGTAACTCTCTTGGCATGAATGGCACAGAGATTTGTATCTTCAAACAGACCCACCAAATAGGCTTCACTAGCCTCCTATGTGAAAGATAAAAAAACAAGTTATTGGTTAGACATTAACCTATAAGGACACATTATTCCTTTCCCCACATATAAGAATAGTAGTACTTGAATAGGTTCATACCTGCAGTGCACCAATGGCTGCACTCTGGAACCTTAAGTCTGTCTTGAAATCTTGGGCAATCTCCCTTACGAGCCTCTGAAATGGAAGCTTGCGAATCAAAAGTTCTGTTGACTTTTGGTAACGGCGAATCTCACGCAGTGCCACAGTACCAGGTCTGAAGATTTTTTGGGGGGGGGGAGAGAAAGGAGTAAAGCCATCTGTTAACAGCATATAACAGTTCCAGGAAATTTCTAAGTCCATCTTTCAAAATAGTTTCAAAGAAGTAAAAATACCCTACAGAATCTTGGCATGGTTGGCCGGTCGCTGACAACAGCAGTGAGACATTTATAGTTCAAGCAAGGCTAACACTAAAATCACAGTAACAGAAGCTAACTTTGTTACAACACACACACCACTCCCTTCTTAATCCTTTTATTTCCACAGATCACCTTGGCGGTTGTCCTAAAACACACATTCCAGATTGTTTTGTCTTATTACCTGTAGCGATGAGGTTTCTTGACTCCACCAGTAGAGGGGGCGCTTTTCCTAGCAGCTTTAGTAGCCAGCTGTTTACGTGGAGCTTTGCCACCGGTGGATTTACGGGCAGTCTGCTTGGTACGGGCCATTTTTGTTCACTCTTCTGAAAGAGAAAATAAATTCGATGGGCGGGCGGACGGACGCGGCAGCTTTCTCCAAATTCCCGAAGGTCGAGCCGGCCTAAGTGGGCTTTCCGGCACTTCAGCCTCCCATCTGTGCGTCCTCCTCTTCCCCGAGACGGAAACGCTTTGGCGGGAGGGGAACGGCAGCGGCAGATGTCGTCGTCGTCGTCCTCCATGCGGGCACAGGGCCAAGGAGGTTCAGCCAGCGCGGCGCACCGCCAGGAACTGCTCTCTCTCCTGGTTGCTTGCCCACGCGCGATCCCGGAGAGGAAGCCCGACTTCGTTCCTTCCCTTCTGTTCCCAGCCCCGATAACTACCGCCGGCGTTAAGTCTCCGGCCTTTGCTTAGCAGCCGACCCAGAACAAAGCGGCCTTCCTTCCACTTTCTTCCTCCACCCATTTGTCACAAAATTTGCTCCCCGAAGCACGAGGACCCTCTTTCTTTTCCCCACTGTCACTGTTCCCCCCACCCTCGCTCCCAGCCGAAACTCACCTCTTTCGGGAACAAATCCTTAAAAAAAAAAAAAAACACTTCCGCTGTAAATGCACAAATGGCGCGTACCGCACAGCCTTCGAAAAAACCTGAACTGTCCCCTCCCTCTGTTGGGACGCTGCCTTTATAGAGGGAGGGAACCTCAAACGTCATGACGTCACAATACAGACACGCGACGCGCGGAGCTATTGGCATCTGCTTTCGCCGGCGCCATGACGTTAGCTGATACAAAGACAGTTTCCCTGCATCCTGCATGCGATTGGATGGAAGCTCGAAACCCGATTGGTTGTTAAAGTTACACACTGATTGGCTACCGTGGGCCGGAGCAAACCAATTACAATTGCAGTGAAGCTGGTGGTTCTGATTGGACAATAGAAAACATGGTTTGGATCCTACTTTTTGTTGCAAAGCTCTACAATGGAAAGTCAATGGGAAAGAAAAGCAGTCCGTTCTGAGTGTCCTGGACTCAATGGGGAGGGCAAATTAGAGAAAACACAGCCTGGCAAATACGAAGGGAATGTGAAATGGTAGCAGAGGTAGGAGGACGTAGTTGACTGTACCTGACGTTCGTTTGCCGTCATATCAAATTTTATTTTTCAAAGTTTATGTTACCTATAAATAAAGAACATTTATAAAGTTCAGTTATAAGCAGCACATAAACCACAACTTTTCATTTCATTTGCCTAATACTTTTAACATAACAACTAACATATACCAAGGTTTCTTAATTAATTTTTAAATCATCAAAGAAATAACATGAAATTGGTTTATATTATATTTTATTAGCAAAACTAACAGACCAGTATCTAGTTTTCATAATCAAATAACCATGTGTAATGGGCACACTGAATATTTACAAAATGTAAAATGACAAAAAACAGATCAGTCTGATTACAAAGAATCAAGCTAGACTCTAGAATGACAGTTGGCTGTTGCATGTAAAGTACAATGATGATAGTGTATTTTAGATATAAAATGCATACCAAGTTAAATTTGGCAAGTTTGGTCTAGTCTAGTGGGTAAGGCACCAGCTAGAAACCTTGGAGACCATGAGTTCTAGCTCCACCTTAGCCATGAAAGCTGTCTGAATGATTTTGGACCTGTCATACATTAATACGACACAACAAAATTACAACAAAACAATATTTTTAAACATGTAATTGTGTAGCAATTATGGATCCTATGGCTAATTTCTAGGCATTTACTGGAGGATCTGGGTACAAATCAATAATTAAGTTATTTTAAAATTAGGTTAACAAAGCAGAAAAGAAACTACTAGTATGTTTGTTAATGAATTCACAATCTTTATTTGCTTTAGCATTATTGCTACACTGAGAACGCTTCTCAACAAAACATACTCAATGTAATGCACAATCAACCAGATTTTTTTAAAAAAACCAATAAGTACTGTTTTACAATCAGATTTGTGACTATTTAGCAACAAGTGGATTAAATAGTGGGACATCTGGGCAATGTTTGTGAAAAAGAGGCGGGGTTTCCACTATACCAATTTAATTCATAATAATAAAATTCTTATTCAGGTAAAACAATGTTCTATCCAGCCAAACCACAATCCTATGCTCATAGATTCCAACAACACTCAACAAAAAAAGTGTTACATGCCTGCTTCAATCATTCTTCACCACTAATGTTTGAGTACAATAGAAAGTAGTTTGATTTTTTTAAAATAATGGGATAATCATCATGGAGAAGAGTACCAATCAGTTTGTGATTGGCTCCAAATCATTATGCATACCCTTCTGCTGTTTCACCCAGTACCTTGGTAGCTGTTGTGAATTTATACTTTGGTTGTTCCACAAATATAGTAAATAAGAAGCTTAACAGTGGTGGTAGTTGTTATATCCAAAATATAGTTTTACTAGATATGACTGATGTGCCAGTTGTGTTCATATCTATGATGAAAGGATCTGGAAGTGGTAACTCATGCTCTCATCATCAGAGGATAGATACTGCAATATACTCTGCCTGGGACTATCTTTGAAAACTGAAATTAACAATAGTAATAGCAATAGCATTTAAGACTTATTTACAGTGCTTTACAGCCCTCTCTAAGCTGTTTACAGAGTCAGCATATTGCCCCCAACAATCTGTGTCCTCATTGCTGCAAAATGCAGCTGGCTATGTACTGGCAATCAAGAACTGCTTCAAACATATTACATCAATGTTGTAGATGCTGTAGTGTATTGGTTGTCAATACATTTCCAAATACTGTTCATTTCACTTTTGAAACCTCCTACAGCACAGGTGTCAAACTTGATCGCGTCATGATGTATCATGATATATATTTTTTGCCTTTGTGAAGCCAGGGTGGGAGTGGCCTGCATGTGACGCATCTAGCCGTGGACCGCCAGTTTGACAGGCTTGTAAATCTACAGTTTGGCTCCTAGGTACATTCAGAATTGATTTCTCTAGGCAGAACCATTGCAACCAACATGCTCATTTCAACAGCAAAATTTATTCATCCTCCCCAATGGAAGGTGAAATAACTGGAGGTTCAAGGATAACATTTCTTAGTTG